GTTTTAACAATGTCCTTTTTGTTATAATCTCATGTTTCTTAAAAGATGGAACGGCATGACATAATCACTGTTCATCTAAAGAACATTCTTTCAGCAACAGAGTATTCAGTGACCCTCTGCTAGCTCCAGCCAGCTTCTTTTTGTTGTTGTATTTCTAGATTTATTGTCTATTGTTTTTTTTTGTTTTTTTTTACATTCTGAATTTGGAATAGGTTGTTTGTATGCGACATTTCCTATAGAAAGGAAATGTTTACATTTTCATTCTTTTGGTTCAACTACATTTTAGTTCTATATACCTTACTAGTATATTGGCCTATAACTGTTTTTAAAGATATTATTTACAGATGTCCAATGTTGTCAAGTGTTTGCAAAAAAATAAAAACATAGGAATAAAATTAACATTTAGAAATCTGTCAATACATAATTACCTATACTCTTCTTTCTTCTGAGGAATTGTTTGTCCTATATGTGGCCATGGAAAGCAATTTGTATGTATCAATCTGAGGCTAGTGTTTGACTAATATATTTTCTTGGTTTCAATGAAAGAAAGGGATAGAGCCTTATTGAACTTTTCAACAAAGGACAAATAAAAAATAGAAATTTAATTAAAATGTGAAATGAATATAATATGACATGTTCAGTACTTGGATTGAATTGGGACTGTAGATGTCTTCACAGCACTGTTACATTTGACAATTAGTAGGTTTCCCTTCTATGACAAATATAGTTTGTATTCCAAAATTTCTAACATGATATATAGTTTTCAGATACTGTTAGATTACTGATGGCTTACATTTTTCTTTCAGTTATCCATGCTGCAGAAGTGCAGTCTACACAGATGAACCAAGACTTGTGTCAGAACTGCAAGCCCAGATAGTTAGACGGCAGACTGCTCAGGCAGGATGCCGTCAACGAGTCGAGCTGGAAGTCTGAAGGACCCAGATATAGCAGAACTCTTCTTCAGGGAAGATCCAGAAAAGCTTTTTACTGATCTCCGTGAAATTGGCCATGGGAGCTTTGGAGCAGTCTATTTTGTAAGAATTTTATATATATTTAATATATATATTTTATTTAAAAAAATGTACTCTGCATCATAACTACTTTCTCATTGGTTAGTTTAACTCATTGGCTGAACGTGTCGGCTGATCACTCTCAGCCAATGAGATAAGCCTGCTTAGGATCTTAAGTCTGCTGACCTCTCTGGCATTATTAGTGGAAGTGGTGAGTAGTGTACAGGTGGTGCAAGGCGTAACTTGTTGGCTTACAGCATCAGCTGATTGTACTCAGCCAGTTATTCAAGCCCCTTTACGAACGTCTGGCTTTTCGGCAAAAGTAGTGCTTTCCCCGGCTGACCTCATGTCAGAAACCGTTTCTCTACTTACTATGGGAGGGTGTAGGTGGGTTGTTAAGCCGTTCCTGACATCATAACCGGTACAGCGAGCTTGGTGTGTTTATTTAAAGGGACACTGTAGGCACCCAGACCACTTCAGCTCTTTGAAGTGGTCTGGGTGCTGTGACCCTTTTGCACTTAGTGCTGCAATGTTAAACGTGTGGGCGGAGCCTGACACAGCACCATGGGACATTGGCGCTGGATTCAGGTAAGTGGCTTCAGCCCCGCGGGAGGGGGGTCCTGAGGGAGGGGGGCACTCCAGGAGCCTATATTGCCAGGAAAACTGGTTTGTTTTCCTGGCACTATAGGATCCATTTAATATTTCCATTGTGTTTCCATTCTTGATCCAAAATAGAAGTCCTTATACCAGTATTGGGTGCATTTTTAGGCTGCTTAGCACCTATATGGCTAAACTATTAAAATAAATAAGTAAAATGCACATTTCATTACATTTAAAATATTCCCATGACCTTGTAATGCAATTGAATTTAGCAACAAGCATTTTTAATGAGTATTGAGGTTTTACTACATCTACATTTTCAAAACATCTGAAGTATTTTGTAAATGTTGTACACATGCGCCTCTATTGTACAGTAACTTGTCATAAAACCTGAGCTGATAAAACCTGACATATCCGATCTGAGCAGGGATTTTGATATGACCACAATGCTTGCAATAAAAGTATTGCTGAATAGCCAATAAATCACAGCCACTTGTGTTCCACAGATCTGATTTGTAGCAAGCACACATCAAGGAGTGGTTTTAATTTAATTTTGCATTGTTATTTATATAAATGCACTAATTTCTATGTGCTGGAAACGAATCAGTATTACATATGTCTCTTTATTTTTTATTTTTTTATTTTTTAAATTGAGATATAACCAAAGGCCTTGGTTCAGCATGTAGTCATGTATCCAGGCTTACCCCTATAGGATTGCCACTCATGTTAATGGGACCTTGAGCTAGTCTCTTTTTGTGGTTCCCCTTTCTAACATTTTCAATTCAACAATTCTGTTTCTTCTCCGTACATCTCTGCACTCAACCCCTATTCCATGTGTGTAACCCTTGCCCATCTATCCAAGCAGCTTCATTTGTCTCCCCATCTAAGTTCACACTTCTATAATCATCGCAATAACACATACATCATATAATTATTTTACTTTGAATAATTCATTATTTTTCCTTGCTTTACCTTGAACCCCTTTCTCACAAAGTTCCAAACTGTTGGACAGAATAGAAAGTTTTCCTCAGCCCCTACTGGGGCCCTTTTCATTTCACAATTTAGTCATTCCTTACAAAGTGTTTCATTGTATTAAAGGACCGCTAAAGGCACCCAGACATCTTAGTCGTAATGCAGTGGTAATTTAGTTTTAACCCTGCGACATAAAGCATTGCTTACATTACAGGGTTAAATATGCCTCTAGTGACTTTCTTGCTGACAGCCACTAAAGGCACTTCCACTGAGATCTGGGACAAACTTGAATCTCCAATCGGAGGACAGCACTGTCACGCATGCGTTTTTTGCCCCCATTTCTCAAGAGTTAAACCTTTTTCATAGAGTCTCTTTATTGTAGTCTACATTTCTAACCAAAACCCGCTGTTCCACACATTTTATTTTCCCATTCTTTCAGTTCAATAAGTCACGCACATGTTGGTACGACAAGCTGTCTCACTTCTGGGCACATGAACTTTTTGTGTAATTTATGCCTCCACTCTTTCGAGCAGACAGAATTATCATGATACCCACCAGGTTTTTCACTAAAATGTGAAATGCCTAGAATTCCATGTCATCTGCAAATTGTAGGCCAAAATAATCGCTCTAGAAAATGTGTCCATTAAAATTCTATTTTAATTACTGTCAATCCAATCTTTAGTGAATAACCCTATGAAAATATATACATTCGAATGTGTATAAACAACTGAAACCTGTGTAGCTATTTTCGACTACAATCTGTACAAAGATTTATTTTGTTTTCTTATAAACTAAACTTCAGTAAAGGCTAGATGAGCAAATGGCAATGAAATGTTATTTGTAGTAAGGTTGCGTTAGTGTATAGTATAAAACATATAAACATTTGCTAATTTTGAAATTGTGATCTGTGTTTTTTTGTTTTGTTTTTATAATTAAATTTTTTATTTTAGGCACATGATGTGCGTACCAATGAGGTGGTGGCCATCAAGAAAATGTCCTACAGTGGAAAGCAGTCCAATGAGGTATTTAGAGTTTTCTAAAGTGTGTTACTTGTAGACTTTTACTTGCATTCTCATTTCTAAATTTGTGTACATATTTAGTCGCTGGCTAATAGTTTGGGATTTAAAAAAAAAAAATTGAGTTATGTGTTAAAAATACAAAATAGTAGTGATACATGGTATTGGTTTTCCTTAAACATTTCAGCAAAGTTTGCCAACCTGTGGTGGATGGGACAGAAAAAAAACGATGCACAAAAATAAATCATGGAAGCAAACATGACTATCTGTGAGAAGTTTTATGCGAAAAGTGGAAGGGGGGAATAAATAGGAAAACTTGACCAAAATTAAAGATCTGATTTTAGCAATGTAACTGAACTATACTTTCAGCAAAGTTCATTGTCAACTTTTGCTAATTGCTGTAGCAAATTGTAGCAGCTAGCTTAGAAGCTTTATCTCTGTTGTTAGGGCTAAAAATATCAGTTCTTGAGCCATTTGTTTAATTCATACTGTGTCGTTCATTGAGCTGTATGTACAATTGAGAAATTAAACTTCAGCATTATCATAATGGCAACATTTGGGATGGCAGCCAATAAGTCATCGCATAAAGCTCAGACTTTAGGTGTATGTATAGCTATTGTCATACAATTATCAATCTTTCTCTTAAGCTTGTATTATGTTCCATGTTCCTTTGAGAGCTGTAAATGAGAAATAATCGCCCTGTCAGCAAAACATTTGTTTTATAAATAATATTTCCCTGGGGTGTTGAATAGACTGTCAAACTGCAGTCCTGAAAATATTGCATTCAACTTTCAGGGGCAATTTTTTCTGTATTAAAATAAGTAATGCTGGTATATGGTAGAAAATGTAGATGAAATGCTTCCACAGTAGCTCATATGAATGATTTAACCCAAATGTTGTAAGGAGAAACAAGAATTAGTGTTGCACATATTTAACTTTACAATGGGCACTCTAAGCACCATAACCACTACAAATGATTGTAGTGGTTAAAGCCAAAGAATCTGTGGGTGCTTCCACTTCGCCTTCTAGCTTATGTTCAGCAGAAATAGTAATAACAGCCACCTTAAGCATCTGACCTTTTAAGGAACATAGCACAAATGCGATCACAACATGCTCCCCATAAATGTACTTTCCTAGTTTGCAGTTATTGAGAAAGGACCGCTCACCGCATTCACTCCCAAATTCAGGCCAAGTGACCCGAAGTTGCCAAAATCTTTAATTTTACATAAAATTTTAAATTCATATGAAACCGTTGTGAATTTGAGGAGCTCTAAAACACAGTGCTGTAATTTTCGGTCATTGAGAAATGTGTCTATCCTTTACAGAAATGGCAAGATATCATCAAAGAAGTGAAGTTCCTCCAAAGGATACAACATCCCAACAGTATAGAGTACAAAGGTTGCTATTTGAGAGAGCACACAGCATGGGTAAGGAGCTTTTCATTCCATTGTGTTTCAAGATTTTGCTGGGATTTAGAATGTTTTTTTTTTATTTTATTTTTTTTATATGCAATACTGGAAAAAAGGGGGAAAATATGTAACCTACCCATAATTAAGAATTGCACTATATAGAATTAAAAAATTCCCCACTGAAAAAGTGTTTTTGTATTAATGTATGTGAACACATTTGCTGTTAGCAAGGCCTTAATTTCCACTGCAAGCCATAGTATACTCACCAGGGGTAGATATCTACATTTTCAATAACCAAATGCAAATGGTGAGTGGGAATTCTAAGCCATGTATATTCTATTTTCCGAAATGTAGTTATTGTGATTAATCTTAAACTATTCATTGTACTAGGAGATTAGAAAATTGTAGCACCACTATCGCTATTAGTATTTGTGGATTAATGTATTTTTCTTCTTTTCCTTTTTCGGCTCTTAGCTGGTAATGGAATATTGTCTAGGGTCTGCATCAGACTTACTAGAAGGTAAATATTAGTAGGCTTTATTTGTTTTTGTTTTATTTACATAACAGTAGAAGTGGACGAAAACCGTTCCTCAGCTGTTGCAGAACTTCAACTCCCATGATGCTTTGCCACCTGCTATTTCCTCAAAGGAATTGTTGCTATTTTACAACAGCTGAGGATTTATCTTCAACAACTGTTCCATCAAATTTCCATACCCTCGTCCCTTCCGGGGAGGGAAATCAGCTGGATCCTGTGCTGCACAAGAGTGCTAGCACTCCTACTCCTCCACTGCAAGGTTCTGGAAGGTAAGTAAAGCTAGTTTTACACTTTCATTCTAGTTAGTTCATTCACCAACCAAGCTTAGGACATGGGACATTTAGGGGTAATGTAAGGGTTCAAATTAGGGTTAGGTTTAGAGTCTTGTGTTTATTTAGTGATATTTCACATTAGGGGAATATCTATAAATTGGGATTTTTCAAACTTTATTGTAACCCTTACCCCAAGGGTTAGGGTTAGAATAGAGTGTTAGAGAGGTTAAAATAACTTGCCTAACCCTAATTTAAACCCCCACTTAACCCTAAGTGTCCCGTGTGCACTAACTATAATGAAAGTGTAAAACTAGCTTTACTTACCTTCCAAGACCTTGCTGTGGAGTAGTAGGAGTGCTAGCATGCATGTGCAGCGCAGGATCCAGCTGATTTCCCTCACCGGAAGTGACGAGGATAGGGGATTTTCACTGGTATGGGGATTTTGATGGAACAGGCACAATTACTTTACCTGAAATGGATATTCTGACAGTTTAATGCATTTTAAATGTTTCAACTTTAACACTTTTTGTTTTTCAGTACATAAAAAGCCATTGCAAGAAGTTGAAATAGCCGCTATCACACATGGGGCACTGCAGGGTTTAGCATATTTGCATTCTCATAACTTGATCCATCGGTAAGTAATGTCTGCCCCTATGGAAATTGAGATTAGTTTTCTATGTCTGCCAGGAGTTTGGTGAGCCAATATTGCAATTTCCTTTCTTGTTTAAGCGACAATAAAGGCTAAATAAAACTCTTTTGGAAGAGTAAGCATCTTACCTATTGAAGACGTTATCAGTGCTGTCCATTTAAGCAAGATGCAACAGTCTCTAATGCGTGACTTAACTTACATTACCTTACTTTTTCTATTTGACATGCAGTGCAGTTTCAGTGCCTTCACTTATGGGTGGGACTAGGGCATTATGCTCTTTAGACTTCTGGCAACAGCTCACAATATATATTTGCTGTTGTGGCACATTCATCCCCAGTGCATTGGAGATCACTTTGATCAAAGCCTAAAGGAGGATGATGACAGATATGTCATTATATCACAGTTAACAATGTGTCAAAACTGACCCTCTCATATTTAATGTGCATTACCTTTCATCACTGCTTTGCAGTTGTATAAATAGTTTTTGTGCATTTGTAAACATAGATACACGTTTTCCTTTTTGTTTCTTCAAACAAGCAGTTCTTATTCTGTCATGAACTTGTCAGCCTTCAACCAGTTTCTCTTTTGGAACAAAAGAGAGTGAAACAACAATTGTGTGTAGTAGAGAGAGCAGACGCAGTGCAGGGATTTGAGTGCTCCCAGGTAAACTCTTTAAGGGAAACCAAGTAACAATGGCAGAAAGCTGCAGTATGAAAGGGAAAGGATGCAGTCCATGAATATTAAATGCAGAGAATGTCAGGCAGTTAGAGTATATAGTCCTTATAGCACGCATTGACAAGATGTGAGTTTCAAGTCAATGGTTTCCTTGTTCAGTAGAGCTCACCTGCAGGAGACATTATAAAAAGAAAGATAGCTGACTAATAAACCGACATACGTGCTGGAGTACTAATCACCATATATATTTCTGGCTGTCCTTTCATGCATGCTCTGTCTCACTGCTGTCAGTGGGTGAGTACGTACTTCATGGCACAGGGCAGTCCAGGAACACGGTGTAAAAAAGGGGCTGGCTTATACTGCAAAAAGGTGCAATTCTTTTTTGTTTGTTTTTATTTGCTTATACAAAGATAAATATAATTTTGAATGACAATCTAATAAGTTCTGATGATGCCCATAATGTGGGTGCCAGGTCCCTCTAGTTTTAACCCTTCAGCTGAAAACATAGCAGTGTCAGAAGCACTAGAGGCGCTTCCGCGATTCTCACAGTGAGAAGACGCTGGACGTCCATAGGAAAGCATTGAGTAATTGAGTAATGCTTGCCTATGGGCGGTTTGAATGCGTGCGCGGCTCTTGCTGCTCATGCGCATTCGGATCTGACGTCGGCAGGTGGAGGAGAGGTCACCAGTGCCGATGTAGCCCGGTGCTGGAGAAAGGTAAGTGGCTGCAGGGGTTATAACCCCTTCAGTCCAGCGGGAGGGGGCCCTGAGGGGGGGGGGGACCTAATAACCCTATAGTGCCAGGAAATTAGTTTTTTTTTTTTTTTTTTTTCTGGCACTATAGTGGTCCTTTAACTAATGCTATCTTTCATGATGATACTCTGATCCCATAATAAAAATTTTAAAAATGCTACAGTATTTGTATTATGTTAAGTGAGCTTGAAACATTAGCAACAAAAAAAGTAAAGCTATCCACATTTATTGTGCATTGGTTATGTAACTTAGTATGTATGTAACCATCAGGTGAATAATAGTCATTGTATTATCTCTGTTAATTGACTAAACATATGGCCACATATGTCTTATAGAAACTCTCCTAACACCATAACCAATAGGGCACCCTGTAGTGGTTATGGAGCTAGTAGTGCCCCCCCTTGTTTTACTACTTACATTGGGTCCACCAGACACTGCTCACTGCCTTTTGTGGAGAGCAAAAATCTTAACTTTTAGTCTCTGATAACCTGAGTTAAGCTCTGTACTGAGCAGTGACTGGTGCCAAGCAGATACCAGGTACAAGGTCAATCCATTAGCAAACAGTTTGACTACGTACAATAAAGGGGTACCAAGACATTCCTCACACCATAACCAGTACAGCACTAGTTATGGTTATTGTAGTGGTTATATACTTGGTGTTTTCCTTTCAGGAGCGTAGCATTACAGAGAAATAGGCATTAGTCTTCTGATACCTGTTGTGGTGTTGAGTACATATTGGGATACAAGCACTCTTTTCCACAGATGGCAGCAAGCGTGAAAAGGCAGGATCTGGTGGAATTTTTTTCCCTGTCTTTCCTCTTCTAAGCACAAAAGCACAAGCTCTATTTTGATAGAGATACACCACAATTGTATTCATCAACACGCCATGGAGAAACATAGGCCGGCGTGGTTTACTTTTCACCATTGTAACAACATCATTTCCTCCTTAGAGATATCAAGGCAGGTAATATCCTTCTCACAGAGCCAGGACAGGTGAAACTTGCTGACTTTGGATCTGCATCAATAGCATCTCCTGCCAATTCATTTGTTGGGACACCATATTGGTAAGTAATTGAATGTATTTTATCTATTTTTCCTTAACTGTGACTAAATGTAGTTATTTGTATGATTGTTTGATGGCTGAGCAGCCTACAATTAGTAGTCCACTGGAGATGATATTCCAAGAGTTGCACATTTAAGCTAATGAACTAGTATTGCTTTAAAGGAACCACGTACAGTCTATAGTTAGCTACATTTGCAGATATTTTTTTCCGGTTACAGTTAATGAAAGGGGGGTACATTAATAGAATGGGTAAACTATATATTATGAGTGAAGCATTATCCTGCTAGTTATCAGTTAATCCTTATTATTGTTTATGTAATCCTGATACACTGTTTTTGTGTATAAAATGTAACAGTTTTGGAGCCTCCCTTAAAAAGGTTCACAGCTAAGTCAGGCTGTTGGCTATCTTATGGACCGTTCACCAATAGGCTCTTATGAACACTCTCTGCAATACAGCCACTTGCTCGTCATTCCATATGTTTTCCAAATATTTTCATTTTGATTCTCACACTGCTTTTAGCTGGAAGGTGCTCCAGGCAGTTACTACTGTTCAGTCACCAACACTACCCACCCTATGTGTTTGTGATGGCTTAATGTTCTGATCTGCTTAAGTAGAAGATCCCATAGGACACAATGTGTGTGCTCCCACCATCCAAGGAGGAAACAAAGTTTGTGTTTCACCTGACAAATTTCCTTCCAGATTCCACTTTGGTTTTATTCCATTCCTTTCCTCCTCCTTTGCTTGACTATACATATAACTGTGACTTCTAGGGGAAGTACTATATAGGAAAGAGCCCCCTGAAGTGGTGCATTATGGGAGTTTCTACATCTAGTTGGAAATTACTATAAATGTTAAAAACTGTATTTCAGTCATTCATAAGTTAATACAATATTAATATTATTTCAACTTATTAAATCCATGATTTGCCTACCTGAAACAAAACAACAATATGGGGAACTGTTATTTTCAAATCAAGAACTACTAACTACCTTTTACATTTTAGGATGGCCCCTGAAGTAATATTGGCCATGGATGAAGGACAGTATGATGGAAAAGTGGATGTTTGGTCTCTTGGGATCACTTGTATCGAACTAGGTGAGTCCTAATATAAATAAAAATAAATTGAAGAATGTATTTAAATAAACTATTTACTTGTGCTCCTAAAATGTATGCAAAATTGTATCCTAGTATACAGTAGTCATTAGTGTAACAAACAAGTGTAGAACATATTTTGCCTTCAACTTTTGTTCATATACAATTCTGAAGAAATTAGTCCAGAAGTGTAAATCATTTCTGCAGCTATAGATCTGCCTGACTAGCACTAAAACACACACTTGAAAGTGACACTGTCATGATTATACACCCTTCTCCTTGCTACCAACCTATATTTTGTTACTGGCACTGGATCTTATTATCTAGGCACTGCTGTTTTGTTCTTCTCTGACCATGATGTCTACAGTTTGCCTTTTTTGGGATTCTTTTAAATGCTGGATTGTGTAAATTAGCTTAGCATGTGAAATTTTAAACATTGCATATTTCACCATTTGCTAAACATTGGCAACAATCACTCCCCATAAAAAAAGTACTTTTTTTTTTTTCTTTCTTTACCTTGAAATAGGTTTAAAAAAAAAAAAAGAGCGAGCGAGCGCAATACAGGGACCAAAAATGTTTTATTTAAAAAAATAAACAAATGACAGTGCCACTTTAATTGCAACTAGTAATCTTCGTTTTTCCCTTACTTCACACGACTGTTTTTCATTTTGATGATAATTTTTTTAGATTGATCGTTATTTGTTAAGAAAAGTATTCAAAATTGAGTGATATTTGTTTCATCGTATTCCACAGCGGAACGGAAACCTCCTTTGTTTAACATGAATGCAATGAGTGCCTTATATCATATAGCGCAGAATGACTCTCCTTCACTTCAGTCTAATGAATGGTGAGTATTCCACTTGATATAAAATCTCTTGCTTATTAGATTTGTTTATGAAATAAAACCATGAATAACTTCATTAACGGGCTCCACAACAATTATTGCTCACTTTAGTGGTTATGGTGGAAAGCATCTGTTGGTCCCATCCGATTTTTATATTAAACCATTTTCAAGTAATTTGACTAAATTTGGGGCTATAACAGGATGCCCAGTCCAGCTCCTCTAATGCTGCTTGACTTATGTTGATTAGCTCAGTGCTTTCAGACGATCACTGTTGCCCGAGGGTGGGCTTGTTGGGAATTTCATCTGAACTTTTGGATATCAGTGGAATCCTGGCATTTGCCAAATTACTTCAAAATGATGAGCATTAATAATTCTGGTGCTTAGTGTCCCTTAAGCTCAACAACATATGTCCACAATTGTGAGAAATATTATGTATAGACGTGCACCTAGAGAACTGCTCAGCCAGGTATGCCACGCAATATAAATTATCAGTAGTCTTTCTTTATATATCAGCATGCAGTTATATGGACTTTGCAAAATAACCTAGAATAACATGATCATCACTGCAGGAAAATAAAAATTTCCATTGTGCTACCACATAGCAGACTACCGCAGTATAGTACAGATTTTACATTCAGAGATGTTACATACCAAATGGGTTAACTGGCCCAGTGAGATCTTTTAAAATAAAATAGAACCATCTATGGATTCTGTTCTTAGTAAGTTTCATACAAAATACATGTTTTTTTAGAGCATTATATACAGCGTACAGACCTTCTTTGTTTCATGTCTTTCCATTAAACTTTATTGCATCTAATCAGTGATGGTAATCAATGTGTGAATGGATGACACCTATTGCTTGCATTTCATTACTTTTTCCTGGGATCAAGATTTGCACATGGTTTTACTTAAAGGGACACTACAGGCACCCAGACCACTTCTCCCCATTGGAGTGGTCTGGGTGCCAACTCCCACTACCCTTAACCCTGCAACTGTAATTATTGCAGTTTTCATAAACTGCAATAATTACATTGCCGGGTTAACTCCTCCTCAGGGCACTTCCTGATTAATAGCGCAGGTTTTCTGTGCTAGAGCGTCGCTGGACGTCCTCACACTGTGTGAGGACATCCAGTGCCTCTCAATTCCCGATAGGAAAGCATTGAAAAGCATTTTCAATGCTTTCCTATGGAGAGCTCTAATGTGCATCCGCGGCATTGCCGCACATGCGCATTAGGTCTCCTCAGCCGGCGGGCAAGATCAGTCTCCCCCGCCCGGCTGACGTGATGAAGGGGAGGAGCGGCGGCGGCAACCTGAAACCATCAGCGGGGGTCTCGGGTAAGTCACGGAAGGGGTTTTCACCCCTTCAGCAACCGGGGATGGGTGGTGGGAGGGAGAGAGGACCTGCAGTGCCAGGAAAACAAATTGTTTTCCTGGCACTGGAGAGTCCCTTTAACACAGTGCATCTAAAAGTACTGGTATGTTTACCTAGTACATGATTATATGAGAAGAGTGCTTCAAGCATGTCTAGGTTGTAAGCTTGTTGAAGCAGAACCCTTATTTCCATTAACGTTGGCAACAGCTTGTCTCCCTTATGACCGTTCTATACCAGTATTAATATGCGGACTATAATTTCCAGTAATAATAATTACACGCAAATGTACTATATCTCAAGCAGTATACTTACATAAAGAAATGTAGATAACAATATTATGTACCTTGTTTATTATTTTTGTTTTATTTTTGTTGCTGAAACACACTCTCACTCTTCCACTCACAGTCCCAAATTAGAGGCAACATATTATCCCTTCATTGAGAGGAAATGTGTAGTATTTTATTTTCTTTGGTTTGAAATCTAGTCACCACCCAGTTAGTGTTCTCAAGTGGTCTCCGAGCTGCAAATACTCTGCCAGCCAGCCTATCCTTTTCCTGGAAGTATGACTGTTTGTAACATTGTCTGAAACATGAACTTATATCCTCAGTATGACATGTTAGCTTAATCTTTGCTGGCAAATTACAGTGTGTGCTGTTAATTTTAGTGTGTGCTGTTAATCTTAAAATATCAACACTGCTAAGCACTGTAGTTCTTTCAGATTTCTTGCTCAGTTCCTGGCAATGTAGAAGTGACATTCCTTTATTTATGCATCCCAAACAACACCTCTGTTCTTCTGTGTACATTTTTTTTATTAGAAATCATCCTTGGTTTATGGTGTGATATTGTGACACATTCTTAATTGTTTTGTATTCATTTTACAGTTTAGTTTGCTTAATACAATTTTTATTTCAGTGTGGCCCATCTTGTAACATGCCCATCACATGCATATTTTTAAACTGATGTGCTTGTTTATGGGTTATTTACTGTTAGATTTTACGAGAGTATATTTAGATTTTTGCTAGGTATATTGTCTTGCTGCCTTCTGTCTGCTAAACAATGTGCTATTACAGAATGAACAGATTTTCTCCCATACAGACTGAGGTAATAGTTAAGTGGCAGAAATGAATCACAACTTCTCTCCAAATCCTAATTCTAATAACACCTTCTGAAGTTAATCCAGAGTGCAAGTTGGGTTTTTTTTTTTTTTGTTTGTTTTTTATATATGTATGTCAGCTTTAGTTAATTTATCTTTTTAACTTGTTTTTTTTTTTTTTTTTTTTTTTTTCCTGTATTTTACCATTTAAGGTCTGACTACTTCCGGAATTTTGTAGATTCGTGTCTTCAGAAAATTCCTCAAGACAGGCCAACATCAGATGAACTGCTCAAGGTCAGTATGGCCAATATCGCAATCTGCTTTTACCAGGTTATTCAATAAGCAGTGAATTCTGCAGGGAATTTTAGGACAAAATGTCGAATGACAAATTCCCTATGTTGCTATATACATTTTAAACTCCTTACTGCATTTCCAACACATCATAATTTAGAGTAACCCTGATAATATTATCTTTTACTGATACTCTTGAACTGCTTGATTGCTATGATTTCAGCAACAATTGCAGTTGTTGTTTCTTCTTCTTAGGATCTTGACATATTTACTCAACACCTCTCCACTTTGGGATTGTGGGTGGCCTTTCTAGCTTACTTAGTTTAGAGCACAAGCACTCTGCAATCCTTTGCTGAAAATGAAGAGGAGAAAGTTAGTATTTTAACCATAGCATCAGCTTTTAAGACAATATTTTATTCATAGGACTTTCCAAATTCTTCTCAGAATGGCAAAATATTAGACGTTCGTTTAATGGTTTATTACATTTGAGATGTTATTTTTACTTTGCATTATCAAGTATTTGCACTTTCTGAGCAGGAGAATTAAGTGCTTGTATTAACTCTTATTGCCTAAAGGGTTAATAGGAGTTCAGCACTGTTGAATCCTGCTAATGCAAGTTAATAGTTTGGTCAAATAATGAGTAAATTAGACTACATTATAATGGTTGACATAAAGATGTGTTTTGAGTACCAGGAAGATCCATGTTCAGCTTGCCCGAAATGGAGTGAATGAACCCCATAGCCTATTTGCACTGTAGGTGTTTGAACTTTTCTGTAATGGTCGCACACTTTAAATATTTAGATCTGTGCATTTTGCCTTCATTCTTGACAGTTATGTATAGATTTGGCAGCTTGATTGTAGAAAAGAAAGCAGCATTTGGTATTTGTCTGGTGAAGGGCACATCTTTGTTTTAGCATCTTAACTCAGCTGGCCTAGTAATGCAAACGTTTGATCTCGCAGAATCCAGTGTAATATAATAGTGCACACATATTTAAAATAGAGAACTTGTGCACATGTAAATGTCTTTCGTGCTACCATGATGCACTTTCAAATGAATTTATAAATAACTTGGGTACTGGATTTTATGCTTAATAAAACTGACCAACCAATTATTGCAAAATCATTAAACTAAATTACAAACTGCATGTACCTACATATCCCACAAGGAATCAAATCTAAAAGAACAAAACCAATGTAACTTGGTAATAGATATGGAAAAAATGGGTGAATACCTTGTGGCATAAAATAGTAAGATTATCTTGTTCTTGGAAGCTATTTAATTTTCCTGAATAATTTCTTTCCCTTCATGGTGATAACGGAGTAACAACATTCTGATGTAGGGATTGTAGAAATGTGGTAATGAATTTTTTTTTTTTTAATGAGGGAGGGGAGGGGGATTGTTCAACCTCTCACCTGGGATATTGCAGACCTGTGAACTTGACATCTGTGGTGTAAAATTATTTGGAGGGCCCCTATAGGTAATATGCAGCAATCTATATTAAACATAAATAGGAGTCTGCTTATTCTGTGAAGATACAACCTTTGAAGACCGGAGTAAAAGTATTGCTCATAGTGTTGCTGTAAGTGTATTCTGTTTTAGATGTTGCGCAATTATATAACTTGATTTCGCATAGGAAGTTGCTGTACTAGAATCGGATACTGGATAAAACAGAGAAGTCTGTGGATTGTCAATGTAAACATTTCACACTGAATAAATATAAGACTCTGAGAGTACTACTGTCTTGGGTTCAGTACAGATGATGTGAAATTTTGGAAAGGTAATTTCCTGAATCTGCTCAGTATGTTTTCTCTGCAGAAGGTGAACTAGAGATTGGAGAGGCAAGGTGGCATTGATTACATTGTAAAACAATATGTCCTTATTTACAATATATTTTACTAGCACAGGTGTATTTTACAATCTTTTGAATATAGAAAATAGATGAAAAACATGAATAAATATTCATATTTGCATTTTTTAACTTGACATTTAGTAAGTAACAAACGATTAACTGATGTTTGTTATGAATTTGTTGATCAAATACTGATAAGTCTTCAGAGATTATTAAATGTATGAGTCTGCATCCTCGTATCATATCAAAGCTCAAAGAAACTAAACTGTGCCAAACATATGCACAGCAAATGTGTGTGTATATTTATGTATGTTTATCTATATATATATATATATGTGTGTGTGTGTGTGTATATAATATATATTAAACGTATTGTCCTGCACTCGCTGCTCCCGGTCTTGTCTGTTGCCCAGGTGCAAACTTCGACCTCCAAATATATAAATCCTTGTTTGAGGTGCACTCACAGGACTCGGAATTATTTCAAATCATGCTGTTTATTCAAAGCATCAAATTTCCAATAAATGGTGTCAACGTTTCAGTCCTCCAGGGACTTTTCGAGTGCACTCTGGAGTCTGTAGAAAGTATAGATGCTTTTATTGAGCACAAATCATACATCAACATTTCAGTCCAACCTGACTTTTCTCAAGAAGACCCTGAGAAAAGTCCGGTTGGACTGAAACGTCGATGGATGATTTGTGCTCAATAAAAGCATCTATACTTTCTACAGACCCCAGAGTGCACTTGTCTTTATTCCTGTATTATGGCTGGAGTTGGCACCACAGGCATTCTAAAGACCAGGGAACTTGATTGCTTGGATTTTGGTTTGTTTGTGTGTGTGTATGTATGCATGTGTAAATGTGTGTATTTTTAAATATATATATATATATATATAATGACAGAGCAGTTCTATATGCATAGTTAGAATGTGAACAAATTCATTTTTTAATTCTAATATACAGTGTGTTTTGTGGTTATCCTTTTAAAGCCTTTGACTACCCATCAATATATTTGCACATTGGTGTCTTTTAGAAAAAGTGGTTTGGCTGTTTTTGCTAATTTTTAATTTGCAAAACAGTTATTTCTCTGTAATAATGTTTATTACTGGTAGGCTACATACCAGAAGTATGTGGATTCAGTTTGTTCAGCTTTACCCATGAGCATCCCTATGTTGAGATATGAAATCTGGTTGGGTGGTCCCTGCCAGTGACTATTCTACATAATTGTATATTAGAAAGTAATGCATCATTGATAATGGTTCTATCCAGCCTACCCTTTGACAAGCTTTCTATCCAAGTACATACATGCCAATGGCCTGTCATTTAAAGGGGAACCGTCACTTATCTAGAAATTAAACCTTTTAATAAAGCATTAAATATCACCTATGACCTGTACACGCGTTGCTATGTTTCTTTTTAAATGTTATATTACATATTTTGCAATTTACATAATCCAGTTCAGACTAGATACTGTTTGCAAATGAGGAGGTGGAATAGAAACATATTTTCATTTCCCTTCCATGTTATGTTTTCTCGATGCTTACAGCCTAGTGAAAAGCACAGAGTTTATAGAAATGATTGTCAGGGAGCCACAGCTGAGGTGCCCAGTTCAATGATAAAGAAGTGTTGTTTTAAATTTGTTTTCACACCTGACACACATATTTGTTAAATATAAGGAAACATAATATTAAAAATACTTATAGTTGACAGTTCCTCTCTAAGATCAAGGTTCTTTGCATCAGCATAAACGTTTAGCGAATTCTAAATCTATGTCTACAGAACTGCCTTGTTATAAATTTCATTCATAAAATAACTGTTTAATAAAATATCTTCATTAGAATATGTTGTTCAATGATGGGTTACTTGTTTCTATAATAAATTCCAGTGTGCCTTTATGCGTTATTGATTGTATTCCATCTATTTCCAGGGATTAAACCAGAGTGGTGAACCTTGAGTGATGCTTGGTGACCACTGGCAACATTTGAAGTTGACGAATAGTTTCTGTTATCATATAATACACTTTGTGAATTGCATGTGTGGAGTCTCAAAAACGTTAGACTGTGCCCACTGTGATCTTCATTAAATACTTGCATAATTATAATACAAGTTCACATTTAAATACGTGAAAATTACAACTGCATATTTTGTAATAAACTGAGTAATGCAGTATCCTATTTTCAATACTGCCTTCTAGTGGTGGAAGTTATAATAATCCAACATAGAAAATAAAGAAAATCTATATTTAATGAGTTGTGTACCATATGTTTTGGTATCGTTTATTAGTTTAAAAGTTAAGTATTTCTTTTTCTTCCTCACTGCTTAGCATGTAAAATAAATGTCTTTTCTGTAGAAGCTTACTTCATGGTTTATTTACAATTATTTTAGAAATCTTATCTACATATCTATTGTTTTTTTATGTTGTTGGGTTTTTTTGACAAATTTTACAAAATGTAATTATTCACTACAGCACATGTTTGTCCTTCGAGAGCGACCTGAAACAGTGTTAATTGACCTAATCCAGAGGACGAAGGATGCAGTCAGAGAATTGGATAACCTACAGTATCGTAAGATGAAGAAGCTGCTTTTCCAAGAGGCTCATAATGGTCCTGCTGTGGAAACACAAGAGGAGGAAGAGGTATTTCACTTTATCCAGTCATGTATTAGGTTATTAATGGCTGACATTGACATGCCAAAAGTTTCTGCCTTTTCTGTGATGATTACCTAGTTAGAAGTTTGGGAGCTACAATAACTATGATGCTGGTTTAGAATATGATTATATGTGGTATCATGGTTAACCATCACTGTACTAAGCCATTGATTTATGAGAATATATAGATCCTGGTGGGCTATATTATGGTCCATTTGTGTCATTTGCATTATTGTTAGTGGGTTACTCCATGCCCCATGAACATTTCACTGTTTTGAAGTGGTCATGGCGCATGTACCCTGTATGTACAGCATTTCAGTATTTTTTTTTTGATGCCTTTGATGTAAATCCACCACTGACAGCTATCTTTAGCCAGCCCGGAACGTGACTTCTGAGCTTACGAATGTGAATTCTCTATATATTCATTGCATAGGTTTTCATTCATTGGCTTAAAGTGCTCTACTAACACTCTCAGCCAATGAATGAACAGCAGTAGCTGGAAGTAGCTCAACGTACATTCTTGGAGGTTCGACACGTGTCAGGACCCTTCTTGTTTGCTCTATACTAGGGAATAGTATCATTGTATTCTTGGCTCCATAAGTAACTACAGCAAGCTACAGTGCTTGTGATGCTTGGAATAACCCCATAATTCTTAAGTATCACATAAACCGATAAACCTGTAATAGTAAGTATTTAAAAACATGAATCAAGCGGTAAAACTCTGAATAAATTAATTTTAGAAATCATTAGTAGGAAATTAACCAACCATCACAATACCCATTGATAACTCTCTAGATAAACATTGCCCACGAACCAATTCATAACCACGAGAGCAAAGCATAAATTCAAAGCTATCAATTTATATTTCTATTGTAAGCCAATATATTAAATTCCACTACAACCCATCTTGCAAAGGTTTATGTGACAAATAGATCTGACGAGTGAAACTAAGAGTGAGACTGAATTAATGAGTAAAACTGCTCAATAAACTGAGAGCAGCCACACCTTGGAGACCGTTAGTTTATTCACAACCCCAGTCACTTTGATCTCCGGAGTTATTGACCGTACGTGCACAAAGCTGTAGCTCAGAACTAGAAATGGAAGAGATTTGCTTGAAATGCACATGCCTATCCCTTAATATGGGCTGATGATGTGTTGCAGAGAAATAAGAAAAAAAAAAAAAATTTTTCATGTTACTGAGAGAAGGAACAGTCATTGAAGCTGCAACAATTTTTACAAATCACTGAACAGTCAGCTATAAATTTCTATGTGGTATAACCTATTTAGTGAGCATAGGTTCTCCTTATGTTTAAAAGGATACTTTATTGAAACCTATTGGAAGTTCATTGCTACTGGTAAAATTATCTGCAAAATCATCTACATCATAACTGTGTGGTGGTTTTCTAAGGATTGCACACATTTGTGACAAGCAGGAGCCAGGGGGCAGGTCAACCAGGCCCCGTCTTCACAGCTAAAGGAGTAAACTATTTGTAAATGATTTAACCCCTTATGATAAGATGGTACCCAGGACCTCCTGGCACTATAACCGTTTCATTGAGAAGAAATCGCTACGGTGCCAGGAGTGTTCCTTTAATTGTGTTTGCAATGTATCATTGCACATTTTGTTTTGAATATTGAGTAAGCCATTCAAAACCTTACTGATGATTGTGTTTAAGCCAACTAAAACTCTTGCCTCAGAAAAGACAAAAAACTTGTGTACAGCAGCATAGGTGTGGGATTTTTTTATTTAGATTTTATGATGTTGAATAATTGTGTTGTTGACATACATATGTATATAAATAGACATATGTATATAAATAGTGACCTTGTCACTCTTTGTATCTGGCAAAGTTGTGGAAGACTTAGGTGAAATGTATTTTATAGTTGCTCCTTGGTGCATAATTTAAGGAAAAAGCAGGAAAGTATGACCAACTGTAAAGACACAAAAATGTGAAGTGTACGCCTCTTGGCTAACGCACTCAAAGATGCGAGACAAAACACAAACAGGGGGGACATCCCATAAATTCCCAGATATTCTTAGGGCATTCCAAGGGTTTTATACTGACCTCTATAAAATACGTACTGCCCGCCTACTGTTACTGAATTGGAGCAATATCTCGCTCCCCGAAACAAACAATGCCCTACGACCTTTTACAATATTTAGACGCACCATTACATATAGATGAATTTTTCTTACCAGTAAAAACCTCCCCACTGGCAAAGAGCCCAGGACCAGCCGGCTTCACTGGCCAAGTACTATGAGACATTCTCGAAAACTGCTCGCAGGTCCCTTCATTAACGAATTCAACTCCCTCATCACATCCCTGCAACTACTAGATGCCGCTCTGGAAGCCCATATTACCCTTATTCCTAAACCAGGGAAAGACACGACGACCCTCTGTGGGAGTTACCACCCTATTTCCCTTAATAATACTGACCTTTAAAGGACCACTCTAGGCACCCAGACCACTTCAGCTTAATGAAGTGGTGTGGGTGCCAGGGCCAGCTAGGATTAACCCATTTTTTTTATAAACATAGCAGTTTCAGAGAAACTATGTTTACAAATGGGTTAATCCTTCCTCCAATTCCTCTAGCGGCTGTCTCATCGACAGCCGCTAGAGGCGCTTGGGTGCTTCTCACTGTGAAAATCACAGTGAGAGCACACAAGCGTCCATAGGAAAGCATTGTAAATTCTTTCCTATGCGACCGGCTGAATGTGCGCGCAGCTCTTGCCGCGCGTGCGCATTCAGGCGAATGGGAGGATCGGAGGATCAGCGCTGGAAAAAGGTAAGTTTTTACCCCTTTCCTCTCCCCAGAGCCGGGCGGGAGTGGGACCCTGAGGGTGGGGGCACCCTCAGGGCACTATAGTGCCAGGAAAACAAGTATGTTTTCCTGGTACTATAGTGGTCCTTTAACTCGTTACTAAAATCTTTGCCACCCGCCTATGTCCCCTACTGCAGGGACTGGTCCACCCTGACTAGGTGGTTCTGTGCCCGTACGTGAAGCCAAAAATAACACCACCAAATTACTAAACCTAATGCACTAGGCTCAACAATCTGACACCAAGAGCCTTTTATTATCGATTGACCCAGAAACGAGTGGACTGGTTCCTACTGTTCACAACCCTTAAAGCTATAGGCTTCGGCCCAAACTGGTTACACTTGATACGATCCATATACTCCTAACTAAGAGCACGAATTAGAACTAATGGCCAACTATCCGAACCCCTCCCAATCTTAAATGGCATGAGACAGGGGTGCCCATTATCACTGCTCCTATTTGTCCTAATCATGGAACCCTTTCTCCTGGGTACCAGGGACAACCCCACTATTCACAGCTTCACTGTACAGGACAGAAAATTAAAGGTGTCAGCCTTCGCTGATGACCTTCTGTTTACAATTACACAACCGTTCCTGTCTATGCCACAGATTTTGGAGGAAATCTCCCTATATCACCATGTGTCCAACTTTAAAGTCAATTTCACAAAAAGTGAAATCCTCCCATTGGTGATCAATGATCAAACTAAGACATCTATAAAAATACTCCATTCCTAGCGTCGTCCACATCTGTTAAATACTTGGGAATACATCTGCCTATACACCTATGAAAACTCTATAACCTGAATTTCCCGCTCCTATTGCAAACTATTTCTCAAGACCTAACTAAATGGCACAAGCCACACTTTGGCTGGCTATGCCGAGTAAATATTATAAAAATGAACATACTCCCCAAAATTCAGTACTTATTACAGACAATCCCTATAGCTATACGCAAAACGTTTTTCTCAGAATTTAAAAATATAATTTAGTCACTTCATCTGGGCACACACCCACCCCAGACTTCCGTTTAAAACCCTCACAAGCTTCAAGGTAGCCTGGGCTTTCCAGACATTGAACTGTACTACCAAGCCACTATGCTCAGTAGAATATATGAATGGACGCTTCCAAACAATTTTAAACACTGGGTCTTTTTGGAGAGAGCTGCACTCCAACACCTGCTATACACTATTCCATGGCAACACACGGGTAAAGCTTCCCTCAAACCAGTTCATGCAACGCACCCCACAGTAATACCTACTCTTAAAGTATGGACCCAAGTTAGGTAACTACAGAGCATATCTCCTCACCCATCCCATTTATATTCACTTACACACAATCAGAGGTTTCTGCCTGGTCTCCATCTCTCTTCATTCGCAGCATTCCACTCCTCCCAGTACCTCACCCATCCTCATTACTGAACGACCAGAGCCTTACACATCTCAGCAGCCTTTGGACCGATACATCACCTTCGGCGTTACAACCAGGGGTCAAGTCCTGGGGAAAAAAGTGTGGGAACTCACCCAAGATTCCCGCCTCCCCCCCTCCACCCCCCTTAAGAAAATTACACTCCTATGCATAAAGTGCAGTGCAGGGTGTGTATAATGAATGTAGTGTGTTTGTAGTGAATGCAGAGTATGAATAATAAATGTAGTGTGTTTGTAGTGAGTGCAGTGTGAATAATAATTGTAGTGTATTTGTAGTGAGTGCAGAGTGTGTATAATGAATGTAATGTGTTTGTAGTTAAAGGACCACTATAGTGCCAGGAAAACATACTCGTTTTCCTGGCACTATAGTGCCCTGAGGGTGCCCCCACCCTCAGGGTCCCCCTCCCGCCCGGCTCTGGAAAGGGGAAAAGGGTTAAAACTTATCTTTTTCCAGCGCCATGGAGAGCGAGCCTTCTGCCCGCATCCCTCCTGGCTGAATAAAGCATGCGCGTAAGCAGCTGCGCTACAACATTCAGCCCGTCAGATAGGAAAGCATTTACAATGGTTGCGCCACTTGAGGGGATAGGGAAGGTTTAATCTATTATTAAACATAGCAGTTTCTGAAACTGCTATGTTTATAAAAAATGGTTAACCTCTAGATTGAGACCCAGACCACTTCATTAAGCTGAAGTGAATCTGGGTGCCTAGAGTGGTCCTTAAGCAAATTGTGTATGTCGAATTTAGTGTGTTTGTAGTGAGTGCAGAGGTGTACAATGAATGCAGTGTATGTAGTGTGTTTGTAGTGAATGCAGAGTGTGTATAGTGAATGTAGTGTGTGTAGTGAGTGCAGAATGTAGTGAATGCAGAGTGTGTATAGTGAATGTAGTGTTTGTAGTGAGTGTATAGTGAATGTAGTGTGTTTGTAGTGAGTGAAGAGTGTGTATAATGAATGCAGTGTGTGAGTGCGCTGGATGATGTGTGTGTGAGTGCAGGATGATGTGTGTGTGTGAGTGCAGGATGATGTGTGTGTGTGAGTGCAGGATGATGTGTGTGTGTGAGTGCAGGATGATGTGTGTGTGTGAGTGCAGGATGATGTGTGTGTGTGAGTGCAGGATGATGTGTGTGTGTGCAGGATGATGTGTGTGTGTGTGAGTGCAGGATGATGTGTGTGTGTGAGTGCAGGATGATGTGTGTGTGTGTGTGTGAGTGCAGGATGATGTGTGTGTGTGTGTGTGAGTGCTGGATGATGTGTGTGTGTGTGTGTGTGCTTGATGATGTGTGTGTGATGTGTGTGTGTGCTTTATGATGTGTGTGTGATGTGTGTGTGTGCTTGATGATGTGTGTGTGTGTGTGCGCTTGATGATGTGTGTGTGTGTGTGCGCTTGATGATGTGTGTGTGATGTGTGTGTGTGCTTGATGATGTGTGTGTGTGTGAGTGCTGGATGATGTGTGTGTGAGTGCTGGATGATGTGTGTGTGTGCTGGATGATGGGTGTTTGTGTGAGTGCTGGATGATGGGTGTTTGTGTGAGTGCTGGATGATGCGTGTGAGTGCTGGATGATGTGCGTGTGAGTGCTGGATGATGTGCGTGTGAGTGCTGGATGATGTGTGTGTGTGTGAGTGCTGGATGATGGGTGTGCTAGATGATGTGTGTGTGAGTGCTGGATGATGTGTGTGTGAGTGCTGGATGATGTGTGTGTGTGCTGGATGATGTGTGTGTAAGTGTGCTGGATGATGTGCGTGTGTGTGCTGGATGATGCGTGTGTGTGCTGGATGATGTGCGTGTGAGTGCTGGATGATGTGCGTGTGAGTGCTGGATGTGTGCTGTGAGTGCTGGATGATGTGTGTGAGTGAGGATGATGTGTGTGTGCGTGTGTGAGTGCTGGATGATGGGTGTGTGAGTGCTGGATGATGGGTGTGTGTGAGTGCTGGATGATGGGTGTGTGAGTGCTGGATGATGGGTGTGTGAGTGAGTGCTGGATGATGGGTGTGTGAGTGCTGGATGATGGGTGTGTGAGTGCTGGATGATGGGTGTGTGAGTGCTGGATGATGTGTGTGGGGGGGGGGAGCATTTTTTTCTTACTTTATGTGTCTATATTTTTTTATTTTATTCCCCCCTCCCTGCTTCTTACCTTGTCAGGGAGGGGGGAGATCGCCTGGTGGTCCGGTGGAGGGAACCAGCCGCTGCACAGAGGGGCCATCACACACTGTGTTCCCTCTCCAGCTCTAACTCTCGCGAGACTCGCCTGTGCGGAGCGTTGCCATGGTAACAGCCGCGGGTCTCGCGAGATTTATAGCTGGAGAGGGAACACAGCGTGTGCTGGCCCCTCAGTGCAGGTAGCAGGGCCGGTCCTGCAGGACAGGTAACGGGAACGGCGTTCCTGCTTTGGAAAAAGTGCAGGAACGCCGTTCCCATGCGTTCCTGCAGGACTCGAGCCCTGGTTACAACAATACAGGTACTCTCAGCTCACTCACTTTATCACATCCACCCCTAACCTCCTCAAAGGGAACAGACAACTTACAATATTTGAAAACCACTGTACTTCCAGCAACATTAAAACTAAACATCTCAATGTATAAGCTATTGCAACAGAAAGCATCTCCCTTCCTTGCCCAAATACACAAGCTCTTGGGAGTCTAAGCTCAACTTTACACTAACACAAAAGGACTGGAAACGCATATTCATTAATCTACATAAGTCCAGCATTGGCACACACACTCAAGAAGGAAACTACAAAGGATTGTCCAGATGGCATCTAGCGCCATCAAAAATACAAAACATTTTATCAAATGCATCAGAAGCCTGTTGGATATGCTCCCACCCTTAAAGGGACATTATAGTCACCAGAACAACTACAGCTTATTGAATTTGTTCTGGTGTGTAGAATCATTACCGTCAGGCTTTTTGCTGTATACGCAGTCTTTTCAGAGAAAATGCAGTGTTACATTACAGCCTAGTGATAACTTCACTGGCCACTCCTCAGATGGCTGTTAGAGATCCTTCCTGGATCATGGCTGCCTAAAATGCATCCAAACATTCAGTATCTCCTCCCTCTGCATGCAGACACTGAACTTTCCTCAGAGAGATTAATTGATTCAATTCATCTCTACGAGGAGATGCTGTTTGGCCAGGGCTGTGTTTGACTCATGCTGGCTCTGCCTCTTTGTCAGTCTCAGCCAATCTTATGGGGAAGCATTTTGATTGGATCAGGCTACCACTTCTGATGATGTCAGCCGACTGCCTGTTTTTCTGAGTCTAACAGCCTGCAGATTTACAGCTTCTGGCTTGAATACAGTAAAATTGTGTTATATTTATGGAGGCATGAGGGGCCCAGGGGGTCTAGATGGTGAGTTTTAACATTATAGGGTCAGGAATACATGTTTGTGTTCCTGACCCTATAGTGATCCTTTAAGGGACAACAGATCATATATGGTGGACCTGCCCAACTATTAGCAAATACTGGTCCAAAATTGTCAAAATGATTTGCTTAGTGACCAAAATCAAGTTGCCTAACACACCGGAACGTGACTCTTCTTTCACTACCCGAACCCACTTCACAGAATGACACGATCGCTGATCACACATCTGCTCACAGCAGCCATTGCTCTTATTCCAGTGAACTGGAAAAAACTAAGAGCGCCCACGATCCGGGAATGGATCAATAAGGTAGAATCCATTTGCCTCCTGGAAGAGGTTCACTTTTCTTTAAAGCGTACACATATAGCACATACTAAAAGCATATGGGGCCCATGGTCGCTTTTTCTCAACACCGGATGAGTCAGCAATCAGTTAGCACACCCAATGTAATGGTATACATTAAGGGCTTCAGATAAATTTTTATGCCAGACTGAAAGTTAAATTTGTTTCCAGTTTCTCCCAAATGTTCATATCTTGTTTTAAAGGAACACTATAGTCACCTAAATTACTTAAAGCTGTTTTAGTGTATAGATCATTCCCCTGCAATGTCACTGCTCAATTCACTGTCATTTAGGAGTTAAATAACTTTGTTTCTGTTTATGCAGCCCTAGCCACACCTCCCCTGGCTATGATTGACAGCCTACATGAAAAAAAAAACTGGTTTCACTTTCAAACAGATGTAATTTACCTTAAATAATTGTATCTCAATCTCTAAACTTAACTTTAATCATATACAGGAGGCTCTAGCACGCTATTAACATAGCAGGGGATAAGAAAATCTTAATTAAACAGAACTTGCAATAAAGAAAGCCTAAATAGGGCTCTCTTTACAGGAAGTGTTTATGGAAGGCTGTGCAAGTCACATGCAGGGAGGTGTGACTAGGGTTCATAAACAAAGGGATTTAACTCCTAAATGGCAGAGGATTGAGCAATGAGGCTGCAGGGGCATGTTCTATACACCAAAACTGCTTCATTAAGCTAAAGTTGTTCAGGTGACTATAGTGTCCCTTTAACCAGTACAAGATTATACTACACAGGCAGGAATAGCACTAGCCCCTCAATTCCTGTTTCGAATATGCTGTAACCCTTTTAGGTCAAAGAAATGTAGTTACATTGTATTCCTCCAACAGAATGTTTGTTTGACCATGTGTTTACAATAGCATTATACTTTGTTCCTAAGGTACTCATACACTGTAGTGTTGCAATGCCTGTAACCAGTCAAAAGTCAATACAAAATTTGAAAACAAAAAAATTAACAAAATATGAAGTGTAATTTATCAAAATAAATCTAATTTTGAGAATAAGTGCATTGTTTATTGCACTTTATTATTTATTTTATTATTCATTTATTCTTACGAAGTGCTAATATCTGTTTTGTATTTTTCTAGGAGCAAGAACATGGAGTTGGCCGGACAGGGACAGTGAATAGCATTGGTAGTAACCAGTCCATTCCCAGTATGTCAATCAGTGCCAGTAGCCAAAGTAGTAGTGTGAATAGTCTTCCAGATGCCTCGGATGATAAAAGCGAGCTTGACATGATGGAAGGAGATCACACTGTAATGTCGAACAGCTCTGTCATCCATTTAAAACCGGTAAATATAGAACAGAATAGAGTGTTGCTGCGTCATTAGTGTGGTACATTAGTCTGTTTCATTAAAATACAGAAGTGGTTGGTTTTTTTTTTTTCTTCCTTGCTTTTAAATTTGTCTTGGATTTTTAATCCCTTAAGGACGTTGGGGGGTTCTATGCCGTCCTTGGGGACCCAGCTCTAAATGCAGGTGGCATAGAACGTACTTACCCGGTTGCTGGCGATCCCACGCTGGCCACCGTGGTGTGGGGAGTCCCCATCCTCTCTCACATGGCCCCACTGGGCCATGTGATTGCGAGGACCTCACGATCACATGGACGGCATGCTGCCCCTGCTGCCTGAAAATAGTAAAAAAAAAAAAAAAAGTTAAAGATACAGTTTAAAATAAAATATATACTTAGATCATATATATATATTCATTATATATATGATCTTAGTGTGTGTGTGTGTGTGTGTATATATATATATATATATATAATATATATATATATATTAAAAATACACGTGCAGTGATATTGATTAAATATATAATTTTCATTTTATATATATATATATATATATATATATATATATAATAAAATAAATATGTACATAGTTAAAAAATATATATATAAATTCGTTCTAACCGTATTTTAAAATTTATATATATATATTGATGTCAAAATACATGTAGAACAAAATAATATATATATCTATATACCAAAGTATATATGTATATATCACTATATACTTATATATAAATAAAAAGAATTTAAATACACACACACACACACACACACACACACATGCAATCAGTCATGAGCACTCCCTTGGATTTTCAAAAAAGGTATTTAATCCAGTGTTAGTAACTCACATCAACGTTTCGACCCTACAGGGTCTTTATCAAGATAGTAACAACGTGCAAATAGTATCAATATATAGCAGAATAAGAAGAAATCTAACTTACCCCACCTGTAAAGTGATCCCCGCGTTCATCAAGTGCCGATCAATCGTGCGCAAGTGTGGTTACGTCCGTGCATACGTGCGTGATGACGTGCCCAGAGACTGTGTCCTCTGTTATAGGTATGTTACAGCTTTGGGCGATATGTTCCGGTTTCTATCACACTACATATTCCAATATCTGTCTGATCTTCCGTTTTGCTATGGTTTTTATGGTGGCTTGGGGTTACCATGGATATGGTTTGTGTCCATGGGTTTACGCTGTGGTCACGTTATCACGCACGTATAGGGGCACGTATGCACTGACGTAACCAAACATGCGCATGATTGATTGGCACTTGATGAACGCGGGGATCACTTTACAGGTGGGGTAAGTTAGATTTCTTCTTATTCTGCTATATATTGATACTATTTGCACGTTGTTACTATCTTGATAAAGACCCTGTCGGGTCGAAACGTTGATGTGAGTTAACACTGGATTAAATACCTTTTTTGAAAATCCAGGGGAGTGCTCCTGATTAATTGCATGTATCTACTGGCTTGGAAGCACCCGTGTAATATTACTCCCTGTATATATTTTTGGAGGATGAGTGCCAGAGTTTGGCCATATATATATATATATATATATATATATATATATATATATATATAATAATTTTACATAATTAAGTCATTTTAGTAATTACAATTTGCGGGACCTGCCTGACAATCCAGGCAAAAAATTCGCCAGGTTGGTTATGTTGCATTTGAGACAGTATGTTAGCCCAGGAATGAAAATTACCCCCATGATTGCATACCATTTGCAAGGTATTGCAAATGGGCTATGTCCAGTCTTTTTTAGTAGTCACAAACACTGGCCAAAATTGGTGTTCAAATTAGTTTTTTGCATTTTTCACACACAAACAAATATTAATGCTAACTTTGGCTAGTGTTTGTGAAGTGGCTACTAAAAAAAAAACTGAACATACTCCTTTTGCAATACTTTAAGCCGTCTTCTTTTGCAAATGGTATTCCATCATGGGGGTAATTCTCATTCCTGGACTACCATTCGATCTCAAAGGCAACGTAACCAATCTGGCGAATTTGAATGTGAAAAAAATGAATAATGTAACATGCTATATTTGACCCTGTAACGTCCCAAAACCTTATAAAACCTGTACATAGGGGGTATTGTTTTACACGTGAGACATCGCTTAATACAAATATGTGTATTTTATTTCAGTAAAATCAAACCATATTATGACATTCACAGTTACTGTCACGTAGAATTAAAAAAAATTGTAAAATTCTTATTTTCTCCCTTTTTTTTTTTTTTTCTTTTTTTTTATTTTATTCATATTAAATTGTTTCATACCTAAATAGTGGTTGTTAAATGAAAGCCTTGTTTCCCTTGAATAAAATGATATATAATAAGTGTGGGTGCCCATAATATGAAAGAGGCAAATTACGCCTGAACAGACTTATAGCGCAAATTCCAGTTTTTGTTTACGTTTTGTTTTGATCACAACGTATACATTTGGCTCAGTCCTTAAGGGGTTAAATACAATGTAGGTGTAACATTAAAAATCATGGGAAAAGACCGTTCCCTTTTTAGGATCAATTGCTATTTTTAGTAAGAAAACGGTACCCTTGCAGCAAATGGCAATAAATCATATTCCGTAAAGTTTTATTTAGCACGGCAAGTAATATAAAATGAGAATAAAAATAGAGAGTATTAAATATGGCTTTAATAACAGTTTATAATAGTCCATTGAGATAAACCTTACTTGTTGCAGTAAATCTAGTAGTTTTCAAACATTCATTGTAGAAGAATTAATTTGTCAGGTTTACTTGATAGTAAGTCAAATAAAACTCAAATTGTTTTATTTTTCTGGTAAATGTCATTATTGTGACCCACGCTTTGTTTCTTCAGGCATATTGACACAAGTTTTTACAAATCGTATACCGCTGAATTAGCTTTTCAATTAAGTTGTTCAAACTCAGCAGCTATAGTGGAATCCTGCACATCTTTGCCTTGCACACTCAATTGCCAGAATTGTACTATCCTAAGTGAATATATAGCATATGTACCTTTTCAAATATAAGCATAGTTCAACTTTTTATTTGCTGTGAATCCATAGCTGCCCAGCTTACATTTTGAAATTGCTAAATTAGTATCTTACTAGTGCTTACTAGTTGCCATAAAAAAGCTGCTCATATCGATTAATTCTTGTGGTGACATACAATAGCATGTCATCTTTTAGTTCACCTCTAGTTCTAATTCATGCCCAGACTTATGACTGGAACATTGAGCGTTTTCTGTTTAACCACTCATATTATTGTTTTTACACTGTTTTTTTTTTTTAAATTTTTTATTATTATTATTATTTTCCACATCTTTGCTACAAGCTTGATATTTGGTAAGCTTTTCATGTAGCGGTATTTGCATTATTTGAACAGAGATATTTTGTCAGGACACGTTTTCATAAAATTAATTTTGGGGGTATGAAAAATTCCACCTTTTGCATTTTCCTGAATCTTGAGGAAGTTTTATTCATTGCAGTGAAGTCACTTCTCTAAGTTAGACTTAATGTTTCATTGTTTTTATACAGTTTTGGTAAACCCTCCCACCTTCCTCTCATAACGTAATTTACTTACTGTAGGTTTTTCTTTAAGTATGATTTTTTTTTTTACCTGTTTGTTTTAAGGAGGAAGAAAGTTACCAAGAAGACCCTGAACCAAGAATGCGGCCATCAGAACCTCAGTCCCCTCCCCAGGTTTCTCGTCACAAGTCTCACTACCGCAATCGTGAGCACTTTGCCACCATACGCACAGCCTCGCTGGTAAGTTGTCAGTTTCAATTAAAACTTCTCATTGGGTACATTGTGTATGTGTTTTTTCTAAAAAAAAAAAAAAAAAAAAAATTTATGTTAAGTGGCATAAGCTTAACCCCTTCAGATCGGAGGGCGTACTATTACGCCCTACTTTAGGCGGCTCCAAACGCCGCCGGGCGTAATAGTATGCCTTCCGGTTTTTGTTTACTTAACCAGTCGCCGGCGATCGCAGTTGGGGGGACTCCAATACACGTAGAACGAAATTATATATACCTATATATAAATAAAAATATTAAAAAAAAATTATATATGTATATATGTATATATATATATATATATAGTGATATATAGATATATATTATTTCGTTCTACGTGTATTTTGATATAAATATATATTATCACAATACAGTTAGAACGAAATAACATACATCTATATATTTTTAATTATTTTTTAATTTTATTTTTTACGTATTTACATATTTATTTTTTATATTATATATAAATCTATATATAACAATTATATATATATATATATATATATATATATATATATATAGTTAATCAGTATCAGTCTACGTGTAATTTGATATTAAAATATATATATATATATATATTAATAGTAAGATACACCTAGACAGTGTATGAGTGTGTATGTATATGTGTATATATATATATATATATATATATATATATATATACTTAGATCATTTATATATAACATATATATATTTATGTAATATTTTTGCAAAATTAGGTATCTTAATTAATTACAATTAGCGGGACCTGCCTGACAACCTATGCCGAAAGAAAAGGGAATTGAATTTTCTAGCACTATATTTAACCCTATAACTTTCCAAGACACCATAAAACCTGTACATGGGGGGTACTGTTCTACTCGGGAGACTTCGCTGAACACAAATATTAGTGTTTCAAAACAGTAAAATTTATTACAACGATGATATTGCCAGTAAAAGTGACGTTTTTTTTGCATTTTTCATGCACAAACAGCACTTACATGGACGATATTATTGCTGCAATACTTTTTACTGTTTTGAAACACAAATATTTGTGTTCAGCGAAGTCTCCCGAGTACAACAGTACCCCTCATGTACAGGTTTTATGGTGTTTTCAAAAGTTACAGCATCAAATAGAAGGCTTGTGTTTCATTTTTTAGGTTGCCTTTGAGACCCTATGGTAGCCCAAGAATGAAAATTACCCCTATGATGGCATACCATTTGCAATAGTAGACAACCCAAGGTATTGCAAACGGGGTATGTCCAGTCTTTTTAAGTAGCCACTTAGTCACAAACACTGGCCAAAATTGGCGTTTTTTGCATTTTCACACACAAACAAATACTAACGCTAACTTTGGCCAGTGTTTGTGACCAAATGGCTACTAAAAAAGACTGGACATACCCCATTTGCAATACCTTGGGTTGTCTACTATTGCAAATGGTATGCCATTATGGGTGTAAATTTCATTCCTGGGCTACTAGACAGTCTCAAAGGCAACATAACCTATCTGGCGAATTTCAATTTCAAATGTAATGTGCTATATTTGATCCTGTAACTTCCCATAAAACCTGTACATGTACTGTTTTACACGTGAGACTTTGAATACAAATGTGTATTTTATTGCAGTAAAAGCAAACAGTATTATGACATTGACAGTTAAAATGTCATGTGGAACTAAAAAATATTTTAAAAATCTTATTTTCTCACATTTTTTTCATATTAAATTATGTTTCATAGCTAAATATTTGATATTAAATGGAAGCCCTGTTTCCCCTGAATAAAATGAAATATAATAAGGGTGGGTGCATTTACTATGAAAGAGGTGAATTACGGTTGGACAGACATGTAACGCAAATGCCAGGTTTTGTTTACATTTTGTTTTATTCACAACGTGTACATTTGGCTCCGTCCTTAAGGGGTTAATAACGAAGTAACAATTTTGTTCAGCACCATATTTTTATATTTTTTAGCCTCCACCATCTTTCTTAGCCTGGCAGCAATATGTATTCCCTACCTTTGCCTGTCCTCCTTCTTGCATGCAAATCTGCATATGACTTTTGCTCCTCTTGCTGTTAGCCTCTGGCTTTGCTTATGACTTTCGTAGATTTAAGTTTAAGATCTACGTGTTGTGATGGCGTCCTTAGATGCATTTCCATTTGCAAGTTCCTACTTGCGACCCATAGAGTGTTTGTTTCTCTGCTAGTAGAATAGGAATTCCAAAGTTCTCTAGCAGTTCCTTGAATTTGCAGTTGTAATCCTTTAATGTTTTTTTTCTGGCTATTTCTTCTGCAAAGAGGGATTCTGGCCTTTTTTTTCTATTGCTTACCTCCTCTTTTGGTGTTTTGAGGTTGTTGGGGTTTTTTTCTTTGTGGGGGGTTTATTAGTTTGCTTTTTGTTTTTTACTGAGGTTCATACAGTAGTGAGGACCTAGTGTTCGTTTTTTGTTTGTTTGTTTTTTAACAAAATGTGTTCTTCTCTATTGATGTCAGCCAGGAGATTGTTGTCCTTTCTTTTGCTCTTCACCCCTGAATAACAAGAGCTTGTTTGGATGTTTGCGCTCTCAAATATTCTTTTGGGGCAAGTAGTTCCTTTATAATGTGTCCTTTGTTTGTTCATATTTATGAACCCCATTTGGGTCAAAAGGCTCCAGTCATCACTGGTGTCAAGTGGTTCAAGTCCATGATGTGAATGGCTTGTGCTCTGGCTAACAAGCATTCCTTGGACAAGGTTACTGCTAATTCAACTCATGCATGAAATCTCATGGCCCTTTTCCCAAATCTGCAAGACAGATTCTTGGTCGTCTTTGCACACATTTTCTAAATTTAACAGTTTTTATTTTTGGATCTATTGACACTGCTGAGAGGTTCTCCGGGCAGCAATTCTCATTTTGTCACCAAAACAAACTGCCCTAGGGTTAAAGTGCCCTTGTGTCCAGCTCTTCTTTGTGACTTGTGAGCTGCTGTCACCATCCAAGAAAGCAAAACATAGTTTTGGTTTTACTTAACAAATTCCTTTTGTCAGATTCAATGCGTCCATCTGTCTTCTGTGAGGAAGAAAGAGAAGTAATGATTCTAGTGGAAGGGCTAGAGAGGGAGAAGCATGCTGAAGCATTGCATTATGAGTGTTTACTTAACCAGTTGGGAGGGGCATATATGACAACAAGTGGGCTCTCACCATCCGAATGGAAAGCAGTGGCGTCTCTAGGATTAATTTTTAGGGGGGGCACATGGTGGGCCAGGGACAAAAGTAGGGGGGCACATTTAACCCCGCCCTCGCCGCAGTTTGACTCCGCCACTGCTGCATGTTAAGCCCCGCCCCCTACACAATGTGTTTTTTGTTTTTGTTTGTTTGTTCGTTTGTTTTTATAAGCCCTGGTGGAGGATTCATTATTTTCCACTAGGGATTATTACAAAACAAATACATTTTCCTTGATACAGTGCCATAGTTGTCAACATTTGAAAAAAAATTCTAAGGACATTTTGCAGCACAGCTATCAATTGTCTGTGTATAATATCCCTGGACAGTCAGTGCTCTCTGTATAATACAGGGTTGTGTGTATAATATCCCGGGACGGTCAGTGCTCCCTGTATAGTGCTGCTCTCTGTATAATACAGGTCTGTTTGTGTATAATATCACAAGACAGAGAGCAGCACTATACACGGAACACTGACTGTCCCAGGATATTATACAGACACAGACCTGTATTATACAAATAGCAGCACTATACAGGAAGCACTGACTATCCCGGGATATTATACACACACAGATCTGTATTATACAGAGAACAACACTATAGTATTATACAGATAGCTGAGCATATACCCCATGTCCCAATCTCTAGACTACTAGTACCTGTCAACAGCAGCTCCCAGATGCATGTAACAGAGCTAAAGTGTGCGGCAGCTCACACAGGTGATTCAGCGGATAAAGCGCACTTGCTGGCAGAGCCAAACTGGGAATCCCCGGGGACAAAAAAAAAATTATGATATATAATGAGTCAGTGAGCTTATAATATTACAGTAAGCACACAGGCTCACTGACATGCGCAAATAGGCTCACTGACAGACAAAACTCTCTGACTCACACACAAGCTTACTACAGGCAAACTCACTTGTATAAACACAAGGCTCACTACAAAGAAGTTCAAGGGACACACGCATGCTCACTAAAGACAAGCTCACTGACACACATGCTCACTGACGCACACAAGCAGTACCATTTTAACAGCGTTAAGGGCCCCCGGGCAAATCAGTGCACTGGGGCCCTTCCTACACAACAACTCACAGGAATAACAACATTTTAATTATTGATAGACTGCTGAGTACATACACACAGTACACTGAATATGAACACAGAGAGACTGCTGAATACACACACACAGATTTCTGAATGCACACAGGCTGATTTATACATGTACACACCACCGCTGAGTCCTGTACACACACACACATACTGCTGAGTCCACACACACACACACACACATACTGCTGAGTCCTGCATACACACATACCGTGACTGCTGAGTCCACTTAATACACACAGCACACCCAGACCAGTCCATCCACATACACGCAGACTGCTGAGTCCATCCACACACACACACAGACACTGTCCAACACACACCAACACACACACATGCAGACTGCTGAGACAACACACACGACCGGGATCTCCATTCACACACACCACACACACGCACATCCCACACACACCACCCCGTGACCCACAGTCCACACCACACACACACACACACACACACAACACCGACCGAGTCCAATACCACACACGGCACACACCAACATCACCAACAGTCCAGACACACACACACACACACACCCAGACTGCCTGAGTCCATACACACACACACCGCTGAAACCATACACACACACACACACACACACACACGCAGACTGCTGAGTCCATACACACACACACACACACACACGCAGACTGCTGAGTCCATACACATACACACACACACACACGCAGACTGCTGAGTCCATACACACACACACACACACACACGCAGACTGCTGAGTGTGTGTGGACTCAGCAGTCTGCGTGTGTATTGAGTCCCCTCTGGCCCCCCTCAGCGACGCCACTGAGAGAGTGCAGACAAAATATTGTTTTCATTCATGTTTGTTACATCTTTAATTTTAATAAATCAGCCTGAGGAGGTTATATCAGTATCTTATGATTACTAAATATGACCTTGTAAATAGAAACTGTAATGCCTGATGATTTCCACAGAAAGTCACACTTCATATTTTGCATTTAACCTAGATCCCATCAATCTGTATAAGAAGAGTTCACTGAAATTTCTTGTAGAATTGACTGAGTACAACATGGATTAACCATCACATTTTTTGTATTTAACAAAGTAGGCACCATTGCTTAAAGGGATTCGAATGTTCTCAATAACAGTGTATTTTATATTATCGGTGTTCCTGGTGTCATTGGATTTCAGGACTAATGGCAATGCTTATGTTTGTCCTGGGACAGCATCTAGACCCCAAGAATCCTACATAGAGGTTTAGTGCTTTTGGTGATTAAAGTGTCACTTTAATGACATTTCATTTTGGATTACCAAGATCTAGTGCCCTTATAAAATGATTTCCACACATTATCCCATAACTTAACTTTTTCATTTGATTATACTAAAAACAATTCTGAACAGGGTAATATAAAATGTATTGATGTACAATTTTTTAGGTGACGAGGCAAATTCAGGAACATGAACAAGATTCAGAACTGCGGGAACAGATGTCTGGTTACAAACGTATGAGGCGGCAACATCAGAAACAGCTGATGGCACTGGAGAACAAACTAAAGGCAGAGATGGACGAGCATAGACTTCGACTGGACAAAGATTTAGAAACTCAGAGAAACAACTTTGCAGCAGAAATGGAAAAACTCGTTAAGAAGCATTCGGCAGCAATGGATAAAGAGGTGAGAACTTCTTATGAGATAATAAAAGTTCTGTTATTGCTAGCAGATAGATACAGTATACTCTGAACTATTTTGTTCCTTCATTTTTCCTGGCATAGAGATAAAACTACAAATGGTATCTTTGTAGATGCAGTGGTCTCATTTATTGTGAAGGTCAAATAACTTTTAAAATCTAAATAAGCTGCCTGTGTATTTTTGATTATTTTCTTTATATCACTTTAAACTGCAAATGATTTGACAATGTTCTCTTATTGTAGTTAAAGTTAATGGCAAATGAGGAGAAAAAATTCCAGCAACATATACAAGCTCAGCAAAAGAAAGAGTTGAACAGCTTCTTGGAATCACAAAAACGAGAATATAAATTGCGCAAAGAACAGCTGAAAGAGGTGAGGTCACTGTCTTTGGAAATAATACAAAACTGCGGCATGCTTACTTCAAGTATTTATCACTTCCCTTACTAATGTTCAAGCAAACGGTAAATGTAAATTGCAGAAACATGCTAATGCATTTTTTTCTTTTTCTTCAAGGAACATTCTAAAGTTTAAAATAAATATCTTCAGTATGCATGAAGACATCAGTAACAACAACTTTTGTCTAATCTAATGCTGGGAAAATAGTGCATGTGCAGCAGTAGCAACTCAGACAGCAAAATATTTTGCTTGATGAAACCAAATCTGAGGCTGTAAAGAGACTTTGCTGTTGAGAGCGAACAGAAGTTCCTGCTTAGGAGCTTCAGGCTCCCTATCAGAAGTAGTGGAAGCAGGGAACAGTGCCCAGTAGACTCAGTGGCAGATCCAGGGAGATGTGCTGCTGGGAGCTCATCAGAAAGCCCATAGAGAGGGCAAACCAGACAAACAGGCCGGGGCCTGGTCGGGTGTGCAGACCTTTAGCAGCACAACCGGGCCCTTTGAATATGTGCAGAGAATGCTGGGAGGAAGTGCTACAGTTAAGAACTAATATTTTTTTAAAAAAAATAAGTTTATTCTTTACTGAATGCACTGTTAAATGATTTTTGTAAACAATTCACTTTCTAAATCATTACACTAGAAAGCAAACCTTTTTTAAAGGGTTACTCTAACCTCCATGTGACCATTTTAGTGATCTGAAGTGGTCATGGTGTAGGAGTCTGTACTAATAAGATGCATATTTGCAATGAAAGCCTTTGGAGATAATTTTCTTACAGATGAAAGCTAGAATTTCTATTCTGATTTGATTTCTCTGGACTTTGCTTTAATTCTATTGATGTTTGTATTGTTTCTTGACTAGGAGCTAAATGAAAACCAGAGTACCCCAAAGAAAGAGAAACAGGAATGGCTATCCAAGCAGAAGGAAAATTTCCAGCATTACCAAGCTGAAGAAGAGGCAAATCTTCTACGGCGTCAAAGGCAATACTTAGAGTTGGAATGTCGCCGATTTAAGCGGCGTATGCTGCTTGGCAGACACAACCTAGAGCAGGATCTGGTCAGAGAGGTAAACGACAATAACTGCATTGCTCAAACTATAAACTCTCCATGAAATGTTGGGACCCAGGTTTTGTTCCTGACCCATGTGCTGGGAACTTCTGACTTGTAGACAATAGAATGTCCTATATTTGACCCATTCATTCAATACTTTTCTTTAGGAGCTAAACAAGCGGCAAACTCAAAAGGATCTTGAGCATGCAATGCTTCTGCGGCAACATGAGTCTATGCAGGAGCTAGAGTTTCGGCACCTCAACACCATACAAAGGATGCGTTGTGAGCTGATTAAGTTACAGCACCAAATCGAACTCACCAACCAGATGGAGTACAACAAGAGACGGGAGAGAGAACTAAGACGCAAGCATGTCATGGAGGTCCGACAGCAGCCCAAAAGCCTCAAGGTACCAAGAGCTTAGGATTCTTCCTATCCAAGTAGTTTAAAGTTTATTGCAGCAGTAAGGTTTATGCTAGTCAGTAATGCGAGGGTGTGTTATTTTATTTATAGTTTTGTTCATTTTTTGGTTGGATTTTGACATGTGTTGAGCTATTGGTTTTGCATTGAACACATTTTCAATGTCTTTTTAGTTTTCATGCGATTTTTCTACTCCTATTTATTCTGCTAAAAGAACATCATGTCCTTCAGGCCAAAAGACCCATTCTTTTGATGGATAGTGGAGCTAATTTTTTTTACAAATATACTCTCAGGAAGTCTTGGTGTCTTGCCTTCCCTAGCAATTTAGATTGCAATTTGAGCTCTTGATTCTGCCTAGTCATGAGCAGTTTCCTTTGTACAATGACAGATGTTTTGATTGCAACTCTGTTATTAACATGTTTTTGTACTTATTTGCTTGGATTTTGTTGGATATTGGGAAGGCAGCTGTCTCCTTCTCTGTGCTCTAGGCTGATTAGCCTCTTATATACGAGGCAATAATCCATCTGCCTACAAGGTCTATATTTCTGCATGCCCAAATTAGGCGAGAAGCTTACTGACATGTAACTTTTTTTTTAAATTCTTTATTTTTCTTGTGCATATGGAAAACAAACATTTGGTCTTGCAGTGCCACAACAGCTACTGCAGGCTTATCTTGAACATTAGATTGATATGGCATCCGATTGACTAGCACAATTTTATGGTATATTATCATGAGAAGCGTAAGATTTCTGACTGTTCTATAACGCGCGGACTAGGAATTAGTGTGAGCGTTTGCAGATTTCGTGTAAGAACGATAGACTGAAGCGAGCAGCGACAGTTTAACTCGGTTAAAGTAAAATCTGGCTTAGGGTGGTGCTGCCCTGAATGTAGGAAAGGCGACATGCGACAATGAGTAGGTGAGCAGCCCTTGTTGGGCAATCCGTTGCCTGTTCAGACCTAAGATATGACTGCGAAGGGCTTAGTGTGCTGCAAAATTGTTCCTCGGTTTGTTAATGGATTCTGACGTTAAGATTAAAAATAATAGAAATAAAAGATAAATAAAAAAAGGAGAAATTAAAATTCAGAAAAGGGGGGTTACATGCCTGGGTGTCTGAAGCGAATAGATGCGCCCTAGTGCTTGCTAGTATAGTGTAGTGTACTGGTTGGTACACTGCGCAGTGTGCAAGATATAAGTCTAATATTGAGCGTAGGCAGAGGTGTTTATGGGACACATTAAACGACTTGAAAGCAGAGTTCTAACAGGAGTCCAACAGGTTAAGCAAGGTCTGTAGTGTCTTCTGCATAGCTGTATTATACATGTCGTCCCATGAAAAGCATTATTTAAAAAAAAAAAAAAAAAAGTTTTGAAAAATTTAATGAAATAAAACCTTGTATACTGTGAGTCTTATAATCAGGCATGTAGTTGTCGGAAGGACGGTGGCATAGTCAGAGATTTCTCTGTCAGCCTATGCCCTGGCTTGGGTAGAAATAGTGGCCGTCCATGGATTGTTCCATGCTGGAGCTGAGCGTGGCTGTCTGCAGGAGATGTAGCTCAGTCTCGGAGGCGCTGTGGTCTTGATCCAGGGTAGGGAGCGGTGTCATGTGCTGTGATCCAGGTGCTTGCATGAGCCTGTGTATGAGTCTCTCGGTGGTGTTCAGGGTGGGCAGGTTACATGCCGTGCCTGTCGATCGGCTGTCCCTCTGCGTGTCTCTCCTCATGTGAGCTCGGGCATCGTAGCCACTTTGATCCGACAAGCGTTGGAGTAGTGTGTCGTAGGGATCCCACCTGTCAGGCTGCCTCAAGCAGGCATGTCGCGTCTGCCTTGCGTGTGTAAGGGTCTCAGCCAGCACGGGAGAAAAGATGGCGTTATTCCCCTTATGCGTTGGTGAGTTTGTGTTTGCCGCCGTTTTAGTGGGGCCTCGTGGTTTGAGTAGCGAGGTCCCTGGTGCGGTAAGGGATGCAGGGTGCGGTCGGGGGCTGGTTGCACACCCAAGGGAGTCCAGCACGACACCGTCGGGCAGGATAGCGGGGCAGCGGCCGTCCACCCCACTCACCACCGGAGTAGGCCTCATCCTGTAGACAACTGGTATCGGCTCGAGGGACTAAAACAAAGGGTTTGCAAGCCTCTCCTCTGAGCCAGTGCTCCCTTGTGCTTCGGACCACGGTTGCAGGTTGTTAATTAGGTGTAAAATCTGCTTTTGTAAGCTTAAAGTTTGGAGGTTTGCAGGAGCTGTTGGTATATGCGACCGTTCGGTTTGGCGGTAAGGCCCCGTCCCCGACGTGTAACTTTTCAAGGAACACTCCTCTGCTCAAATATAAATTGTTTAGTAGATATATTTCAAATGAAAGCATGCATTTAATAAGCCATTTTTTATTGGGAATATATCTGAAAACAGCTTGCAAAAGCTGCAGATCTCTTCTCTAAAACTTTTGGAAGCCCTCTTCTTTTAACCTTCGCCCAGACTTTCTGTGGTTGTCCAATCATAGATATCCCAATGCAGCTCAATGAGAAGTCTTGCAAGGCAGATGCAGTCTCGGAGAGCTTCATTCAGAACATTGTCATATCTTCTCCCCAGCACTGAGTCAGGATGCAAAATGGGAGTGCAGGGGATAGCAAGGAAGCTGTCTGTGGTATCGCATCAGACTAATGGCTCTCTCCCCCATTAACATCACAGACAATACGCAGACCTCCAGTCTCCTCTCGTTAATGGCCTACTGTGGTGAGCAGCTGTGGAGAAAAGTTGGAAAATAGTTAAAGGGGTCAAGTTGTGAGTGTTGGAGGAGATATTTTGAACAAGGAGACATTGTGTGGATTCCAGCAGCCATTTTGGTATCTCTATGGCACTGAAACTTCTCAGTTGCCTCATTCCCTCCATTGCAAAGGTATATAAATGATTCTGTTTGACTGAGGTTACACAAGCAGATGACAGCTCATCTGTGTCAATCACCCATCAAACGTACCCTGTAATACTTAAAATACCTGTACCTTCCCATTTCACATTCTTTTTCTCATTTTATATTGTTTAGAAAAAGAAACCAGTGCTAATTTAAAAAATATTGCTACTATGGCCACCAGTGGGGCTTGTAGTGGTTGTTTAAAGCTACATGGTAATTTTGACTCTAGTGATTTAAATAGATATGTTCTAGAGTTGTTGTCTGTCAGCCTCTTCTGCATAAATTTGCATTTGCACTATGTTGATAAACATGTGTTTGTTTTTAATTATACAGTAAAGTCTATTTTTTTTTTTTTTTTTAAATCTTTATTTTTCGTCCGTGAAAATGGCAAACATATGTGTAAGGCCACAATAGTCTTTACACATCAAAACAGTGAATATCATGTAAATAAATGTCTAGGATCGTTTCACAAACATTTTATAGATACAATTGGTCTCAATGTTATAACGAGTGATGTAAGTCGGGTAATCGTGATGATAGAGGGTACCTATCTGTCAATATCGCCCCTTGTATTGTAGGGTCGTGAGCTGCGGGAACAGGGTGGGAATGACTAAATCTGGGTATTGTGTCTAACGTCTCGCCCTTTGTCCCGAGGATGTGGGTTTATGAGTCGTAGGGTGTCCCTTCAGTCTAGTGGTGGCTGCGTGTAGTCGCTAAAACAGTTCATAGCTATGGCTAGTGTGTCCAGACGATTATAGGTCGCTGTAATATGGCAGGATCAGGTCGGACCCGTGTGGTTCCAGGCTATGGTTATCAACCTAGTGGATGTGCCTGATGCCAGTCCGGTTTATTATATCGCCCTCGATATCGGTTCCCTATAACCCCAGGGAGAGGGGGGGGGGGAGGTGTCGTCGGAGCATAAATGGTTGGATCTAGTGAGCCTCGGTCGTGCTGCAATAATTGTCAGAACGAGAAAAAACAGAGAACTATATATAGTTTAAGAGTCAGGGTTAGCTACACAGAACATTTGAACTGAATGTGCGAACTGAAGCCTAGTCGGCTGTCGGCTTAAGTATGTCCCTCAGGTCTTGGGTTTGGCATCTCTGCCTCTTCCAGGAGTCACGGCTGTTTCAGCTTCGGAAGTTCCAGGCTGAGGGTCTAGTGGTGTCCCCAAGTTTTCTGTGGGGTTCGGTAGTCCCAGGGCAGTCATCAGTGCTGGGCCTTCTGTGGGTTCGGTGGCCTTGAAGTGCTTGTCGCCTTTAGTGATCCAGAGAGTTCCTGGGGTCGCCCACCTATAGGTTATCCCAGCCGTTTGGAGTTGCTTGGTGATTGGGTGCATGCTCTTGCGCCATTGTAGTGTGGCTCTGCTCAGGTCCTGAAAGAAGGAGATTTTGCATGTTTCGAAGTCGAGTGGGGTCAGCCCTTGTATTGCTGCCATTAGCCCCAATTTGTCCGCCATTGAGCGGCATCTTAAGATTACATCTCGTGGAGCTGAGGTGGGTGCTTGTGGGGATTTAGCTATACGATAGATCCCGTCGAATTGGAATGCTTTTGCCTGTTTGGCTGGTAAAAGTGTGGCCACAAGGCGTCTAGCGAAATGCGGTAATTCGTCCAGTGGCATTGATTCCGACACCCCTCGAATTTTAATATTTTTGCGGCGCCCTCTGTCATCCAAGAGATTAACTTGCCTAGCCATTGTCAGTTGTGAGGCGTGCAAGTTGCGCACTTTCTCCCCTAGAGCTAGGTAATTCTCCCTCAGTCCCTTGACCTCTTCTTCGATTGCTTGCGTGCGCGTTGACACCGTGTGTACGTCTAGCTTGAGTATGGCTAGATCTGCTTCCCACATTTGTCTGAGATTCTACTGTAGGCCTGTTAGCATTGCCTGTATGTCATTTTTGGAGGCCGGTGCGCTAGTGTCCGATGTCCCTGTGGGTGTCGGGTGTTGGGGACTGGGGTGTGGATTGTCCTGTGTGTCTCCTTCCTCTGAAGGTTGTGGGGATGTGTCTCGAGGAGTTTGGGCCTTCATGGCGTTTGAGGCCTGTAGCATTTGGCCTATATCGCGCTGGGGCTTTGCGGTATTTTGGGGCGTTTTTTGCGTCTTGCGGCCCATCTCACCTGCGCTCAGTGTGTCGGGGTACCAGTCCTCAAATTCTGGGACGTTCCAGGGCCAGTGCGTTCCCGAAAGGGCCTGAGGTTGCCCTCCCGATCTGTAGGCCTTGCTGCCGCGGCGTTTATTTTTGGAGCCGGGTGTCAGGAGGAACGGCATCAGCGTGTCTGTGTGTCTCCGAGGTCAGTACTCGGTTGGGAGTCTGTATGTGATGCGGGTTTTCCCCGATTTCTGCAGATTTCAGTGGATTGTACCGGAGCTCCGGCAATGTGCGACCGCTCCGGTCTGTGTCAGGCTCCGCCCCCCCCAGTAAAGTCTATTTACTATATTTAAGTTTGGTTTTTTTTTCTGTATGTTTGTGGTATGAAGTTTTGTATTCAGCTAGAATAGTCAGTGTCAGTATTTTAGATTTTTTGTTTTTGTTTTATATTGTGTTCCTTTAAAGAAGAAAAGACATTTAAATGTTAATAACTCACAGCATCATTATTTGTTCAGTCTAAAGAATTACAGATTAAGAAGCAGTTCCAGGACACTTGCAAGATTCAAACAAGGCAGTACAAAGCTCTAAGAAATCACCTTTTGGAGACCACACCAAAGAATGAACACAAAGCTGTCCTCAAGCGGCTGAAAGAGGAGCAAACACGCAAACTTGCAATATTGGCTGAGCAGTATGATCATAGCATTAATGAGATGCTGTCCACGCAAGCAGTAAGTTTCTGGAGGCAGGTCAACAGAAATACTGTTACATGTATTGGGAAGTATTTCCACAAGCGATGCCTATATTAAGCTTAATGATCTGTAGGTCAGTTGTACAGCATTAAAGGGATTCTACAACCACCATGACTTCTGCTTTTGATTGCTGTCACAGGAGCACAAATGGGGAGAGAGAATTAGGCCTCACTGAATAGAGTTTTTCCCTTAATCCTTAAGTTTTTTGGTTTGTTTGGGGGGCGAGGTGTTTGTGTAACCCTTTAAGGAGATAAAGTTAATTTTATATCTATTCTGATGAATTTCTACTCAAAGGTCGATTAAAGATTATTCAAAGGTGATGTAACCTTATTTTTTTTTTTTTTGTTTAGTAATGAAGTCTTAGATATTTTATTTGATTTCCCTAGTTATGAAAGTTATTAAAGTTGGTTCAAGCAGGACTTTGCTCACAGTTTAAAGCTGTTTAAAAAGTAGATATTTCTATTTCTGGTCGAAACACATTACTTGCCTGGCAGTGTATTCAGGATAGAATGAAACACAGTGGCGAAGGTTTACTAGGAAAGTACCAGAGATCGATAGTAGCATTTCTCTGGTACTCCACTTTCAGTGTTTTGGCTCATCCTTCATCTTGGAATTTGCATATCGTGTTTTCCTTCTTATCCAATATTATATTACCTCCTTTAGTATCTTGCTTTGATGAGTTACTTTTCAATATCACCTGGTTTTGCAGTTGCGCCTGGATGAGGCACAGGAAGCAGAGTGCCAGGTTTTGAAGATGCAGTTGCAACAGGAGCTGGAACTTCTAAATGCTTATCAAAGTAAAATCAAGATGCAGGCAGAAGCCCAACATGAGCGGGAGCTACGTGAACTGGAACAGAGGGTTTCACTCAGGAGGGCCCTTCTTGAGCAGAAGGTATAGAATGTTAATACTTCTACAATGCTGTGCTTCTCAAACTGTTATTTTGCCCCACAGTAGTCCTAACTATGTTTCATTATGGTCCCCGAGGTTATGCTTAAAAAAGTGATGGGGATTTGCCCTGAATTTAAAGTGTGGGGAAATAGCTAAAATTAGTCATGACAGTCCTTTACATTTACCTGACAATTATTCACAATTGTAAGCTGTAGGGTTCCTTTTTTTTTTTACATCTTTTTTTGAAATGGTATTCAGGCGCAAAAGTATGAGAAGCACTTTGCCCCTAAAAAGTAACGTGAGAGTAATACCCAGACGTTCCTACTGTTACAATAAATTTCTTTACAATTGTATGTCATTGGTGAGCTTTGCTCTCTTTCAAAAATATGTCCAGTGTAGAATGTAAACATGTGATTTCCATTTGGTAATATGGAATAATGTACATCTGCACAATGTACATGCAATGTGATGGGATGTATTATAAATCATATATAAATCAAATAATCATATAAATGAAGAATTTACTGTACATTGCTTCATTTTATTGTGTACTACTTATTTTGATCTTTATCTTGTACATATATCCGTCTTTATTTCATTTCAATTTAATTACTTATCCTAAGATAGTGAGAACATGTAAATCAAAGTCTTAGTCTGATGGAAAAATACAAAATATTTGTAGTTTTTTTAACAACTTTTTTTTATTATTATTATCCCTGTTTGAATAAGTTATATGTTGGTTTTCTAATGTTTTATGTCCTCTTGTTTTAGATTGAGGAAGAAATGCTGGCTCTTCAGAATGAGCGTACAGAGCGAATACGAAGTTTATTGGAGCGCCAAGCACGGGAAATTGAAGCTTTTGACTCTGAAAGCATGAGGCTAGGCTTTAGCAATATGATACTTTCTAATCTCTCCCCCGAGGCGTTCAGCCACAGCTACCCGGGAGCTTCTGGCTGGTCCCATAATCCCACTGGAGGCCCTGGACCTCACTGGGGTCACCCCATGGGAGGCCCACCTCAAGCCTGGGGTCACCCAATGCAAGGTGGGCCCCAACCATGGGGTCATCCTTCAGGGTCTGTACAAGGTGTCCCTCGTGGTAGTACGATGGGGGTCCGCAACAGCCCCCAGGCTCTGAGGCGGACAGCTTCTGGGGGACGGACAGAGCAGGGAATGAGCAGGAGCACAAGTGTTACTTCACAGATATCCAATGGTTCACATATGTCTTACACATAACTGCAAGAAGAACTTTTTGGCCATTCCTTATGATCATTCAACACAAACTGCCTACAGATGTCCTCACAGCAGCTTTCTCAATGGTACTGAGCAGCTGCAAAAATAAGGCTTCCTACTCATGCTGTATTTAATCAGTTTGTACAGAGTTACATGTCTGTGTGTTATCCGATGTCTAGCTGCTGGATTTCTAACAGGAAAATGTGGGATTGAGAAGGAAAGCAAAGCATGTGATTTGTGCTGAGAGTGGATTTGGGCAAAGTTGCTTTTAAGTGGTATTGAAAATTTTTAAAAAGCTACAGTCCAATGCAAATTCCCCTTAAAAGGAAAAACAAAAAAAAACCTTTTCTGCACATTAAGAGCTTGGTACATTCCCTGGTTCTTACGTTGCCTGTCTATTCTTACAGAAGGGTAGTGTTCTTACTCGTTAGTGAATGATAATCCATTGCTGATGTGTGTGAAATCCTATGCATTCTGTATATCCTTGGTGCAGAATTGCTAAAGACAATTGATTAGGTTTTGTCAAACATTTGCAAATATGTGAGATTATTTTTAGCTCTAAATGGGTCAAAATGTTTAATTTAAACAAATTTGCTGCCAGAACCAGCCAGTTAGTTTGTCATTGCATTATTTTATGCCAGAGGTGGGACTACCTGTTGCTCTTTAGTGGCTATTGGACTGCTTTTCTTGTTACTAGCTGTTGATTATGGCAGTGAATGACATGAAATGTAGATGAACATCTGTTACATAGAGCCACAGGTTGTCATCCCCGTCAAGTCAGCTTATTGAACTGTTTCTCCAGCACCAGAGTATCATTTTCATATTACTTTGCTTCTCCATTTGATGCACGGCAGTAACATTTTTTTACTTCTTCCATATGCAGTGATTCTATCCCACAATAACTGCAAATGTGCCCATGCACTTGCAAATGTTTGTGTTGCACCTATTCATAGATACTGTCTATGATACAATCCTTATTTATTTCTAGATTCGCTGTCTATGTTGACTGCTTGCAGCTATCTAGCCTTTCAGCCTAAACTCCAATATGGAACATTCTCTATCCGTTAATTGTTTGAGTTTTATTACCGTATTTCATTCCTTTGTTTGCTTTGAATGTTTTACCTTGACTTAATATATCGAATCGTGCTTGTCTGATGGTGTTTACTAAAGCATGAATTGGAGTGAATTGAAAACAGAGTTGCAATAATTTGGCTAGAACAGCTGCTTTGGAAATAAATATCCAACTCTATTAGGACACCTGGGCTATTTTAATCTAAGTTTTACTATTTGGTTTTTCATACACAACAATTCCGTGTTTAGAGAATAAAACCTTGTGTATTGTCAAGAAGTCATGGTTTTTGAGCTGAAAAAGAAAACCAAACATTTACCTTGTTTTAAATCCATATCAAGCATTAGTTTTTTTTTTTCCTCTTTATAATTTTTCATTTTGTTCTGTTAGTTGGGTTTCACCCACCCATATGTATTTCATGCCATCTTCTCTTAAGCATCATTTGCTTTTTTATGTTACAAACCTCTTGCTGTGCTTTTTGCCATTGCAAATGCTGGATTGCTGTTAATGCCTTTTCATTCCACTTTCAATTATATAATTGTAAGGCTTTGACACCAATTTCCTTCCTTTGCTGCCATTTTTTTAATTGATTTATAGCATGTGATCGAAAATGCCAGTAAAATAGTGTCACGTGCACACCTGTTTGAGTCAGGTATACATCGAAAGAGATTTAAGGAAGTTAGTGTTTTGTTTTATTCATTTTAGCTTTTTATATGCTGGTGTTGGTGCCAATCGCTTGGAATTTTTTTCCTTTAGATCCTCAGATTGTGATGATTTAGATGGAAGGTTATAAAGTAAGAATTCCGTTAATGAATGGACAGGTTATACTATGCAAGATTGCAGTAGTGCTGTGGATATTGCTGTACAAAGATAGGTGAGGCTGCCACATCAAACCGAAAAATTAAGTAAATAGGTGAATTGTCTTTACATATGTTCATATATTAATATGGAGATAGTGGGATACCGTATACATAAGCGCTGTCATTCGGTTGATTTTTTTTTTTTTATTCTTCATAGTATAAGCTACCGCTTTTGTGCAAAGACCAGGAGCTTGCCTACTGTGCTTCATTTTTTTGTGCTGCTCCGGCACAAGCATGAGTAGGAGGTAATAAATCAATTTTTAATATTTATTTTATTTTTATAAATATCTATTGGTATGCCATATTTAACTTGGACTATAGGTGTATGCCAATATCCCCTCACAAATACAAATATCATTGTTGGGTTTACATATGTAATACCTTTTGTGGCCATAAAATAACCACATTGTATTCATTGCTCATCACATTTAGATAAAATTACATCAGGGCTTTTCAACACTTCAGTAGAGAGCATGTGTTTTGTCCCTTGGTGTACTTAAAAGATATTTTAAGTAAAGCATCTCTTATTTGTTATTAAAAAAAAACTTTAATTTTTTTCTCCTTTGAAATATGCCCTGTTGAGCTACAGTACATTGTAGGTTTTTTTTTGTTAATTTGCCAAGATGCTGAGATTTCAGTTTGCAACTAGAAGTGGTTGTTCCTCGTTCCCTTTTAAGTAAATGTTAATGTAGTGTTTGCGGAGGTGAATAATGCAGCAAAAATCACCATTTACCACCGCTGCTATTCAATTTTTATGGTGAATACCGCCTCATGATGCATCAGACACTCAGACATTTACAGAGCAGTAGTGATGCACATGCACCTGCGGCGCTACATAAGGTAATTTAATTTGCATGCCATGACCTGAAAGAGTAGTTTAAAGATAAAATCTAGAAGAAAATAAAATAGCACAACCAATAGCTAACTCAGTAGCTTTTTTTTTGGCTGTCAGCTTGTGTATTTAATTCTTGTTTATGGTGCAGAATAGTTGGATTCTATAAAATGCCCATTTTTGGCTGAGAGTATAGAAATATCACTGTTAATTATAGAATTTGTATATTCATAGCCTTCTTTTGTTCATCTCTGCATAACGCTTTACCTCCTCCCCAAGCATTTGTGAGCAGTAATTGAAACCTTGCTTTTGAACTTTGCAATGATTTTCTAAAAAATCATATGATAATACAACATAAGTCCTGGACTTTCTTAAAGGTTGATTGTCTCATGCTTGATTTACATCCCTAATTAATATTATGATCAGAGGCAAAATAAAACAAGAAATGCAGGTGAAATACACATTTACACACAAAATGAATAGATATTACCACTTTCTGTGTTTACGTAGGCATCTGAAATACATAGTCCATAGTGTAGTATAGAGCTCTCTTAAATAACAACCCAGCTACTCATAAGTTATACTCACTTATTTCTGAGCCTCGTATAGTTGCCTCAGACTCTGAAGGCCTTTGTTACATACCCCTTTTGTAAAGTTCTTGTAGTTATTCCAAATGGTTACCTCACAACTGCTTACAATGCTGTACCCACAATGTAACCAAAAGAGGACTTCCAATATTGATGGTTTTAACACTTTATTTAGCCCAAATGGCAAGCAGTAAAGAGGGATAAAATCTAACATAAAGAATGAATGAATTAAAAAAAAAAAAAAAACTCACTAATGTGATTCAACTAATCAGTCAAAGTGCATACAATTAGTCCCAAAAGTCTTTTTTTTTTTTTTTTTTTTTTTTTTCTGAGACAACAATAGTTCTCAAAAACTGAATAAAAGATAGCCACACCTATGTTTACAGTGCGATAACTGTAATGTTCTTCAAGAGGACAGACAGCTGTGGTGGTGTTTTTTTTTTTTTTTTTTTTTTTTTCTAAATCGGGCTGTAAATATTTGATGGGTCTATAGAGATGTACACAATTATCCTAGAGGAAGTTACATTTTTATTGGTAATCTTAGTTGGATATCACTTTATTGATGATTACTATGTAATGAAAGCTATGTAACTAAACTTAATGCTTTCAACATAATCCATCTATCAACACACAGCTGAAAAACACTTACTTACAAATGTTTTACAGAATCACATTGAGGTCTACTCTGACATTTAGTGCTTTAGTGCAATTAAATGATTGAAGACATTTATGTAGAATAAATAAATATGCAGAATTTGAGGGGAAGGGTAGGCTGCTACAACTATGTCTAGAAGGAAATCCTACACCCTGGTAGTTTGGTGCAAGGGAGAAAGTGAATCTAGTAATGGATGCAGAAAATATAGGATATTCTGCACTTTTAATCATTCTTCTGAAAAGGGACAAAATAGGGCAGAGTGATGGCTAAATGCTCCCTTGCACTGCTATTCCTAAATTTGTGGTCCTAGGAGATTCCACCTACCCAGGTATGGTACAGTGGAGAAAAACACTGCTACCTCTCCTCCTAACCTAAACTACTAAGGATGTTTGTTGCTGTTTTTGTGAAGCACAGATAGTAGAGTATGCAACACTATGATTTAAACACTATAGAATGAATTAACAAGGTCTCTCATTGTAGCAAATGAATACAGGCTAAACCACTATATTAACCTGATTGATTTTATGTATATTCTTTCCTTTAATTGGTTAATAATTATGTTTCAGTAAATAATACTAGGTCAGTGCAACACTATAATAAAACAAAATTATTATTGTAGTACACTTTTTAGACTTATGCAGTGCAATTTACTAAATTTGTTTGCACTATGTTATAATCCCCAAAACATAGATACTGTTATAAATGCCACTGGATTTATCACACCATTCGTTGATTCCTGCTTTGATATGTTCGCTCTTGTCATTTTTCTTCATTGTTTACTGTTCACTTTAATACTCCATGCTGGGTAAGCCAAGCTTGGTGAAACAATGTGCCTTTTGAGGCAATGAGGAGTATAAAAAAAAAACAAAAAAAAACATCCTGACAAAAGGCAGGAGTTTCAGATTCGGAGTGAAAATGTTAATAATTGGATTAAGAGCTGGTCCTCCATGCTTCACTGGGCATTGGATGTAACTATAGGTTTTCTAATTCAAAATGAAAGAAAACCCCTCTCTCTCCCCTCCAGTGTAAGGCAATTAAATGCCTTTTCCAGTTGGGTTAGGTGCTATGTTTTGTAGCCTTAGAGGTTTTATCCATTCTTAATGAATTTGTCACTATGTCATATAGTCCCTCCAGTAACTAGCATTATGGCTTGTGGGATGGTTTACTAAAACCGCTGTCCTTTGCTGTTACAAAAACAGCTTCTCCATTGTTTCAAGGTCAGATTACCTTAATAAAAATCTGAGCCTATATATATACATGCTTGAAAGTGAGACGTGTTTGCTTACCCTATCAACGTGAAGTAAACACTTCCAAATAGCCAGCTCTCAGAATTCTGTTAATCTATGCAGGCTGTGTTCCACAACATTGATACACATTGTAAAATAAGAACTAAACCCAATTATGCATGAGCTTCTCTGCTGCCGTTCTGTTTGATATAATGTATATTCTTTGATCCGTTAAAGAAATAGGGACATCCAGGTTTTAATGCTTGGAATCCAGCTATTGCACCTGAGACCAACAAAACTGCAAGTGATGAGACGCTACTCATTTTATAGTTGTAATTGTGTTGTGCATAATGGGTATAATTTCCTTCTAGATCATGTTGTACCTTTGTTGTAGGTACGCTTAAATAAGCTATTTATCAATTAAATTGATCCCCTTTCCTGGTACCAGATACTATTTTCGTTGTGCTAAATCTGTTGCATATTTTTAGGAATCAAAACCTGCCAAACAGTATTATTAAAGAATCATTGCAAGATAACATATTTTATATCCCTATCCTGCACTTTATACACTTTTTTTTTTTTTTTTTTTTTTATGTTTTGTGATGCTTTTGCCATGTGATTAAAACTTACTGGACCTTACTGATGATCGAAATTCTTGGAAATACTTCAAACAAATCAGTTGTGCTGCAATGAATATAAAGATTTCATAAGGTTACTATGTCACATTAAGGCGTATCTTAAAGGACAACTGTCACCTCAACTTTTTTTTTTTTTTTTGGTACAATAATAAACCCTTTCGTTGGGTTTTGAAAGGAAATATTTTTTTTATTTTTTTTTAAATTAATTATATATAAAAAGAAAAAAAAAAAACGCATTTGGTTAGACAACAGACACTTAGTCTCTTTAGTCTTCTCTGCTTCAACCCCTGCACAGAAGCAGAAACACCAGAGAGACTAAATGCCAGTTTTCAAACACTATCCGACCCAAGATGCATGTATAGTCATATACTAAAGGTAGGAATGAGTTTGTCGATTTTTATATTTTTTATTTTTACATATATTTCTGTAAATAAAAATAAATTCTCTTTCAAATCTTGATGAGAGAATTATTATTTAAAAGAAATTGTTTTGAGGTAACAGTTGTCCTTTAACGATGTTCATTTTACAAACATGTTATACATTTTATTATTTTAATGAATGCCAGCAAGGCTACTTAGATTTTGTTACAGGGATTTTACCAAGGTCCCATTAATTTGTGTTACATTTGAATTGAGTATTCTCAGTGTATTGTTTTTCCAATTGCTATGTTACAGTATATGGCCAATGATTTAATTCTCTATACTCCGAGAGAATCTGTGATCATGAGCCAAAGGGATTAAACATGATGGTTCTTATGTATACAGCCACTGGAAACTGCATATTTTATTTTTTCACAATGTAATTTTAAAAAAATTCATATTTGCTAAGTAAATAATAATATTCCCTCAATAGGTGTGCCAATTTTGAAACTACCTTTGCAGAATAATAGAACATTTTTATGTTGTTTGATGCCATTTAATTCTATGTATAGCTTTTGCATGATTTGGTTAAGTATGATATTGCACTTTTAAGCAGCAGAGATTGTGAGACCCAGGAAAAAAAAATATCCAATATTATGGCTGGGTAAAAACTACACATTCAAGTCTTACAGTATATGTTGACTCAGTAAATGACCGACGTTTCAACCCGTTCGGGTCTTCCTCAAGATCTTGAGGAAGACCCGAATTGGTCGAAACGTCGGTCATTTTTTTGATGCATCACTTATTGGAATAAATTCTTCTCTATTTATCTAAAAAGTCCTGGGAGTGCATCTCTTGCTTCATTTTTCTATATATTCACAACGTGGGATTGCACCCAGGCACCTCCTATGTGTATGTATGTATATATATATATATATATATATATATATATATATATATATATATATATATATATATATATATATATATATATATATATATATATATATATAAATATTTAACAATATAGCAGACGCATGGAGGTTAATAGTTTCCACGAGGATGAAATTTGCATGCTGCCCCCACTTAGTGCTCCAAAATAACAAGTCAGGCAAAGATCATTAAGAACCTCTCCCCGTTAACTTTGACTTTTTATATGTTTAAAATCAACATGCATTTGTATAGAGATGTAGTTTACACATCCCTAAATTTTAAAGGCCATTAAATACTACAGATTTTATATATTAATGGTGATAGTTAGTTGTGATATTCTTAACTGGCTAATGGTTGATTCTGGGCCTGCACAGTGCAGGTGGTCTGGTTTATATAAAGTGTATAAATGTTGGCTTCTTATTTGGGTATGATCTTTTTAAGCTGCGGTAATGTTTGTCAGTTTCAGTAAGGGGACTCATGTCGTGATTCTTTAAAAAAAAAAAAAAAATTTGCCTTTTGAAACATTTCACTCCTGTCTGAGTTCCAACACCGTTCAGTACATTTAACGTATCCTAGCCACAGGTGGGTTTTCATATTTCACATAATGAGGCATGAACATTTTAAAGAGGCACATCCCATACCTAGTTGCCATATGAGATATTCTCAGTCTTTATTGGCACTTGACCCATGACATGTTGTTTTTTCTTTTAATCATGGATTAAACCTAAAGATAGGCCTTACATGATAAAGAAGGCAGTTATATCACATGTAGGATGTTTACTGGTGATCAGTAGAAGAATTGACAACAATTTTTTTTTTTTTTTTAAGTGCAAGAGGGCAAGTTTTGCCAGGTAGATTTTTTTATTTTTTATTTTTTTTTAGTACCACATAATTTTTGTCTATCACCATTTCTCAGCAAGGATCTAGAGGAGGATGGTGAGATGGCAGTGAAGACACTGGTGTAAATAATCAACATAAAAAAAAAAATATTTAGTGCATATTACATAAAGATATATTGACTTAATAAATTGTAAATGCTAGAGCCTTTTTTATTAACACTTAAGTTGCTAAAAATAAAAATCTATTTATAAGAGTACCCTTTGCCCATTTCAGCAAACCAATTAAGAGTGACATAGCTTACAGGACTAACATAACTGCCTGATTTGCAAGCTCATAATTAGAAACTGCAGTGGGCAGTGGGTAGAATTGTGTATAATGTACATTATAAAAATTGCTTGCTTGTATTGTGAAGAGAAAATCAAAAAGGCCAGAAAAGTGGAAGACATTATGAGTCTTGTATAGTCTAATACAATTAACACAATCTAACAGTGGCCACCAAATAATGCCTTCCTGTTCCTTTTTGTCAAACTTTTTTTATACCTCCCATATTCTTTTTACTTTTATTTTTTAAATGTGCAGATCTAAATAAATAGCATGAAAAGGGGGTCAGGAATGCACTGTAATTCTGTTAAAATTGATACCCCTGCCACTCTTCTAATTGTTTATTCTCTAAACTGTGTGCCGGATTTGACATACAAGATGCAAAATGTAGTTCAGAATAGCGGGACTTCTAAAATAATAAATAAGTATAAAATATATACAACTTGTTTGAAGCTTGATTGTGAATCAACTGTTTGAGTAAAAGTAATCATTGCAGTTTTTGATCAGATAATTAAATCACTTGATTGAAGGTTATTTTGCTGGTCTTTTTCTTGCAATGCATTCCATGAACCCGGTCAGTGTAAGCCAGGAAGAAAACATGGCGTTTAAAAAGCTGTTTGTAAGTTTTAACTTTATATCTTTATTGCATTTGAGGTTTATTTCATGCTCCCAGAATGATTTAAGAACTTATTTGCACATTTGTAGATGTTACATTTTGTTTGTGTTTTTTTTTTTCTTTTGTTTGTTTTTTTTATCAATTTTAATCTATTCACTTATTTTGCATCCCTTTTATTCTGTATGCTCCAACTGTTTGCAACATAGAGAAAATAAAAAATAAAAAGGAAAATAAAATCACCGGTCATCTGAAACATTTTTTCCCTTTGGTGGAAAGTGTTTTTAAAAAAACGCAGTAAGAATTTGAATGCACACCCGCAGACATTGCAAAAGGAACCCACAGCTTAAGTGGTAGATTTAAAATCTAAAATACAAACTACAAACGTTATCAGATTCTTGCATTCATGTACATTTGCACTTGTAAGTTGACTTCTTCAATAGTGTGTGGCGTTGACTAACAGAAGCCTGTATTGAGCTGGAATTGTGGTATTTAATGCTCAGGGCCTTTTGTTTTATATAAAGTAGTTGTGTGTGTTTGGGTATTGGGAAGGAAAGTGTCTACATATGTATGCGCATGTAGACACAAGTTCTATTCCTCTGAAAATTATTTGATATTTTCATATTATGTACGCTGCTAGTCTTTCTGCATTTTGCGCCAATCAAACTTTAACAGGCTAGTCTGATTGAAAATAATATATTTGGTTGGTTCCCAGCCGCCTGGGAGTAGAGGTGTAAAATATTCAAAAAAAGAGCATTATTTTTGGTAGCTCTTTTTTCAGAGGATGTACTGCACCAGCAATAGCCCATTTCATTTGCCATTATGAAATGTGAGCGTTGTATTTGGGTCTGTTTGACATAATAGAAATACATGCGCAATATCTTTTGAACAGTGGACATGCTGTGTAATATTTTACAAGACCTGTATGAAGAGTTGTAAAAGAGAAACCCAAAGTGAATATATGTCCCAAACCTTTTTCTATATATATATATTTTTTTTATTTTATTTTTATTTAAGTTGAAACATGTTATTGCTATTATATCAGGGCCTTCGTATGATTAGTTCTGCAATTACAGGTTACTGTGTTGCAGTAGACATTTGATACTCAACCCCACTGCCGTGCCTTATAACCTTTGTGCATAGCAAAAACATTTTCTAGGTCATGATTGTAACAATGTTATGGCACATGTGTGTACCTATGTAATGACAAGTGTGAACCAAACGTTTTTCATTATTATGATTATAACGGCCAGAATTATTGCAGTGGCTCTGGCTGATGTTTGGAATGTAGTCCAGAGTTTAAAGTGACTGTCGCTTTAAACGTACCTTTCCCCTATTTCCACCTCTCTCCCTCTTTTCAGAATCTGTTCTTTTCTTCATTTCTTATGTGTCTGTTTAACACATAAGACGAAATATGGACTACTTTGTCTTGTGTTTTAAAGAGCAGATCATCAGAAAACGCAGAAAAGAACAGGTTCTCAAACCACAGCAAAAAGGTGCGTTTGAGGTGACAGAACCATATTAAGACATGTTTTAACATCTGTGCATTCTGAGAAGCCCTGGCTCTTTTTAGAGACATTACCACCATCACAAACTTTACTTTTGTTTATTTTGTGTCATCCTTGCACATACTGTCACATTGCTTTCTACACTATTCTCATTTAGCCAGTATGAACAAAATGAGATTTATTTGTATTTAATGCAAGGAATTAATTTTAACTTTTTTTTTTAGGGCTGCCATGGTGGCACCTAAAGGGTTAAAATTCAGTTTAGTTTTCTTCTTTAATTTTGCCCTACAGCTTCCTGTGTATAACGTTACATTGTTTGTGAATGCAAACTTCTTTTCAATTAAAATTTTATCAGCACAAACGTCGAATCATATTTCCATACCATTTAGCTGCGGGTGTGCATTTATCTGCAGTGTAGTGTGTTCACACCACTGCTGGGTGAGGTCTTGTACAGTGAGTTCTCTTGTACAGTGTGATGTCAGTATTCTGGTATTCCTCTGGTTTCACAATATATTCTATAACCTGTATTAATTGTATAGATTGTGCATTTAAAGCTGTTACCAAGTTGTCAGAAAAGGAGAGAAAATAAATCCTATGTAATATTTTGTTTGTAATTATCCTTTGTATCATAGCAAAGGAAATGTTAAAAAAAAAAAAAATCAACTGTAATAAAGTAATTTTAGTACACATGGAGAGAGTTTCTTTGCTACTTTTTTAACACTATTAAAATTAAAAAAATGTGAGTACATGAATTTACCTTTTCAACTGTGTCCCTAAATAATTGCACAATTTTAAAGTATGTCCTGTATAATCCGTCCGATCGCGTTCTAAAATATTAGGCAGTTATGAGAAGTAGTCATACATTATCTGCCGTTTTAAAATAGCTTGTTAGTCTTTTGATTAAACATTTAAGAAACTTTTTTTTATCGTCAATTAGTACACCAAAGGATTTAATTATAACAGAGGATTTCAGTGATTCATTATTTTTCCCAGAACTCTGAAGTGCATGTGTTCTCTCACGGTTTATTGAATACATTACCTTGATGCAGTTTTTCATAGTATCATTACATGTTAATTATTTTGTGTAATCAGTGTTAGACGACATTTACAAATCTACTAATAAGGAAAATGTATTCATACATAACATACGTTTGTTTCTAGAAATATTGTCGGTTCTTCACTTGACAGCCAGAGGAGCAGTTGAGTACATTCTAAAAGAGATCTCTTTTTCTGAACGTAGTCCGTTTTTCAATTTCAGAATCTTCCTAAACTAATATGCTGCCATGTATAAATCACCAAGAAAAGAATATTATGGCAATAAAGAACAAGTTTTCCTGTTTATGCTTTACCATGGCAGCATATATCATTTCATTATACCCACGCTACCAACTGGATGGGAGAGAATTTTAGAGACTAGTATACTGCAAAACATATTATTGGTATTTATACAGCAACATGTCCTGCAGTGCATTACAATATTAACAAAGGGGGGGACTTTAACAATAAATCAGACAAAGTGATAGATGGGGTGACGTTGACACATTTCATTCCCAAAGGAACTATCTCAAGACATGGTGTGTTAGCATATTCACCGGCTCTTTACACAGAACACGGCAAAGAAATTAATCTTACATTTAAAGAAACAGACAACCTCATAAGGAAAGTACGTTTGTAAAACTCAAGGATAAAAATAAATTACATGGAAAACTATAGAAAACCTGTAAATCACAGTATAGTGAACAAATAGGATATTAAACAAATAAAATTATTTTGTACAACTAATTAAAACATTCTTTCCGCATGCACTTTTACAGTCTGATAAGGGGATGTATAGTATGTTCTAGCTATATTATAGCAACAGGAGTGTTGATCTGGTCCAAACCTATATATAAAGATGTAAAAATGTATATTACTTGTTAACGCTGCTACTACACTGCCCATAGTGAAGCTACTACAGCAAGCATGTCAAACTCCATCTCGGTCAAACTTAGGTTTATTTTAAAAAGTACAGTATAAAAAAAACAGCACCCCCCTCTATTAAACCACAGCACCTCCCCCCCTACTAAACCACAGCACTCCTCTCTACCAAATACACACATACTCACTGACAGACCCACACACACATTCTTGCACTCATCATTTAATTTATTGTTCCCTACCTTTGGAAGCTGGTGTGGGGATCTTCTGTCTGGAGATCTTCTATCTGCTCTCTCGCGCAGTTTAGTGATGACGCGTGCCGGAATATGACGTTATATTCCGGCACCCGGCTTCACTACAGACGGCGTGCATGAGGGAGCATTGAGGAGCAGGAACACTGAGCTCTCTCGCTGGCCCTCTTCCCCGGCCGGGTAAGTTTTAGCAGAGTAGGTACCTGCAATATGGGGAAAGCAGGTGCCTACTCTGCTAGAACACCAGCATGTATTCGCGGCTCGCCGGACTACAAAGATGGTCCTTGTGGGCCGCGAGTTTGACATGCTTGTACTACAGTGTAACGTGGTTACATTATAAACCTTTACTATCACATTCCGAATTACGTTACTCTAGGGCTCTTTGCAATAGTGCTCTGGGCTAGAGTGTACCAGACACGGGTCTTTAGTGAGTATAGGCCACTGGCTCTTAAGGATCTTGTTGATCTCATTATACAGCACATTGAATCTGTTTACAAAGACTCCCACCTTTCTCTACCCAAAATCTTCATAATTTATATGCTGTTGGGAGATAAAGGAGGCAGGCATTAAAAATAAAAGTGGAAAAAGCTTACTAAGAATACTGGATTTTGTCAGAGAAGGCATGTAGGTGAAATGATTTTTTTTTTTTTTTTAGTATTGGTGAACATTCCAAATAATATTAAAGAGAGAAGTAGACAGAGAAGAGAACAGCAGACACCCAGCAGGAAATGGGTGAGAGAATAACTTTGCAAAGGTAGGTGTGCTAGTATGGACAGATGTGTCTACCATTAGGTTGCCCAAATGAAAAATAAACCAGGGTGCTGTGGACATTCTTAAAAGGAATTTAAACATTTAATCATATAACTGTGTCATCCACCTTTAAAGAAAAAAATAGGATTGAAAGAAAGAGTAAGAAGGGGTTTAATACTCCATGCCATATCAATTTAAAGACTACAATAGAGCATTTCTCACAAGATGAAACTCTTTATTTTGCGTGAGGTAAGGTCAATGTGATCAGTAAAGAGATCCAATTAAAGCCGTAACTCTTTTTAACTCTTGCCTGAATTATCAATCTCTTAACAAACTTGGCAACAAAATAATTTAAATGCTTGAGTCGGGTTGTGTTGGTGATGAAGTTGAACATCAAGAGCTATTTAAATGGGAGTTTTGAGAAAAGCTAGGGTTAAGGGGAAATGGGGATAAGGGGATAAGGGATGCACAAAGGTGTTTAAGAGTCACCAAGGTGTAAGGGGGTTGCCAAGAGACAATGTGGAATGAAGGTGGACAAAATAAAAAATAAAGTAAGTTTACAATTCTGGCAGAGCCAAGACAAGATTCCACATGGTACATCCCTTCTCCTTCACCCCTCATGTATCTTACCTCACCCCTTTTTATACACAGCAGCTGTGGTCCACCACAGCAACAGTATTGAAATGTTGTGGTTGAGGAGGACGATGACGACTGTTGTGGAAATAAGGTCTGTACATATTTCCTAGTTAATGAAAATGTCTATTTACTCATTTCACTCTATACAATATAAGCTATGCACACATGTTTTAATCAAGATGGCTGCCAGAAGCTTCTAACCCCTCCTTTCCTCCCCCCCCCCTTTTTAACACCGACTACCTCGTGCAGCAAGATGGCGCTGGGAAACCGTGGGAGACCCTCATGGCCCTGGTGACATCACCCCCAGTAGGCAGAGCATTAGAATGACCACTTAACACCTAACCAATAATTGATGTATTATTCCATGTTATCTCTGACAATGCTTATGATGTAACTTTGCTTTAAAAGGGACCTGCCGTCCCCTCTGAATAAACTTTCCTCAAGTTATTCAACAACCTAGAACCTGTGTCTGGTGTGAATTACTTCAGGGAGCGTGCACGCATTGTTTCATTGATTTGGCCAGGGGCAGATACACAAAGAAATAATCAATACCTTGATTGATTTTTCCATTTCAATTGGCGCCCAACGTGGGGCCGCCGGAGGGCCGGAACCAACAGACCGGAGCGGACCTCCGGAAAGTGGGACAAGCGGAGCCTGATCACCTCTATAATACAGCCGTTGCCTGTGTTATTCTCCTGTTTTGTGTCGGTCTATCTCCGAGTCCACTTCCGGCTTCCAGAAGGCTACTAGAGACAGGTAATTAGCTCATCCGGTGTGCCTTTTTAAAGTGAACCTGTGGATTGTCTATCTGCCTCCTGTATTCGTTTAAATGTGTGTGACGGCCGGTGTGTGTGTTTTCCCCTTTTTAAAAGATGTTGGCTTGACTGCCTAGTGGGCAGGTAACGCATTATGTTAGCTTGACTGCCTAGCGGGCAGGGAACGCATTATATGTTAGCTTGACTGCCTAGCGGGCAGGGAACGCATTACAGCCGGTGGGGCTGGGATTATATGTTAGCTTGACTGCCTAGCGGGCAGGGAACGCATTATGTTAGCTTGACTGCCTAGCGGGCAGGGAACGCATTACAGCCGGTGGGGCTGGGATTATATGTTAGCTTGACTGCCTAGTGGGCAGGGAACGCATTATATGTTAGCTTGACTGCCTAGCGGGCAGGGAACGCATTACAGCCGGTGGGGCTGGGATTACAGGGAGTGCAGAATTATTAGGCAAGTTGTATTTTTGAGGATTAATTTTATTATTGAACAACAACCATGTTCTCAATGAACCCAAAAAACTCATTAATATCAAAGCTGAATATTTTTGGAAGTAGTTTTTAGTTTGTAGCTATGTTAGGGGGATATCTGTGTGTGCAGGTGACTATTACTGTGCATAATTATTAGGCAACTTAACAAAAAACAAATATATACCCATTTCAATTATTTATTATTACCAGTGAAACCAATATAACATCTCAACATTCACAAATATACATTTCTGACATTCAAAAACAAAACAAAAACAAATCAGTGACCAATATAGCCACCTTTCTTTGCAAGGACACTCAAAAGCCTGCCATCCATGGATTCTGTCAGTGTTTTGATCTGTTCACCATCAACATTGCGTGCAGCAGCAACCACAGCCTCCCAGACACTGTTCAGAGAGGTGTACTGTTTTCCCTCCTTGTAAATCTCACATTTGATGATGGACCACAGGTTCTCAATGGGGTTCAGATCAGGTGAACAAGGAGGCCATGTCATTAGATTTTCTTCTTTTATACCCTTTCTTGCCAGCCACGCTGTGGAGTACTTGGACGCGTGTGATGGAGCATTGTCCTGCATGAAAATCATGTTTTTCTTGAAGGATGCAGACTTCTTCCTGTACCACTGCTTGAAGAAGGTGTCTTCCAGGAACTGGCAGTAGGACTGGGAGTTGAGCTTGACTCCATCCTCAACCCGAAAAGGCCCCACAAGCTCATCTTTGATGATACCAGCCCAAACCAGTACTCCACCTCCACCTTGCTGGCGTCTGAGTCGGACTGGAGCTCTCTGCCCTTTACCAATCCAGCCACGGGCCCATCCATCTGGCCCATCAAGACTCACTCTCATTTCATCAGTCCATAAAACCTTAGAAAAATCAGTCTTGAGATATTTCTTGGCCCAGTCTTGACGTTTCAGCTTGTGTGTCTTGTTCAGTGGTGGTCGTCTTTCAGCCTTTCTTACCTTGGCCATGTCTCTGAGTATTGCACACCTTGTGCTTTTGGGCACTCCAGTGATGTTGCAGCTCTGAAATATGGCCAAACTGGTGGCAAGTGGCATCGTGGCAGCTGCACGCTTGACTTTTCTCAGTTCATGGGCAGTTATTTTGCGCCTTGGTTTTTCCACACGCTTCTTGCGACCCTGTTGACTATTTTGAATGAAACGCTTGATTGTTCGATGATCACGCTTCAGAAGCTTTGCAATTTTAAGAGTGCTGCATCCCTCTGCAAGATATCTCACTATTTTTGACTTTTCTGAGCCTGTCAAGTCCTTCTTTTGACCCATTTTGCCAAAGGAAAGGAAGTTGCCTAATAATTATGCACACCTGATATAGGGTGTTGATGTCATTAGACCACACCCCTTCTCATTACAGAGATGCACATCACCTAATATGCTTAATTGGTAGTAGGCTTTCGAGCCTATACAGCTTGGAGTAAGACAACATGCATAAAGAGGATGATGTGGTCAAAATACTAATTTGCCTAATAATTCTGCACTCCCTGTATATGTTAGCTTGACTGCCTAGCGGGCAGGGAACGCATTACAGCCGGTGGGGCTGGGATTTTGTATGATTATTGCAGTGTTTCATTGGTACTTGTGTTACAACGGGACCAGCCTGGTGGGGGAGGGCTGGGGATTGCCACATTTTAAATATCTGGTGCCAGTGGTGTTAAAATGTACATGGCCATTTTACTCTGTCATTCTCTGGTTTTTGTTCAATTGTTGTTAGAGTGTGGGTACCCTTGGTGTGTGTGTGTGTATAGTGTGGCTGGTTCTGGATTCTGGGGTTTACGCTCATCTCTAGGTTTGTGACTTTTGCAAATGTCTTCTCGTTAGCGTAGCCACGTTCATCTTCTCTTTTGTCCTTTATCTCTCCTGTGTCTGTTGCCCAGAGCTGTGTTAGTCACCCACGCTCGCTCGCTCCGGTCCGTGACCGCCACCCCGGGTGGGCGGACCCCCGTGACTAGTCTACGTTTTGGGAAGACGCACGGGACCCAAGTCCTCGTGGCAGTCGAGCACTGTAGACATTCCTCTTCCTTCTCCCCTGTATCTCCTCTGTATATCTGTCTCTAACACGTGGCTCACTCCAATTATTCAAGATGGGGCAGGAACATGCTAGACCTGCTAAGGGCTTGTTGGCTTGTGATATTGTGAAAGAAAGGGCAGGGGAAGATGCAATGTTGAAACTTAGGAAGATTGCTAAGGTGTGTGGCTTCCAAATGCCGCCCAGTGGCAGATTGCAACCTGAGTTTTGGAGGAAGTTACTCATAGACAAGGAAGGGGTGTTGTTGGATAATGGGCTCACAAAAATTGCAGAGGCTTGGTATCGGGTAGCTAGAAGTCTGAAACGGGAAGGGTGGGTCGAGGAAGAGTTGGATTTTGAAGGGCAAACTGTGTACGTATACCATAGGAGTATTAACAATGATGATGTTGTTTCCATTGTCCCGCGGCCACCGCCCTATGATGGCGCCCAGAGCGCAACAGTAAATTCCCGCCCTGCTTCCCCCGTCACAGCACAGACCCCACCCCCCGGGGGTGTACCTTCAGCTCCCACCCCCCTGTGCCCCGTTCTCGGTGCAGACGGTGCTTACTACTATCCAGTGCCACTTCATTCGTTCCCACCCACTCCCATGCACCAACCTCCCTTTGACCCAGCCCCCTCCATCAACCCTTCTCCCGTTATGTCTGTTGATGTTCCCCCGCCTCCATGTCCTCCGCCACCTCTCCCAGTGCCTGCTTCTACTCCAAAACCTCGCCAAGATCCCGTCCTGACCGCTCCCGCCTCATCCACCGACGTTTCCTCCTCCTCCTCCTCCTCTCATTCCCTCTCCACCTCGAGTACCCCATCTCCAGCGATACCCGCTCCCTCACCCCCCTCGACTGTTTCACACTCTGCTCCTTCGACCCTTGTCCATCACACCGCCCCCATTCCTCCGGACCCCTGTTCCTCCACAAACCCCCCTTCTCCCATACACCCGGACCCAGACCTTTCCTCCTTAATTGCTAGCCTTTCAAAAGTGACCTGTCCCGTGACCCCTACTCCATTATCCTCTCTGCCTTTTTCTCCTTCTCATTCCCCTTCTCCTTCCTCCTCTAAGGATCCCTCATCCCTACTCTCCACTCTCATGAATCTTGTCCAGCCCGCTGATCCCGGCCCCCCTGCCTCTGCTCCCTCATATACCACCACAGCTGGCCCTCCCTCTACCTCCTCCCCTCCCGTTGATCTTGCAACACTAGTAGCCGCCCTTTCTGCTTCTCTCCATCCTCCCGCAACACTCCCAGGCACCCCTCCCATCCTCCAGGACCCTCCCGCTATCCACACACCGCTACCTCCTCCGGATGTCCCGGCCCCCTCTACCTCGTTGCCTCCTCCCCTCCTGGCTGATTTGCCGTCCCTAATCTCTGCCCTTACCGCCCTGACCCAGCCCCCCGTTCCCACCCCTCCAACCCCTTCTCCAGTGTTACCTCCTCCCGATGTCCCGGCCCCCTCTACCTCATTGCCTCCTCCCCTCCCGGCTGATTTGCCGTCCCTAATCTCTGCCCTTACCGCCCTGACCCAGCCCCCCGTTCCCACACCTCCAACCCCTTATCCAGTGTTACCTCCTCCCGATGACCCGGCCCCCTCTACCTTGTTGCCTCCTCCCCTCCCGACTGATTTGCCATCCCTACCCTCTACCCACGCTGTTATAACCCAGCCCCCTGTTCCCATCCCTCCGACCCCTCCCCCGGTGACCCCTGACCCAACCATGGTCAATGACTTGTCTACCTCGATATCCGCCCTCTTCTCTGCTGTTACCTCCCTGGTTAATTCTGCGATTCCTGCTCCACCTCCCATTGATTTACCTCCTCCTCCTCCACCTCCTCCCCCTGATCCTCCAACCCCTTCTCCGCCCCCCCGCTAACATCCCCGAGCCTTCCGATCCAATCACTGCTCTCGCTCATGTCCTAAATACCCACCTCTCACGCCCATCTCAGCCGGCCCCCACAGCAACCCCATCCATGGCATTGGTCCCTCATGTCTCTCCCACCAGCGCTAGTTATCCAATCATGGTGGTTGGATCCGAAGTGTCTGTGACGTCGGATCAACCCTATGCAGTGGGTGCTTCCCCCCAGGCCTCGGGCTTCCACCCAACTACCTCTCCCATCACCGGTCTCCCTGCCGCCCCTGCCACAGCTACCCCTGAGACTACTCTGCCCCGTGGCCCAGTAGCACCCAAGGAGATTGTTGTGGTAGAACAGGATTCACCTCGCCCAGGGGGGAACAGGCTCCCCCAACGGCTCTCTATCCCCCAGGGTTATACCCAGATTAACCATGAAGCGGATGGTGCACCACCCATGTATGTTACCTTCAACCCTTCCCAAGCTGCTACCCTTGTGACCTCACTCCCAGATCCTGAGAAACACCCCATGCCCTTTTTCCGCAGGATGGCTCAAATCCGAAAAACATATTCCGCTGCCTGGCGGGATCTTATAAGTTTGTGTGAAATAAAGGCTGGAGATGCATACTGGCCAATCATGGAACGGAGCTTTAATGACGCTCCACTCACTTCTGATACAGATTTTCGTTCTGGTGAAATTTTCTGTGAGCAGCTCCGAGCTTGGGCACAGGATAAATTAGCAGATCAGGCTACTTGTATAAATGACATAATTCAGGATAAGCTTGAGACTGTTGAAAAGTACCACTCCAGATTGACTCAGACTTTCTCAGACTTAGGGTTCAGCACCTATAACAAAGCACACACCCAGATGTTATCTGCAGCCTTTGTGGCTGGCCTTAGGGAACACATTCGTAAGGGGTTGATTTTAGCTCGCCCAGAGTACAGAATTATTCCACTGGACACACTTTTGCTGGTAGCCAAGGGTTTAGAATCTGTTCTGCAACCCACACAGCGAAGAACTAGCCCTCTGATGTATACTACCTCTGCACCAATTGTCAGTCCTAACCAAGTTCCTCAGATACTCCCCCAACAATACACTCAGTTACCCCAGACACTGCCTGCATCTATCCCCTCTCCCCGGGACCGGACCCTCACGACAATCCGGACCTGTTTTAACTGTAATCAGCCCGGCCACTTCAGAAGAGATTGCCCACACCCTAGAGTAATCCGCCCACAGACTCCCCGGTACCCAAGTCCCCATGCCACCGGCTTTAGTTTCCCCTCCACTGGTTACCTCCCTGCCCTGCCCCATCCACAGTTGCCTCAGCTTCCTCCTCCTCCTCCTCCTCCTCCTGAATACACCCAAGCCCGGCTCCCTACATCAGAGGCCCGTGCATACACTTCGGCTTCCGCTGAAGGGTTTGACACAGGTGATTTCCAAGAGAGTCAGTCACTGCCCCGCCACATTAATCGTCCATCCCGTCCTCCCATGCAATCTAGTAACCCTCCCTCCACTTCCCGCCAGTACCAGGGACCAGATCAGGCCCATTTAGATTTATTACAATAGGTAACTGGCAAGCCTGTGTCAGCAACCCCTGCCATGGCAGTGTCTGCGGGGGATAGGGGAGGGCCCTTGGCTACTGTAGTTCTCCCCGTGGAGGGCCATCCAACTACCTTTCTAGTCGACACAGGTGCAGCCAGTAGTGTTCTCAGGGAACAAGACCTGCCAGATCCTTCCTTCTTATCTGATACCGATGTCTCCTGTGTTGGGGTGGATGGTACACCCCGCAGTAACCCCCTTACTAAACTTCTGCATGTAGGTTCACACATTCTCTACCGGTTTGTTGTTTCCTCTACTTGCCCCATTAACCTCCTAGGTGCTGATGTTCTCTCTCGGCTCCAGGCATCCATTACCTTTACTGCTGATGGTCAGGTCGAGTTAACAACTCCCTTATCACAAAAAGACACCTCTGTCCTCTGTTCCCTCCCCATCTTGTTGAACCTAGCTGACAATACAGGGAATGCACGGGTCTCACAAACCCCCAGTGCTCTGGATCGTATCCCCCAAGAACTTTGGTCCACCGGCCCGGATGATATCGGACGTTTGCATGTGCCCCCAGTCTTGGTCAAGCTCCTGCCTGGAGCACTGCCTCCCCGTAGGCCACAGTATCCTCTGAAGCCAGCACAAGCTGAAGCTATCACCAAACAAGTTGAAAGCCTACTTGCCAAAGGTGCCCTTATCAAGTGCACATCTCCATGTAACACACCACACAGAAGCCCTGTTAAAAAGAGAACTGTTAAAGGCCAACCCGACCAGTACCGAATGGTACAGGATCTCCGTGCTGTTAATGAAGTAACCGTAAAGGACACTGCTATTGTTCCAAACCCACACACTCTCTTGTCCCAGGTTCCACCAACTGCCACAATTTTCACTGTAGTGGATCTAGCCAATGCCTTTTTCAGTGTGCCCCTTGACCCTTCCTGCCGTTTTCTTTTCGCCTTCACCCACGAAGGACAACAACACACCTGGACTGTCATGCCTCAGGGGGCCCAGAATTCCCCCACACAGTTTGCTCATGCCATGTCTCTAGTTCTGGAGCCCTGGCAGAAATCTCACTCAGATGTTGTCCTGCTCCAATATGTTGATGATCTCCTTCTCTGTGCTCCTGATTTGCTCATTGCAGAACGTGACTCAGAAGATCTCCTATGTTTCCTCGCTGCAGCCGGTTGCAAAGCTTCCAAATCCAAGCTACAATGGTGCCAGCCCTCTGTGGTCTTCTTGGGACATTGTCTTTCCCATGGCACCAGACATCTAACTTCTCAACGTGTACAAGCTATTTTGCAACTCCCTTTACCTGCAACACATCAGACTCTTCATGCCTTTTTGGGTCTTATCACATACTGCAGGTCCTGGATACCCGAAGCATCAAAGCTCATGCAGCCACTCTATGATGCCCTCAGGAGTGAGCCATTTCATCTCACTGAAGAAACTATCACCTGTTTCCACAATCTAAAAAGAGCTATTGCTTCTGCACCTGCCTTGGGCCTCCCAAACTACCAGCTTCCTTTCAATCTGTTTGTCTCTGAAAAGTCAGGACATGCTTCCGGAGTCCTTACCCAGAAACATGGCTCAAGACAGCGGCCTATTGGCTATTTTTCCTGCATGCTTGACCCTGTTGCAAGGGGTAGTCCCTCCTGCCTCAGAGCGGTGTTTGCCGCCAGCGCCCTCCTGGACAAGACTAATGATTTCGTTCTTGGCCACCACCTCACGGTGTTGGCCCCTCATGACATTACTGCAATCCTGCAACAAGTTCAACCTAAGCACCTTTCTTCTCAACGTCACCTCCGTCTACAAACATCCTTACTTTTACCTGACAATGTGAAACTTCAGCGTTGTCTTTCCCTGAACCCAGCCACTCTTCTGCCACTTCCCAAGGGGGGAGTTGTGCATTACTGGTACAGCCTGGACATCAACCCAGAGGTTCGAGCAGATTTGCAGTTGCCAGCACTTGCACCCCCACATGATGAACAATCAGAGGCCCTACTTCACTGCACCTTATGGTTTAAGGACATACCAGGCCCTGATATGAACTATGAGGAAGAATTATTCCAGCTCAAGGAAATTCAAATTACCCTGACTGACTTATTCTGGGACCCCACAGGTACCATGCTCATCTTAGTCCATCTTCCAGAGAATGTGACACATCTCTATCATCATTGGGAAACAGCTATCCCACACATCTCTCACCAGATCCCCTGACACCTCATGGAAAGACCTAGGCCCGATGGCCAAGACCTGGAGTCAAATGAACCAAGAACAACTGACTTCTACGGGGATCAACAAAAAGACTATTAATTACTGTACAGCAGGGTACCCAAGGTACCACACAGAAGCCCGGAAGACCCACTCATCATAGACTGTGACCTAGATATTCCTCATGATTGTTTTGAACAAATGAAAATGGAAACTACACACCTACCAACTGTCTATGAAGCTGCATTACTCAACCCGGACCAAACACTATTTGTGGATGGGTCAAGATTTGCTGATGAACAGGGACAATATCACACTGGGTATGCAGTCACCACAGGATGTCAAGTATTACAAGCAGCTGCCCTACAACCAACTAAGTCTGCTCAAGAAGCCGAGCTAACAGCCCTGACTGTGGCCTGCAAATTGTCTGAAGGTCTACGTGTCAATATCTACACAGATTCAAGATATGCCCTGGGAGTAGCACATGACTTTGGTCTAATTTGGAAAACCAGAGGATTTCTTACGGCTCCCAGTACCCCAGTAAAAAATGGGGCAGCCATTGCAGAACTGATGGATGCTTTAGAACTTCCAGCAGAGGTGGCAGTATTAAAAGTAAAAGCCCACGGAAGACTAGACACAGAAGAAGCACGGGGCAACCACTTAGCTGATCAGGCAGCTAAGGAAGCAGCACGGCAAGGATGGGAAGTGGACAGAAGAGTGGCCACAGATACAGTACCCATCTATACTATGCAAACATTGCCTACAGATCTTAGGCTTCTGAAGGAACAACAAGCTGCTGCTACTCCCCAGGAGAAACAAAGTTGGAAGAACAAAGGAGCTGTACTCCGTGATGATGTTTACACCATCAATCTCAAGTTTTGCTTACCCAGAAATATGTACTCAGCGGTGGTTCAATGGGCCCATGGGCCAGCCCACCTGTCGAAACATCTGATGAACTCACTGATTGACAAGTATTTTGAAGCACCAGGTATCACTACCTTAACACAGAATTACTGTAAATCATGTACTATATGTGCTAAATGCAATCCTGGAAAGATTATAAAGACTGCACCTAATCACCTAGCCAAGCCACAATACCCCTTTCAGAGGATCCAGATTGACCATATACAAATGCCAAAGAGTGGACGTTATGAATATGCACTGGTCATAGTGGACATGTTTTCAGGATGGCCAGAGGCCTTCCCAGTGACTAATCTCACCGCGAGAACTACAGCCAAGTACCTTTTGATGGAAATTGTTTGCCGATATGGAGTTCCAGAAGTGATTGAAAGTGACCAAGGGACCTCCTTTACTGCCTCGTTAACACGGGAAGTCTGGTCAGCACTGGTCACACACCATATCACCCACAGAGTAGTGGTAAGGTAGAGCGCATGAATGGCACTTTGAAAGCCAGAATGCTTAAAATGTCACAAGAAACTAACATGCCCTGGCCCGAGAGTCTCCCACTAGCGTTGTTTAGTGTAAGGTACACTCCTAGGGGAAAATATAGCCTATCACCTTATGAGATTTTGTTTGGTACAGCACCCAGGTTAGGTTGTTACTTTCCCCAACAGCTTCAGATTCAGTCAGATGCTATGGTAGACTATGTGACTTCCCTCTCACATGCCTTGACCAAAATACATGCCCAAGTGTTTTCTTCTATTCCAGATCCTGAGTCGAATACAGGTACACACAAGCTGCTTCCTGGGTTATGGTCAAGAAGTTTCTCAGGAAAAACACCCTAGAACCAAGATTTGATGGTCCTTATCAAGTGCTCCTGATTACAGCAACGTCAGTTAAACTAGCCGGGAAGAGTTCTTGGATACACGCCTCACATTGCAAAAAAGTGCCTGCTCCAGAAGAGGCTAATCCTGCTGAAATATGAATTTATTATGTGTCTTGTGTTTTCTTATGCTGCTACACTTTGCCTGGGCCCAACAAGTGGCCATAACTAAAGATAATCATGTTTACACTTTCTGGTACAATTCTTCTAACACAGATGTAGCTACGTACACCTTTGATTACTGTGACATAGTCGCTTGCACATTTCCACAAACACAATATGCAGCCATATACAAAGACATACCTAACAAAAAGGATCCATACATTTGTGTGACTGGAGGAGTTTGGGGACACCATTGTAGTTAATGGAAAGCTGCCGGGTGGAACACAGGTAGACCATGGGGCTACAGACCCCAGATTGCACTGGACAGACTTGACAAAGACGGGAAACCCCTACTTTCTAGAATGACCCTGAGTAAACCCATAGGGTCAACTCCCATTTAACTTACCTTGAACATAGAGCACCCCAGCCCAAAGGATGCAGGGGAATATGTAATGGGAATGTACTGGAAGGGAGGTGGCTCACATAACACACTGGGGACATTTTACCTACAAGACATGCTCACCTCACCAGACTGGGTAGGGACCACACACATGATCATTAACCCGTTGAAACCACATATTAAGACCCTACATGACATGGTAGCTATAGTCAACCCCACCTTTGAAGACACTATGGCAGTGGAGACTGGGTTTTCAGACACTAATTTGTGGCTAGAATGGATGAGGTATAATGCCAACTCACATAATAAGACTAACTGCTATGTATGTGGAGGAGCCAGGCCCCATCTGGGTACGGTACCCCTAAGTTTACCTCCTGAAATAGAACTATGTGTCTTAAGCCTCTATGCACAGTCTACCACAAATTCCTCAACATGTGAATCATAGAAGAGAGTTTACCCAATCACTCATGGACATGTCAAGCCACCTGATGGAGTCACAGTTTATCCAGGTAATTACACATGCTATTTAATACCTAAGAACACTGGTGTATATCTGGGCAAATTCCCATCAGGATACTGCTCGACTTACCATAGTCCACCTGTATCACTGTTAATGAATCATACAAAGACAATCGGTGATATCTATTGGTTATGTGGTGACATGGTAAGGTGACTATGGCCATAGAGAAGTTAGTCTTTCTGACGAGCTAAAGAAGAATTCAGGAGTCACTGACACTTGGGACAGATGGTTTGGGTGGATGAATGGTTGGCAAAGGACCCTCTTCCAGGTAGGAACAGCTGTTCCTATAATGATTATCATCTTCTTATTCTTAACCTGTTGTGTGCTCCCTTGCATACAGAAGTACTTACAGAAAGCAGTAGGGAAGACTATAGATGACGTTACCCCTACTTTCCAACATCAAGACATCACAGACCTCGAAGATGACACCCCACATACACCCCTTCAATCACATCAGTTTAAACAGACAACTGCATCTGTAGGGACAGTGTAGGGAAAGCGTCTGTCTTTACGGGCAAGTCTCACGTGCGGAGATGTGGTGGGCTAGCTACTGCGGGTTACCCACGGAGTGAAGAGTTCGATGCTTGTGAAGACAGATGAGCTGTCTAATCTGCTGCAACCTGAAATTCTTTGACTACAACTGCAGTGGCTGTTGTGGCTCTGAATGCTTGATGTTACTCTGAGCACAAATAAAATAAAGAATTATTTCGCGGTGGGTGGGGGCCCTACTGTCCTCCCCCCCTGGCCCCCACCCCTGCGCGGTGGGTGGGGGCCCCAATAAGCTTCTAACCCCTCCTTCCCCCCCCCTTTTAACACCGACTAACTACCTCGTGCAGCAAGATGGCGCTGGGAAACCGTGGGAGACCCTCATGGCCCTGGTGACATCACCCCCAGTAGGCAGAGCATTAGAATGACCACTTAACACCTAACCAATAATTGATGTATTATTCCATGTTATCTCTGACAATGCTTATGATGTAACTTTGCTTTAAAAGGGACCTGCCGTCCCCTCTGAATAATCTTTCCTCAAGTTATTCAACAACCTAGAACCTGTGTCTGGTGTGAATTACTTCAGGGAGCGTGCACGCATTGTTTCATTGATTTGGCCAGGGGCAGATACACAAAGAAATAATCAATACCTTGATTGATTTTTCCATTTCAACGACGATGACAGCAGAGGGTTTTCATTTTCCTCTGCTCAGATGCTGGGATATACCTTCCAGTCCCCGCCACCTCCATTCAATGCTTGCTGTTCACAGCTCTCTGCCAGACCAGGCAGCATAATGTTGAGGGCAATGTGTGGTTATATAGTTAAAGGTCACATTTAGCATTGGGGGAAAGCACTATACTTGTACACATGGTATCATAGCAAAGAATGTAGAAATGAGACTATTCTGATTAACCAGGATGTCATTAGACAGATTTTCAAATCTTGATATTTCCAGCAGATTAAACACCTAAAATTAAAAAAAAAAAAAACTAGAAAACTAAAACAAGATTTGTAAATTCTATACTGGTGTGTCCTTTTAATGCAAAACAGAAAAAAAAACATAGATGACCTTTGGTGATTGACTTTGGCATCTATTATTCACATGTTATACTAAAAAAAAAAAGTTTGGGGTTTATTTTCTGTTAAACTTTAGTGAATATACTAACGGTCAATTTCCTGTTTCCTTTAAAGGGATACTATAGTCAGCACAACAACTTTAGCTTAATGAATCAGTTTGGGTGTATAGATCATGCTCATGCAGTCACACTGCTCAATTTACTGCCATTTAGGAGTTAAATCACTTGGTTTTGGTTTATGAAGCACTAGTCACACCTTCCTTTGCTGTGACTCAAACAGCCAGCATAAAATGTCCCCCACCCTCCCTCCATTTTCAATCCGCACATTGTGTTTACTTTAGAAGTTTGTATCTCCTGCTCTGTTAATTGAACTTTATTAACTCACATGACATGAGGCTCCTGTAGCTTCTACTTGGCCAGGGATAGGCAACAGTCGGCACTGCAGATGTTGTGGACTACATCCGCCATAATGCTGGCAAAGCATAATGGGGAGTGTAGTACAAAACATCTGGAATGCCGAAGGTTGCCTATGCCTGTTCTAGGCTATTAACAGGAGATAAGAAATTTGAATTTAAACAAGGTGTACAATAAAGTTTAAACATTAGATCTTTACAGGAAATGTGTAAAAATGCGTGGGTCACTGCCTGGGGAGGTGTGGTTAGGGCTGTAAGTACAAGGTGCTTTGAATTCTAAATGGCAAAAGGTTGAGGAGTTAGACTGCAGGGGCTTGATATATACACCAAAACCACTCAATTCTATCCATAAGTCATTTTGGTGCTTATACTGTCCCTCTAACACTACATTAGATTGATTTATCACTAACAACTGATTTATTAGAGAAGTCTATTTCTATACACAATAGAGTGCAGTTTAAAAAAAAAAAAAAATTGGTCCCTAAAGGAACACTAACAGCCTTAATCACTGCAGCTTGCTCTAGTGTTTATAATTACAGGGATGCCATGGTGCGCTGTAGTGGTTTGTGGTGCTTGGAGCTTTTCTTTAATTCTTAATGCATTAAAGAAAAGTAGAATGCATCATATGTAGAAGGGTAATCCTTAGACAGATTTATCAACTACTTCTCAAATATTAACATATTATCCAGCTAAACAAAATGTGACATCCCCCCTCCATCCCATGAAGTCCTCTACTGAATGAATATTGATTGACCAGACTGAAATGTAGTTTGGTATATGATACAATAATAAAATATAAGACTCCAGCTGATAAATGGTGCAAGCTATATAAAAAAGGACAGGCAATGTTTCTACACATTATGGCTTGATAAAGATGCACAGTTAGGTGCAATATACAATAACAATTATAGTGGGGAACAAAAAAGTATTTTTAGCATAAGAAATAATTTTTTCTAGTGCTCAAATTTTTTTTATCAACACCGTGATAAATTGTGAAAATAGTTTGAACAGATTTATTATATATATTATAATTATTTATATTTTACACCTTCTTCAACCTATATGTCATTAATGAGGACGATGTTCTTTTAAGAAGTAATAGAACACACTTTTTTATGTTTGACACTTTTTTTTTAGAAGCAGCAATGAGATGGTTAACTTTTTTTAAAAATAATTCTCACTATAATTGTTAAATTGCACCTTTGTGTGATTGGTTTGCTCATTAAACTGTTTACTGTTAATTAGCTCTTTATAATGCACTTTACTATGGCATGTTTGGTATGTTTGATAAAGACACACGCTGTATCCAAACATTGCCTGTCTTTTTTTTGATGACTGAATAAACGCACTTTGCACCTTTAATCACTGAGTGCCTCTCTTGGAGCAATGAATTCTGACCACGGCCAGGTGCTGAAATTTGGATTTCAACAGTGCCCTTTCTATAAATCTACGTTTCCTTGTTAATGATACAACGGATAATTCCAGTTACTGCTAGACATTGCTCATTATCTAGTGTATGATCTTTTCCAGCTAAATATCTCTTCAAGGCCTGTGTATGATGTTTCGCGTTTTTGTAGTGTTGGTCTCCTACGCCTGTTTAACATATTGGTGCCCCGGTTCCTTGTGAGTCCCCTTGTTTTTTCTTCTGTTCGAAAAAATTCTGTAACAGATCTGAAGTACTCTAAAGTAACTTCATGACTCCATGCTACAGGTGCCCCATTCAGAAAACCACAGTGTCCACCATACTTTGTCAGCAGTAGAAAAAAGTAAGGGTTTGTCCGAAAAAGCTCAATAGGAAGTGTGCTCTCCGGACGCCCACGTATAGGATCATCTTTGCTACAAATGCACAAAATAGGGATGGCAACTTCATCCACATCACTCAGAGGGTCGTTACACTCCCAGTAGTAATCCCAGCTGGTTGTCTCACTCTTGCTTTGGCAAAACAGTGTCTTGTGAAGTTCTCGCAGTGAGCTGCTAGCAAAAATCTTCTCAGCTGGCAAAACTTCTGCAATAGCCGTAGAGTATCTGCAATGAATAAAATAGAGTATTGTACAAAAATGATTGAAGATTTAAAGCAGGGATCAAAATTCCACTCACCACCTTAAAAACGCACATGAACATCATTTTGGGTTTCATACATTTCATATTCATGGCTTAAAAGTGTAAGTGTGTTGAGTTCTATTTGTTTATACTGTCTGTGTGTGAATGCAGGGGCATGTTTGTGTGGAATGTCTGTGTGTGCACGTAGGGTTATATTTGTGTGGAGTGTTTGAATGCATGGGTACATTTGTGTGCAAGCGCTGGCTTATGTTTGTGTAGAGTATGTGTGAAAGCAGGGGTATGTTTGTGTGGTAAGTGTGCAAATACAGAGTGAGATTGTGACCCCCTTCCCATGTCAACAAAACCCTTTGCTTCCCTCTTTAATGTCCCCTTCTACTCATCCATGCTCACTATATACAACATGCCCCTTAATCTGCCTATTCACTCCCCTTTCCATGTACCCCCTATATGTACTCATCCATGCCCCTTCATTCCTCTTTCTGGCACGCCCCCTCCTTTCCTTGTCTTTTGCAATAACTGCTCTCCCATTGTGCTAGTCTTCCAAGCTGTGCTTACTGTAGAGGTGGGACCTTATTCCTGTTATCCAGTGGTGTGAGGCAGCGGTCAGGAGCTGAACCTGAAGGCATCCTTATACCTGTCAGTTTCAAGCATTGTGCAGCCATGGATTTTTACCATGCAGTTGCTCACACTGGCTCAATTTTCACTTGCCTTTTGAGAGGGGGCGAGTGGAAATTTCGAGCTCAGTTTAAATAAGGATATTATGGCACTAGAGAGAGTGCAGAGGCAGGCTACAAAATTAATAAAAGGAATGGAAGATTTAGACTGTAAGAAAGATTTAGTCTAAGGGAAAGGAAAATATTTTTACCGTAAGAACAATAAGGATGTGAAATTCTCTGCCTGAAGTAGTGGTTTTATCAGAGTCCGTACATATATTTAAACAGCAACTAAATGCATACTTGCAAAAAACAGAATATTCAAGGATATAATTTTTCAATGTCGGGTAAATGCTTCTTGATCCAAGGATAAATCTGACTGCTATTTTGGGGTCAAGAAGGAATTCTTTTTTTATTAATTTGTTGCAAAATTGGAAGTGCTTTTTTTTTTTTGCCTTCTTTTGGATTAACAGCAAAAAACAGATGTGAGAAAGGATGAACTTGATGGACACATGTCTCTTTTCAAAACAAATATCAGTGGTATAGCTAGTAGTGACAATAATGCTCAAAACACCCGTGTGGTATCCCCTATACCAACACAAAGAAATACATACAGTACAAACACAATGGATGGAGCATAAATCCTATTTCCTCTCTTCTCAATTTGTTCAATGATGCTGTGGAGGCAGAGAGGTATACAAAATAGTGCAGATAACTGAAATCCCATGGGACCGGAACCAGGAAACAAACGCCGACGGAGTAATGGAACACACGATGCGTTCCAGAGGAAAAAAAACGCAAATTTCAACAACTAAGCATTTAAAAATGGACATGGACTTTTTAGCAATTACACAGCCAACTGAGGAAGCCACATGAGGCAAAACGCATATTGGCAATACTAATACAATTTATTTTATTTATTTGTTTTTTATATATATATATATATATATATATATATATATATATATATATATATATATATATATACTTTATGTTATCAGTATCTAATAAATATAGTTTTTTACCTTTCTATCCACTGGATCTTCTGCAATTTATTATTGGGAATAAGCTTCCATTGGATACACCAACCACTCACAGAGGGATTTGAATCACCCTGGAATAGATCCTGAGGCCATCAATACCAGAGCGAGGTTCTATATTGGCTCTCATTTTGTGAGTGCTTACTTACACATGTTATTCTTTGTGTTGATATTGTAAAGTTATCTGCACATGTCTCTTTTCAGCCTATGTAACTATGTAACAAAAACTTTTACATCAATGGAGGAGGTGCTCCGAGTTCTTTTGTCCTATTCATTAGTGCAGCAGTGATTTGATCAAAGTTCTCTAACTATAATGTGCTCTATCTTACTACTCCGTGACATAAGGCAGTGGTGGCAAAATCAAATAACAGTGCTCAGCCAGCAGTCAGACACTTCCCAAGTAACCTAATATCAGCAACACAAGTGCAATGAAACATAAAAGGGATACTCTGGGCACCACAACACTTTGATCAGAATGTAGATAAGATCTTAGGCTCTGGCCTACCTTAATTGGTTAAACTGTTAACCCCAAAGTCTTCAGTCCAGTGTCCGTCAGCTCTGCCACTCCATTTCTGTTTGAGTATGAGGCTTCCTGATACATAACCTTTTCTCTCTGTTTTGTGAATGGCAGCTACTGATAGTGTCCGCTGGTGCTTTTAGTCTATCACCTGTGTCCAGTCCAAACTTCCTGAATGAAGTCTCAGTCTCAAATGGAGGTGGAGGAACAGAGCTGTTTGGCACTGGACTGAAGACTTTGGGGTTAAATCATTCATTAATGGTTTAACGGGTGAAAGTAAGCCAGCACTTGGGACCTCCTCTCAACATAACAACTTTATTTTAATGTAGTTGTTATAGTAGCTATATTGTCCCTTTAACAGTGAACAAAAAAGAGCCAGTAATAATTGAATGTGAATTATTAAAGAATGCTAAGTACTGATGTAGTGGTTATGGTGCATTACCAATATCACTTTTGTCCACGTTTGGATGTCATTCATTAGCTGAGCATTCCAGCTGATGCTCTCCACCAATGAATCCAATCCAGACAGATGGATATTGCTAATGCGGAAGTGGTTTGACACAGAAGCTCCTGGTTATGGGGCTCAGAGTGCTCTTTTAAGAGTGTGCAAGTGGTTCACCAAAAAAACAAGAAAATAGGGGTGTGCATGGGCAAAAAATTTGGTTCGGTTTGGTTCGGAAATTCAGGTAAGTAAAAAATTTTGTCTGCTTCGGCAATTCGGACCAATGGCATTCAGTTCTGCAATTTGGAACTTTGGTAATTCGGTTCTGCAATTCGAACTTTGGACTTTTGTAAGCATTCCGAATGTCTGAAGTGCACGAAACTAATCTGAATGTACATTCAGAACAAAATGAATTGCAAATGTCTACAAGAAAACTACCTACTGCAGTCTATAAACATCACCACTAGATGGCACACTAAATGAACATATTTAACGGCACTGCAAACAGAACAAATGATTGATAATGGAGATTATACAAACAAAACAATTATGAGACCAGGTTTATCATCAATTTACACGTTTCCTGTGAGCCGTGTCACGAGTGATCTTGGCAAGTGGTGTTTTATACATGATTGGAGAAAAGTAATGACTGGAGTCCAAAAGCATAGCATTGTTTTTTTAGGTAAAGTCTGTGCCCTGGATAAAATTGTGAGTTCCTTAACTGCAGTAAGATAAAATCAAATAAACAAGCTTTGATAGCCATGTTCCAAGCGCCATAACCAATGCAAGTGATTGTAATTGTTAAGGAGCAAGGAATCTGTGGGGTTTTTTTTACAGATATTATCCAAGCAATATAGGTTTTTACAATACACTTCCAAATTTCTAGTGCTTGAAGTGTCACATTAAGAAGGACCTGAAATGCATTAAATCTATAGCATCTCTTGCGTTATTCTCATAGCAAAGTTGTAAGGAGACAAAAAGGTTTTCTTCCATGATCTCATATGGAGAAGTTAGGTAAGACATTCTGTTCATATGTCCTTATGAAACATGGTGAAGTAAAGTAAATTATCTATTTTTATGTGCGTGCTAATGTATTTATGGCTATATCATAGAATACTACTTTGGTGCAGCAGTGAATAATTATACTAAATCAATATTCTAAATAATAAAAAGAATAAGAAATGGTACAACATCTGCTTTCTTTTTGTTAATTGATGGTTATCGAGTTCAAATATATGACCTGTTATTTGTTGGGTTTTTTTATTCTTCAATTGCTGCACATTGGTAGGGCGCAGGTTGTGATGGGAGCATATATTTTTAATATTTACCACTATATCAATATCAATCACTTGAGCATACGACTAACATTTTTATTTTAGGACTTGCAAAGGTTGAATACAAGAGAACTGCAGCTCTTGCAAGCTGTCTTTAAATATAACTCCAATGAAAAAATTAATAATTAAATGTATGCATATGGGATTATCTCTACTAAATACGAACTCTACTAAATAGGAACTTTTGTAGTTTTTTTTTTATTTGGGCAGTGGAGGGTCTCCTAGAATCCACTAACATTAAACTCCCTGTGTAAACTACTTCAGAAGTTAATCCCTCTCTAATCTTAACATTCCACTTCACCCCTTTACCCTAACCGCTTCTAACATGCATGCATTTACACAGTTGCACTCACTATACTCACTGTTGAAACGCAATACATTATGACAGAGGTGTGTAAAAAGAAAAAGAAATCTACTTGTCCAAGACACTAAAGCAGTAGCCCAATCAACTTTTTTGTCATGATCACTTGGCTTGGCACACAAAACCATTTCAGATTAGGGCACTTGCATAGAGCCCTGGGCATTAATAGGGTTATCCACTAAATTCTGAATTTTCAAGGATTATATCTAAAGGGAAAAACAGATTTAAAAAAGCTGATATGAAAAAAAATCTCTAACACTGGTATGGTGATAATCTTTTGTCTTAGTTTTGCCATTCAGACATAATTTGTGAAAATTCAGAGTGTGTCAAACTATGTCTCCCCACCACCCCCCCCAATGCCTGTCTTAGCACTTATCACGAAGCTAACAGAGCATTTGCCTTGTGTGGCACTTTCCATGGGTGTGGCAATCCCCCACCCACCCCCAAATGCCCGCTCAAATGCCCCTCCAACAAGGCCGCAACACAGTCAACCAATAGGACTTGCCCAAGCCTTTTTTTGTGGACGATGATTGCCCAGTTAGCTTAGCTGGGAACCGAATGCGACTGCTGTAACTCCAGAAGTGTTGTCTCAGTTTGTGAACTATTTTATTCTTTCTGCTCAGTTATAATCCATCAAAAACAAAGCACGTGGCGTTGTATATAAAACCCACACAGGATGGCATCCTCTCAGATACAACAAGCTGCAATTCCGTTTAAACGATTTAGATATTTAATTAAAGCTATCCAAGTTATTAAATAAAGAGAAATACAAATAGGAAGAGCAATAAAACCAACATATACAAACAAGAATAAGACTTATTATAAATTTGTTCAGAATAGAGGTTGGTTAGACATCATATCTGGAAAGCTTGAGTCTGAACAATAAATGTATCACAAAACAAGGTGCAATACTGTAGGTTATATATACACAATAAATAAAGCTTTTCACAGAACCACTCACATGAACCAGAGCCTAATATAGCAGGTTCCAGTTTTAGAAGCATGTAGTTTAAATGGCCAATCATCCCCACAAGTGATCTGGTCCAAAGAACCTGGAATCAGGTAGAAAACGTGACCGCATCGATAGCCCAAAAACGTTTTATCAAATAAAAAGCCAAACAAGAAAATGTAAAAAAACTGAACTACTGCATCCAAGCACAACGCGTTTCGACTGAGTCTTTCTCGATATAGTATTAAAAAACCTCACCATGCCAGTTTGGTGATGGATCAATTGATGTAAGAATGGAGTGAATGGTGTGTGCTAAGGTTGAAGTAGTATAAAAGAATGGATGTGTTGATATGTACAGTGGCACTGTCTTGTATGATTGACGCTAATGATGTATGAATGTCCACCAGTGGACTGACCATGTGCAAATTCAACCAATTTGAGTGTCTGTGACCCATATTGTATAGTTCACATTAATGACTGATCTTTGTAAAAATTTGTTGAATTTACACTTTTCATTATGTTATTTAAAGATTATCACTTAAAATAATAGATACAACATTTAAAATATTAACATAACTACAAAATATAGGCACTAATTATCCACTTTTAATGTACAGAGGAAGTTGTGGAGCTCTAAGAGGAAAATGTGGAATGTTCAGAGGAAGGATGGCTGGTAAACAAAAAGATGTGCATCCTTGACAGGAAGAGGTTAGGCAAATTTTGAGTAAAGGGTGCCCAAGTTTAGTCACGTCTAGGTCAGCACAAAACCCCCCAAAAAAACAATGCTCTGTTTACCAATAGCATGCTTCTCAAGTGTCTCGGTTCCATTGGAATAGTCCAATTTTTGAATCCTGTATTTCCATTCTAACTTTGTTCCCCGGTGCCCCACTTTTTGGGGACACCAGAAGGCTGTCCCCAACAAGCATATACATGTGCTTGCTATATTGAGGACATTAGGACTCTGCAAAGAGCACTGAAACAGTGCACCCTGCATGGTCGGTCCTTGGTGGCCTGGCCAACTTGACACACTCAGCCAATCACTGCCACCCATTGCTTCTCAGGCAAATGCATCCTTATTAGCCCAAATAGCAGGGACTTTAGTTTGGCATTAAACAATTAAAAACTAATACTGAACAGAAGGATTGCGCCAGGCTATTCCAGACACTATAACCACTTTTATGAGATAGGAAGTTTCTGAAAATGATCTTAACATGAAAATTTTCAGTGTTAACACTAAAACAGGCTTGATATCCTTTTACACTTACCTGCTGAGAATCACTTTTTGATACAGGAGCACAATCCATTCATATAACCACGGCAGACCATTATCAAACCACTCCTGAAAACGGAAAACTGGAGATATACTGCATGCAGCTGTGAGATAGCTAGAAGATCCACACTCTCCTAGATAAGAGAGGAGTAGTCCCGATCCCAGGCCCTCACTCACGGCAAAGAGCATGGAAGATGGATGCCTGTAACGCACATAACTGACAGCCTCCTTTAAGTCTGCAGTTTCCCCAAATGGCTGAAATTTTAGAGTAGTTAGTGGGCAATTGTTTTGTCCCCTCCTGTTAAAAATGATTGGGTAATATCCTTTTTCTAAAGCCAGTAAACAAAGTTGCTGGATGTTTCTGGTCAGCCTCCCAAAGGTATTGGGAATAACCAGTAGTAAAGGTGGGTTACTTATTGCATTTGTGCCTCTCCTAGGTTTCGCAGCTGGCCTAGGTCCCACCACCCAATCCAAGGCTACTATTCCACCATCTGTCATCTGGAGGAAGTCCCTTGCCAACTCCAATGTCCTGTCAGCTGGTAGAACATGCTGAATGATTGTCTGGAGATGTGGCCATGTCATCATCCAATAGTAAGAAGATTCCATTTGTGACAAATGTTTTATATCCCTCAGTAGCCAGTTGGCAAGAGTTGATGGTTTACAAATCAATTGGTAACCTCCGGGGTTGGATTTCAAAGAGCTTTCAAAAACATCCCCACAACCATCACCCTCTTCATTTCCATTGTTGCTATCCTCGTGTCTGTTAATCCATCCACATGTTTTAAGAATAAACACCAGTAAAATGATTGTACCTGACCAGACTTCCCAGCAAATTTCAGTCATTGAAAACATATTCACTTCATAGGAAGAATCAGATTTTTTTTTCTTTTTTTTTAATCCTTTGCTTTTGAACCTTTCGTCAGTAATAAGCCTATCTTCTCTCTAAGTTACTTAGCAAATGATTTATTTATTTAAGGTTTAGGTTACCTCCTGATTCACTTTGTTTTTTTGTTTTTTAAGGTTGAGTTGTTCCCGAGGCACACACTGTTTAAACAGTGATTCATGTATTATTTTTCAATGCTGCTTGCCATTACAACTTCTGTGCCAATGCACTGCTGGGCTTTGACCCATTGTAAGAGGTAATGCTTCAAAGTATTGCAATTCTAAAAGGTATACTGAAGAAAATTCCAACACGGTTCTGTGAATTCATTTTTTGACATTTTGAAAGTGTAGGCAACGTATTGCTGAGACAGCATGTATGAGATCACTGATTGTTCACTTCAGCTTTTCCTGTTGCTGATTATCAGGCTGTCCTTGGGGAAGAATAAATGGAACCCCCAGCCCTAAAGTTTAAGTGCTTATTAGTATATTTTAATCCTTTTTGGTGCTGCAATCAGGACAATATATGTACAAGTCAGTGGAGTTGGAGAATAGAAAACACAAATCGGTTTAACTACCAAGAGGATTTTACCTTCAGAGAAGCCATACTGCTGGTTAAACCCCCTGTCAGATGCTAAATGTTATTTTAAGAGAGGAATAAGGCAATAAGATATCACGTGAAATTGCTAATTGCCTTGAGTCCTGTCATGTTCCTGAGCAGGTCAGAGATGAGACGATTGCCAGGGTTATTGGTTGAAACTTTGTCTTTTTAGACATAACAATTTACTTGAAAGAACGAATTAAGTCAATATGCCACAAAAAAGGATACTTTGAGAGTTAAAACAGAATAAAGGCAATATGCCACAAACAGGATATCTTGAAAGTAATTGAATAAAGTCTTTTATATACAAGTAGGTTTGACATAATTCCCAAGCAGATTAGTAGTTTGTGGAATGTCACACTGCAGCCAGGTTCAGGATGATACAGGGTTGAAATGGTTAAAGCTGGTAAGTACTTTCAGTATAATATAATACAGGTTGCTTACAGGATCATGCAGTGTTGCAGCAGTTGAAACAGGTAAGTAGATTCCAGTATAATGTAATACAGGTTGCTTACAGGAAGCTGCAGAGTGTCAGTAGTTGAAGGTAAGAGTTTCTGGAGGATTCCGGCGACGGGACACACAGAGTCTCCATAGAGGATCAGGATGTTTTCAGGAGCCAGGATCAGAAGTCTTATATCAGAACACTGGCTTCAATGTAAAGGCCACGTGAAGAGTTGGGTGTGGCCTTTTATAGCAGACTTGGAAGATCATATGTAACGGAGAGGCAGTATAATCCACGATATCTCCGCTGGGTAACAGGAACAACAAAGGATAATCCAGGGAATCAGCATACAATAATCCAGACAGCACTGTAGTAACCCTTCCTTCCCAAGAACTAGACGACACATAGGCTGGGAGTCAACTGAGGTCTTTTAATTCAGCTCCACAATTTATACAAGTCCCCATGCAAGGGGTTTCCTGAGTCCCCTCCCAGGGACATTCCCAGAGGGGACTACATGGGGAACTTACAAAGCAAGACATTTTTCCCATCAGGCACTGCTGCACGAGAGGGATCCTCCCACTGGAATATACCGTTAAGTGGATTATCCCTCCGTGCAGCAGAACCGACAATTCACATTAAAATACATAACTTTTCGAATACTTGACAGATTTAAACGAATGGACGTTCGGTAGATAGCTGGGGTCTGGGCGCATCATTCGTGAGATTACCGCTCAGATCCCAGCTAAAATAACCGAACGCCGCACGAAAAACACATTCATTACAAAACATATTAAAAGAACCGATTGCCTTCCAGGGAATAAAATACCGAACGGCCTGAAACTCCCGAATGTCCTGGAGGCTCAGCGGTGTTCGTGCCGTCGAGTAGCCGTTTTTAGTACCATGCGCTCGACGACCTAACACCGCTGAGGGAACAAAGGATCCAAGATGGCCGACCGCCGCATGGTCGGTAGTCGAACGACGGCCACCCAGGAGAGCCTCTAATTACCGATTGCAACATTGTTGCAATCGGTTAATAGGTGCCACACGCCTCTAAGTGTGTGGGCTATAAAATGATATGTTGTTCGTTTCCCGAACGGCCCGCAAAGGTGCCGTTCGTGAAACGAAAGGAATTAGCTATCTGCGGTCGGCAGATAGCCCAGGCAGGAGATACAGCATTAACATTGTATTACAGTATACGCTCTAACACACACAAGGAACCCCATACCGGCAACCCTTAAAGCGACAGTACAAAAATAATGTCCAAGTGGCTAGGTTTGCCACATCATATGAGGCAGGTGAAAGCAACTGAGGATTGACTAGTGGCTAGGGAGGCCACTAGAGACGAGAAACAGGAATTGCAGCAATAAAATAATACAATACCTTGGTTGTCAGGATAGGATCTTATGTCCTCTACACTTTTCGAGAGCTTATTTTATACCCCCTAAACATGTGGATGGCAACCTTTGGCACTCCAGATCTTGTGCACTACATCTACCATAATGCTCTTGCAGTCATAATGTTGGCAAAGCATCAGGGGACATGTCGTCCACAAGATTGGGAGTGCCAAAGGTTGCCAACCTCTGCTTAAACTCCTAGGTATAACTGGATTTTTATAAGTCACTATCCCTCTGAATTGAGTGATACCATTTTCATAGATCACTATGTCCCTCTGTGGCTAGTCATACAAGTTTTACATCATAACCAAATTAGTATGAAAGCTGCAGTCGTTCTGGGGACTATAGTGTCCCTTTAATGTGAGGTAAATTACAGATTAGTGCCACAAATAATATACTAGATTGCCTACTTACAACTAGATGAGGGCTCTGGCTGCAGTTTGGTTCCACTGGTCTGGTGTAGAACAGGTTCTCTGGAGGCTGTTTGTAACTATCTGTATTCTCCTTATCCCGACTCTCTATATTCTCCTTATCCCCCCTCTCTGTATTCTCCTTATTCCCCCCGTTTGTTCTCCTCACCTCCCCTTTGTTTCCTGTACCCGGACGGACTGACAGGAAGTGCACACTGAGTGTGCACTTCCTATCTGTCCGGCCGGGTCGCGGACCGGAGAGAAGCTCGGCCATGCTACAGGGGAGGTGAGGTGAGGAGAGAGGCAGTGCTGCAGTCGCCTGAGCGCTCTCTATAGAGCGCTCAGGCGGCTGCAGCATTTAAAGGGCCGGTGATGGGGGCGCAGGGCGCCCCCTCCTATATGGCGCCCTAGTCGGCTGCCTAGTTCGCCACATAGGAAGCGCCGGCCCTGGTGGGGGTAGTTCTTGCCTAGCCATATGCTTGCTATGTTTAGCAGGTGCCATCTCTTTCGTCTGAGTGTGTGATATGGTCAGGCCAGCTCATTGACGCTTTGGAAGGGATAGGATGTCATTAGAGGGAACCTCAGGGCCCATAGTGTCATCCGCATCTTGTGGTGTCTGCCCCATAGCTTGAGTGGATATGTCAGGCGGAACTTGTAAAAGCATTTTGGAGAACGCCTTCTCCATGGAAGCTGCCCTTGCATCGTTTATCATTGCCTGAAAATTCTGGGTTTGTTGCGGGGAGTTCATCATGGTACATGTAGTTGTCCTGTAGGATAGAGGACCTGGTGGGTTGACCGCTTGGTCGTTGCAACTTGGGGTTTGCCTGGTATATAGGTGTATACAAACACAGCTAGGTATGCTGTGATGTGAGCATTCAGACACCTTGCAGGTCATATTGACCAGCTTATTATAACAGGGGAAGATACCCTTGTAAATTATGGGGAGGCGTTAAGATACTCCAATAGTCAAAAGGAGGAAGTCCTAAGTCCCTAGTGGGTAGGTACCGTATATACGTGGGTAATCATAATCTTTGTATGTGTCACGTATTTAGTTCCAGGAATGATGTTTGGTAGGTACCACAGTCTGGGTTTTACCCCTAGTGCTCATGTAGGGCCAGGCCCGTAGAGCGAATCTGTAGGGCATGTGGGTTTACCACTTATCAGTAACAGGGGGTTCACCCCTGTGTGCAGCTGTGGAAAGCAGTCTGCACCCCAGGCATATCCAGCACATATACAGAAATTGACTGTAAGGTTAATAGTCTGGCATGAATTTGTAAGCAGCAATTAACCAGCATTAGATGTATAGAGTGAAGATTAATCCTTTGTAATATATCCTTTGCCAGCATGTAGTAATTGCCCATGCAGAATGTAATTATATATAGATAGACATCATTGTGCAGCAGAAAAACTTGTATACTGGCTGCAAGTTCACCTTTTGTGATAGGTCTTGTGTTCCTGAGTGTGTTGGGAGTGACAGGTGGTGTCTCCACTTGCGATTAGCTGCAGGCCGGATTACAGAGTGGCTGTTAGAAAAACAAAATGGCCGCCACAAATCTCACGATCCCGCAAGATCCAAGATGGCCACCGCTCGAGGACCTGGCAGGAAGAACTCCTGCGGTTCCGAGAGTGAGTCCCACGTTTGAGAAGTCCTGACAGCCCCAGAAGTTAGTATGTTAGTCTAAGAGGCCTGAAAATGCCACGGGCCGATGCCGGCCGTGAACAGATAGTATACAGTACACAGATTGGAGAGGAAGAGGCAAGGGAGCCACACAAACAGATATAGGCTCACAGGGAAGGCACAAAAAGTCAATATAAAGCGGTTAGATTATTAAGTACAGGAGTAAGGCCATATAGAGTAGGTTAAGCAACCCTACAGGGACAGCATGAATTAAAGAAAGTCAATGCAAAATATGAAGCCTCCTGTCATGTGGTAAAATTCTAAATTAATTCAAACTTCATTTCACATTTAAGGCCGAAGTAGCTGAATTAGAAGCACAAAATGTTCTTAGTTCTGCTATTTTGACCTTAAATTGGAATTCACTTCAAATTCTTACTTTAATAAATAAGTGTGTGTATGAATTGTGTACTTGTACATATGTCTGTGTGTGTATGCATGTGTGTGGGTGATTGTGTAGGTATCTGTGTGTGAATGAATGTAATCGTGTATTAATATGAACGTGAGTGGGTGTTTGTAGGAGGCTGTGTATGAATGTAATTGCGTGTAAATATGTGTGTATATGAATGTGAGTATGTGCATATAAGTATAAGCATTTTAAGTACAAGGATAGGCAAGACCACCTGCTCCAATAATCCGACCACATTGCTGGTGTCTGTATGGATATTAGACTGTAGTAATAGAGTGCTGTCTGATTACATCAGTGAACACAATTCTGTCTGTTATTGTGTGCTTTGCTGATTTGTTTACGGTACAATAGGTTAGTCTTGCAAAAGGCTAATCAGTAATAGGAGGTTCATAGGACAGGGTAAAACAAACAATTTGAAGGTCACATTTAAAAAATGTGTCCCTAACAACACAGTTTATTTTCAAATGGTTGTTCTAAAAAGCAAGGCTGACCCTTTTCTAGATGTGAAACGCTCTCCCAAACATAGTAGTCAATATGGGGGATTTAATTTGTACCTAACACAAAATAACCGTGATATTTATCTGCACGCTAAATGGGGAAATATAGTTTCCCAGAAAACAGAATATTATTTACTTATCCCTATATTTAACAAGTATGTGGGTGTGAAAAAGAAAAGTCAATGCAAAATATGGTATCCTGCAACTGGGCTCCTCATTCTCTCCTCCCTGACAATCATTGTTATAACCTCTGTCCTCTCCACCTGACAGTCACCATAGGGAACACATACAGAGGGCAAGGCCCACTACCACTCCTTGTCATGTCACCATGTTTCCCATATTAATGAGTGATGTAATGTGTCCTTAAACTACGATATATGTGTTTAGAATCAGTCTGTGTGATTAAGATACATTGTTCTTGTTCTAAATTGCACATTAGATGCATAAATTGTTATTAGTAAGTCACCTAAAATTTCTCAGAACAATCTCGGCCCTGGCCACAACCCCACTCCCACCTTTAAAATGAAAGTGTTCCTCTATATTCCTTTGAAATGTTGAGAGGTATGTGTCAACGGTATTTGTGAAAGGTCTCCTGTTTTATTTCCCAATTTTAATATTGTAAAGTATTGAGTAATTTCTTGGAGCTATGATAATATTAATGAAATGGTATAGACGAGACACATGTTAAAGTTACATAACTTGCCTGTCATGTATTATTTTGATAATTAGTGCTGCAGGGCGTGTGAGAATAGAAAGAAAATTAAACTGAAACCGTGTATTCCTTTTGAGGGTTTATTCCAGTGGCAGCTGGTGCAGTTAGAAAACAGTTAGGTGCTAGACTCCACAACCTCAATTTGACTCTGCTCCTTAAAGGAACACAATATCGTTAGTAATACAAAACGGTTTTCCTAACGCTATAGTGTCTGTCTGCCTCCGTGTGGCCCTCCCCACCCCCTCCTGTCATGTTGTAAAAAAAAATAAAATGCCATTACCTCATTCCAGTGCTGTGGTCCCTCTTCATTGGATCTGTCTCCTCCTCCCACAACATCATGCCGATGGGGGCATTAGAGCTTCCCCACAGGAAAGCATTGTATCAGCTGACACTTGGCAAATTTCTCTGCAGAATCTATCAATTTCCAGTTGGTGTGTGATGGGAGTCATTGACTATTAATATTGATAATTGGATCATTTTAGCCATATTCTGTATGTATGCTGATATTGGTATAGTAGCAGACCAGATAAACCTGTAGCGGTACTTACCTTACCCGGGGGCCGGCCTAGGTCCTCACTTCCCGCCGCGCGCGGCTCTCAAATGAAGGCGGGCACGGACGGTGAGATGCGGTCACGTGTCCCGCCTAGCTCTAAGAGCGTGCCGCGCATCTCAGGCACACTATTAAAGGGGCAGTGGGAGCCAAACGATGAAATGTGCTCCCACTGGCCCCTGTCATCCCACATTCCCCAGACACTCACATTTTGGGGGCGTGGATATGACAAGGGCCAATCAAAGTAAAGCTTAGGGTATTTATACTTACCTCTCCCTTAACTCCCTGCCCTATCATGGTTTCTGTTTCAGTTCCCTTTAACGATTGTTGTGTTCAGTTGTGATTTTCGTGCTTGACCTTGGCTTTGTATCTGACTCTGTTTATCTCTCTATCCCTGTTTTGTCTTGTTTGCCGGCTTACTGACTACTGTGTACCAGACCTTGGCTAGTTTTTCTTCTCGCAGTCTCTTTGTTCCCTTGACCTCGGCTTGTTCTTGACTCTGTCTATTCTCTGCTATACGGCGAGTCCAGCCATTCTAAGGTCCGGTAATTCGTATCTGCTCTATCTGTCGATTGTTGAACTAAATCTTGCGTGTAGGGGTAAACTACCGTGACAAAACCCCAGCCCAGCTCTAAGTGATAGTACCACATATATAGCAAAGCTGGTGGGCAGCAGTTATGGTGAGATGTATATGAGATGAGTGAATGAACATGCAACTGACAGAGTTTGTTAAAACAGAAAATGGGGTTTGATCAGGGAATTGCACGTTTGCCCAAAATAACCGAGCCGACTACATTACCAACAGTTCCCAGTTTAGTAAATAACCGAGATTGGGCAGTTAGAAATGAGCAAGAAACTAAAAAGGCAACTGAGGAAGGTGAATCACAAGCAGACAAGGATCAGTAACAGGGACTAAGGATAGGGAATTGTAATCAAAGCAAAGGACCAAAGGTTTTACACAGCTCCATAGTAATGTGCAGCGTGTATGGGTGTAATACATATTCCACTACATCACTACTTTTACTGACAACAATTTGCATAGAGTGCACATGTCTTTTGATGTGCTTGCGGTATACTGATTGGGGACATTTCCCTGGTGTGTCTTGTATGTGTGTCTTATGTATGTGTCTTTGTATGTATGTGTGTCTGTATGTGTGTCTGTCTGTGTGCCAGTCTGTATGTATGTATGTGTCTTTGTGTGTGTGTGTGTGTGTGCCTGTATGTATGTATGTATGTGTCTTTGTATGTATGTGTGTCTTGTGTGTGTGTCTGTCTGTATGTATGTGTCTGTATGTGTGTATGTGTGCCTTTCTGTGTGTCTGAATGTATGTATTTGTCTTTGTATGTGTGTGTGCCTGTGTGTGTGTATCGGTCTGTATGTATGTATGTGTCGGTCTGTATGTATGTATGTGTCTGTGTGTATGTATGTATGTATGTATGTGTGCCTGTCTGTTTGTATGTATGTGCGTCTGTATGTGTTTATGTGTCTGTATGTATCTGTCTGTCTGTCTGTATGTGTCTATGTGTGTGTATGTATGTGTGTCTGTATGTATGTGTGTGTCTGTCAGTGGGGGAGATGGAGGGGGGGGCACAGATCAGTTTCGGACTGGAGCCCCATGGAATGTGTGTACGTCATCCTTATTTTATTATTCAACCCCTCTTTTTTCTTCCCTTTTTTAGCAGGTATTAAGATATTATATTATATATATATATTTTTAATTCTTTATTTTTGTTGTGCACAAATTACATTACAGGCATGCGTTGCCACAACAGCATTAGTACACATAAGAATAATATAAAATTGAAAACATTGTGGTTGTGGGTCTGCCCAATTTTTATATTTAGTAAGGACATAAGGTGAGAGAAAAAGGCTAATAATTAGGTAGATCACTGTGTGTCATGCTAGGCAGTGAGACGACAGACGGCTACAAAATAGATTGAGAGTGTGTTACACACATGTATGGGTCTTTAATGCAGGGGATGTCCCTATATAATTTAGGCAACCAATCTCGCAATAATCAAATGTAAAGGTGGCCACCTGTGTGTTGGATGAGTTGTACCAAAATGTAACCACATTATTATCTTTTGTGATGGCTACTTGTTTGGCCCCTGTCAGCCCTAGTAGTGAAAGGATGTATAGGATGATCATGGCTTAGGACAGTCCACCTCCTCTGGAGCCGGAACCTTCTTGCAATGGGAAGCATGTATCCAGGTGCTTTTCCCTGCCAATTTAACAGAAGTGGCTGTAACTAGGAGGACTTGGTAGGGACCATTATATCTTGGATCAAGAGGGTGTTTTCTCACAAATTTCTTAACCAGGACCCAATCACCAGGAAGCAATCAATGGGTACCGGTATCAGACTCGGGATCTGGAATGGAAGAAAACACCTGTGCATGGATTTTGGTCAACGCATGAGAGAGAGCAATCACCTAGCCAACCAATACAGCAGAGTGGAGTTGGAGTTGTTGGGGGGTCTGGGTGCTGACCCGAACAGGATCTCATAGGGGGACAAAGCAAACCTCCCTCTTGGTGTGTATCTTACACTAACCAGGGCAATGGGGAGGCTCTCTGGCCATGACAGGTTAGTTTCTTGGGCCATTTTTAGCATTCTAGCCTTCAGGGTGCCACTCATGTGCTCTACCTTACCACTACTCTGAGGGTGATAGGGTTTGTGGAATGCAAGGATCACCCCTAGCGTTTCCCAGATTTCTTTGGTTACCAATGCAGTGAAGGCTGGTCCCTGATCACTTTCTATTACCTTGGGGACCCCATATCTAGATATCACTTCGGTGAGCAGGCGTTTGGCTGTGGTCTTGGCTGTCATATTGGTGACTGGGTAAGCCTCTGGCCATCCTGAGAACATGTCCACTATGACTAGTGCATATTCAAACCGGCCACTCTTTGGCATTTGAATGTGGTCAATCTGGATTCTTTGGAAAGGATAGTGGGGTTTGGCTAGATGCTTTGGGGGGGCTTTTTCCATTCTGCCTGGGTTGCACTTGGCACAGATGGTGCAGGATCTGCAGTAACCATTTGTCAAGGAAGTAATGCCTGGTGCTTCATAGTATTTGTTGATCAGGGAGTTCATGAGGGTCTTGGACAGGTGTGATGTTCCATGTGCCCACTGGACCACCGCTGAGTACATGCTCTTGGGTAGGCAGAACTTGAGGTTATTGGAGTACAACCCATCTTTAAGGGTTGCCCCTTTCGGTTTCCAGCTTTGTATTTCTTCAGGATCAGCAGCTGCTTGTAGTTCCTTCAGGAGCTTGAGGTCTGTGGGTAGGGTCTGCATGGTGAATATGGGGGTTTCTCCGGTGGACACTCTTCTGTTCACTTCCAATGGTGCACACGCGGCTTGCTTGGTGGCTTGGTCAGCTAGATGGTTGCCTCGTGCATCATCAGAGTTCAGTTTCCCGTGAGCCTTTACCTTCAGTATGGCCACTTCTTCACATCCATCAGATCTTTGATAGCCATGCTGTGTTTGACCGGTGTACCTTTGCTGTGAGAAATCCTCTTGTCTTCCGATTACTCCAAAGTCATGGGCCACACCTAGTGCATATCTTGAGTCAGTGTAGATATTGGCACGTTTTCCTTCAGAGATCTTGCACGCTGTGGTGAGGGCCTGTAGCTTAGCTTCTTGTGCAGATATGGTTGAGGGGAGTGAGGATGCTTGGAGTACTGCATCCGCTTGGTGACTGCAAATCCAGTATGGTATCTGCCTTGTTCGTCAGCATATCTGGAGCCATCTACAAACAGAGTGATGTCAGGTTCCTGTAAGGCAGCATCATGTACAGTTGGGAGGTGTGTCATTTCCATCTTCATTCGCTCAAAGTAATCATGAGGTGAATCCAAATCTTGATCTGTAGAAGAGGCTTCGGTACATGTCTCTGCATGGAATTGGGGAATGCCACTTACACTCCAATTCAGGGTTTGCTTAGTGACACCCTTTTCAGATAGCTGGGTCTGATCCTCAGTGCTTCATGATTTGGCCATAGTGCCGAGTTCTTTCCATGAGGTCTGAGGGGACTTAGTTATGGAGATGTGTGGGACAGCTGAGTCTCAGTGATGATATAGACAAGCTACTTCCAAAGGCAGGAGGACTAGGGCCATGCTGTTGCCTTAAGAATCGCAGAACATGTCTGTTATGGTGAGTTTCAGTTCCACCAATTGGAACAGGTCTTCTTCATAGTGGGGGTCGGGTCCTGGGGTGGTTTTGTGCCACAAGGTGCAGTGACTGAAATCCTGAACAACATGTGGGATTTGATGCAGAGTCTGAGTATCATGTGGGACATGGGTGAGTTGGGTTATAAGAAAACACATGTAGCCTTGGTCTATGTCTAGGCTGTACCAATAGTGGGCATATCCCCCATTGAGAAGTGGCACAAGAGTGGCCGGGTTAAGGGAGTAACATCTCTGCAGGGATACGTTGTCTGGGAGCAGGAGAGAGCATTGTAAACGGAGGTGGTGGGCAGCAGAGAGATGTTTGGGCTGGACCTGGTTAAGGATGGCAGCAATGTCATGAGGGGCAAGGATGACAAGCTGATGGCCAAGTATCAAATCATTGGTCTTGTCAATGAGGGCATGTGCTGCAAAAACTGCTCTAAGGCAACAGGGTCTAGTTGGCAAGTGTAAAAGGCAATGGGGCACTGGTGTGAGCCATGGGACTGTGTGAGGACCCCAGAGGCATGACCCTGTCTTTCTGACACGAACAACTTAAAGGGCTTCCAGTAGTCAGGGAGGCCCAGGGCCGGGGCAGTGGAGATGACACGTCTTAGGGCAAAGAAACTTGATAGTGCCTTAGAGGACAGGGAAAATGGGTCAGACTTGAGGGTGTCATAGAGGGGTTGCATGGGGAAGGAGGCCTCCAGGATTCAGGCCCTGCAGTAGGAGATTAGGCCCAGGAAAGCATGGAGGGGTTTATGTGCTGTAGGAGGATCAATGGCCGTGATAGCTCTCACCCAATCCCGGGTGAGGTGACCGGTACCATGTGAGAGGCAGTAACCCAGGAAAACCACGGAGGGTAGGCACCACTGTAGTTTCTGTTTAGAGGCCTTGCATCCTTGTTCTGCGAGGTAGCATAGGAGATCTTCAGAAGTACGCTCAGCACTAGGGAGGTCATCAGCACAGAGGAGGAGATCGTCCACATATTGAAGCAGGACCACATCATGAGTCCAGAATTGAAGCTATTGCTCTTGGCGTTCATGGGTGAAAGCAAATAGATATTGACACGAAGGATCCAGGGGTACACTGAAGAATGCATTAGCCAGATCCACCACTGTGAAATACCTGGAGGTAGGCGGGATACCTGACAGGAGTGTGTGTGGGTTAGGCACGATGGGGGTTTCCAGAATGGTAGCTTAGTTGACAGCGCAAAGGTCTTGAATCATCCTGTACTTGTCAGGTTCCCCTTTTGCCGTTTTCTTTTTCACGGGGAACAGGGGAGTATTGCAAGGAGACACACAGGGAACCAAGGCACCATTGGACACTAGGGCCTTAACATCTTGAGAAATAGCAAGGGCTTGGGCAGGCTTCAGAGGATATTGTGGTTTACAGGGTAAGCTAGCTCCTGGGATTAGCTCCACGAGGACTGGAGGGACATGGAGGCGTCCAGTATCTTCTGGGCCTGTTGACCACAAATTAGAAGGTATTCTGTCCAAGGCATTGGGAGGGGTGTCTAGTACCCTTGCATTCTTGACAGGTTCCTCCATGTGGAGTAAGAGAGGCAGCGAGCAGAGAGCTGATGTGTCAGCAACAGATGGGGGGAAGACAATTGAATGAGTCCATCTGGGGTGAAGGTGATTGAGGCCTGCATGCGGGAGAGGACATCTGCACCCAGTAGGTTTAGGGGGCATGTAGAGGATACCACAAAGTGGGCCAGGAGGTCAGGGAAGGAGCCAACCTTCAAAGGCCGGGTTAGTGTTCACTCCTATGCAGGAGACATCAATATCAGACAGGAATGAGGAGTCAGGCAGGTCTTGTTCTCTAATGACGCTTCTGGCTACGCCTGTGTCAACTAAGAAGGTGTTAGGCGGCCTTCTATGGGTAGGACTACCGTGGCTAGGGGCCCTCCCTTATTCCCTGAAGACACTGCCATGACAGGGGAAAGTGACACAGATTTGCCAGTTACCTAGCACAGAAGATCTAGGTGAGCTTGGTCAGGGTCAGCGGAGGGGCGGCTGGCTGTTGGGTGACTGGCAGCAGGGTGGCCAGCTGTGGGGTAGCTAGCGAGGCTGGTTTCCTGGGGACTTGGGATGATTCCAGGCCCTTAACAACCAACAGGAGGGTGTCCAAGGGGCGCACCCTATACTCAGGGCAGACAGAATCAGGCTTTTGAGTATGGGCTCTTTAAGGCCCGCTACAAAGGCCGCAGATAGCATTTGGGTATAGGCCTTATTGAACATACTGAAACCCTGCTTTTATCTCACATAGACTAAGTAAATCACGCCATGCGGCAGAATAGGTCTTTTGGATTTGGGCTACCATTCGGTAAAAGGGCATAGGTTGTTTTTTCGAGTCTGGTAAAATGTTCACCAAGGATGAAGCCTGGGATGGGGTGAACGTGACATACATTAAGGGTTCACCTTGTGGTAGGATTTGGGCCCTGGGATTCCCGATAACAGGAATGCGGAAGATCACCCCCATGGTGGCTACTGCCGTCAGAGGGGGGCTGGAACCCATGGGAACTGGCGGTGTCGGAGGAGCTAGGGGCCTGTAGTGCTGGGAGAGGTTATGAGTGTTGGGGGGTGGGCAAAACCTGGACTCCCCCTTGGGGTGTGAGAGTTGGCGGGCCCCCTACGGACACTAGAGTTCGTCCACAAGGGCGGGCATTACAGGGACGGGCATAAGGGCGGAAGGAGTGGGCATAACGGGGACGGGAACAAGAACCGGAAGAGAGGGCATGACAGTGGCGGGAGCAGGAACAGAAAGAGAGGGCATAAGGGGGGTGGGGGAATAGAAAATACCATCCACTCTAAGAACAGGAAAGAGCTGGATATGTGCTATAGGGCTGGTGGGTGTCAATTCTGGTGGTAAGGGAGTGGTCCCTTTGTGCCAGGCGCCGTTATAGGGTGGTAGCTGGCATGTACCTTCAGCATTACAAGTACCTTCATGATATACATACATTCTCTGCCAACCTAAGTCTATTTCTTCCTCCACCCACCTTTCCTGGTGAATAGCTCTGGCAACTCTAAACCAGGCTTCTGCTGTATGTACTAGCTTGTTGTCTTGCAAAAATCCCTTTTTCTCTTTTAACAGCTTGCGCCAGCCTTCTGGCTGTAGCCGTCCGCTGGCAGACATGTTGATACCACATATCTTAGCAACCTTCTGTACCTTTCTCACTGCCACTTCGCCTTCTCTCACTCTCACT